TTTCCCCTTTGAAGTATGGACCGCGTTCCAGAATCATGTAGTATTCTGTCGCCTCGCTCCGTGCACCTATTAACCGTCCAATTTTTTACCCGACTTCTTTTCGTTGACGTGGATCAGGAAACTCATCGGCCGGGTTCCCATCCATTTCATCCCGCCCCCCGCCCCCTGCCAGCGGCTGGCAAGCTTGGTTCCCGTTTCAACTCGCCGTTGCCACCACCGTGGCCGGCCTCACACCCGGTATGTTCCCGTTGACATGGGCTGGCATGGCAGGCAGAAGGGCAACAAGCTATGCAGCGGCGAGCCAGCTCGGCTGGTGGAACGAACCCCCACGCAACGTGCACACCCACGTCAACGCGCACACAACTACCTACTGCGTACACCAAGACGGATGACTGAGTCGGATGCAGGTCACGACATGTAAGTGACAGGGTTACCCTAATGGTGTATCGGGCCGCGTGGTATGGTCAGAGGCGATGCAGTCGCAGTCGCACATCTTCAGTCCACCGCGGAGCCGCATGATGATTTTCAGCCAATGCAGATAGGTACACGTCTCCAGTGAAAGGGTACTGGAGGGTGGGAAATTGTGACATCTTGATCCTCAAATCACATGCCAATTACACGTCATCATCACTGTTGTCTTGCTCCTCCTTGGGAGGCGCACATTAAAAGTTTGCTGCGGCGAAAAGAAGTTTCTGCACGTTTAGGGGTTGTATGGCCAGATGGAACTGGAATGAAGCAGAAGTGCCTGGTTTATTTACTTTTTTTTTTTTTTTCAAGATGCTGGAGGCGCAGTGCAATGCCGCTTGATTAGGTAGTTTTGCACTCAGGTTCCAGTATCTGCGAAACAAAATCCCGCCGAGGGCTAAGATGGCTGAGATGCGCCCTCTGTCGGCACCGGTGCGTCAGTCGGCCTGTTCCACGTCCGAATATGGCCTGAGGCAGTGTATATTAGCAGCGTGATACTTTCCTGCTGGTGATTCAACTTACCGTTCTTGCAGCTTGTGATAATGGCCTCTTCTGTAAATTCAAGCCAGCATAATGGGTGGGTATCGACTGCCTTGGACTAAGGCGACAAACGTCAGCAACCGAACTCTCTTGACTCCACCGATGGGAGGGTGCGTGGTGCAGCTTACGGAAACAGGGGGGAGCATGGCGATTCTCGCGCGAGGCTCGACAGGATGGATAATGCTGCCTTCTTCGTCCACGGCGCCGCCAGACAGCGTAGAATTGGAGCGAATCCGGCTCGTCAAAGTGTTCGCTGTTTCTTGTCTCTGTAAGGGGGTGGCGAACCGTGACGAGACGGAACCCCGATGGTTGACAGAAGCCTATCTCGACAGTCAGCGTTTTCGTGCACATGGCGCTCTCCGGCGCCCGACTTGAGCCGGCAACGTACAGCCTTGGGACGATGCAGCATGCCAACGTTGAAATCCCACAGGCACAACCTGCAGTCCTCGCCGACGCTTCCGAACCGGTAGTTTCTGTCGTCGCAGCGCCACGGGTCGAACGCTACTGATGTCACCCAGGATTGGTGACCCTGACAGCGTGCTACGATGGCTGACTCCACGACGGACCAGATAGAGATTAAGTCATCCTGGCCTCCTGTCAGCACGTACTTGCCATCCGGAGACCACGTAACGCAGATGAAGCCGCCGTAGTATGAATTGTAGAGGTCGAGCAGCCTGCGATTCGTCAATAAAGTCACTGCACCACCGGGCAGTATACGCACTCTTCTTTCAGGTAGTCAATGATACGGAGCGAGCCGTCTTCCGAGACCACTGCCAGATGTCGGTTGTCAGGGCTAAACGCAAATGCATTGATCCGCTGGTTCGACAGTTTCCATGATGCCACCGGGTTGGTCTTCTGGTTCTTGGAGTGAACCGACTTGTTGATCTGAATCTTGAGGTTGTGGTTGACGCCGCTTGCCGAGTCGCTCTCTCCGTTCATGGAGCTGTTTGTTGGCGACTCATCTTCCGGCGAGAACTGTGCGTCCTCCTTGTCCTTGTCGTAGACCACCAACGAACCGTCCATGTGCGCTGCCAGGAAGAGAGACTCGGAGCCGGGAATCCACCTAATCTCAGAGACGGGCGTACCGTTGATGATGCCCTAACAATGTCAGTCCGTTGTACGAGCATGTTTGACAGTCCAACGTACGTTCTTGTTCAGCCGAGTGTACCGCTGCGAAACGGGCTCCCACCAGATGATCTCGCCGGTAGAGAAGCCCATGATGACATCGATATGTGCAATGTTCTTGGTGACTGGGTTGACGTCGTGGCATAGGCAATGGGCCTTGGTAAACAGAATCTTAGTCAAGTAGTCGGCCTGGAACCTATCAGTACGACGTTCGCATCAGCCGCAATGTTGGGCTTCTAACCTTTGTTGGCGACGACAGGTCCAGCCATTGAAACGCTCGGTTGATGTTGGCGAAAGCGAACACACCGTCCGTCGGCCGGTCCTGCAGCTTCTTCGCCAAGCTTTCATTGACTATCACTCTGGAGATGAAGGAAGAATTGCTCTTAGTCATGTTGTTCTTCGGCTTAGCCACCTTCTTCTTAGCAGCGTCCTTGGTATTGGCCGGTGCCAGCGCGGTATTACCGTCGCCAAACGCCGGAGCCGAGACCATGGTCAAGGATGCCGGGGGCGCATCGCTAAGAGACCCGCCGCCTCCGTCACTGCTAAGCCCAGCCTCGGTCGAGTATCGGCCCTCGCTGGGATGTTCCTGGATATCGCCTCCCAGTGACAACGTCGTGGCGGAGGAGCCCTTGTAGAAGAAGGGCGGCGCGGCGCGCATATCAAGGCTTATCAAGGAGAGCTTGGTTCCCGAGGTCGCGGGCTGTGGATTCGTCGCAAGAGGATTCGGGTTCACGACTGGGGCTTCGGAGGGGTGCGGCGGCGGCGTCGCGAGGTGGAGGTCTTCTTTCAGCACGTAGGTGCCCTCGCCGACCAGGAATTGGTACTCGGGTCCCTCGGGATTGGAGAGGACGTTGTTCGTTTCGATCATGGGAGCAAGACCGGCGCCCATGGCCCCATAGGCGCCCGAGTGCGAAGGGTATCGCGGAGGGGGCGGAAGAACACTGGGATACCGTAAGAGGTGCTAAGGTCAGCCGTGATTTATGTCGAACCATTGTGGGCATGATGAAAGGCGTGACTTTGTGCCTGAAGAACGGCCTCGGGGCATGCTGTGGACGTCGCACAGCTGCAAGGTCTGCGGACAATGCAGCCGTGGCAAGGCAAGCGTTCTTGGGGTACTTACAACATGATGGGCTAGCTATGATATATGGTCCGGTCTACGGCTAATTCGACTGCGCCGACGGCGATTGATTACAGGCGATGAGTCTGGCAAGCGGCAGCGCGCAGAGAAAGGCTGGATGTTTGAGGTGGCTATCCTCGGACGTTCGGGAAGGACGTTTGTCGTCGGCTCCGCCTCACGTCACTGGCGGCCGCGGTGGGGGTTCTGGGCCTCTGGCAGCCACCGGGGCGGTGGAGAGAGGGTTGAAGGCGATAGTGACAACCGACGTTTTGAGAAGGTCGCCGCACGCCTGAGTGGTGTCGTTGGCTTCCGGGGACTCCTGGACCGGATGACAAGGTGGTCGGGGGCGGCAGAGAGGGCGAGTGGTAGGCGCCAACGACCAGATGAACTCAAAGGTGGCCGTTGAGGTATCTGTGAGAGGATGTGAGGCGTGTCACGAGTATTAATAGAGGTGAAATGGTAGATAAGAGGTTGGCACACAAGGCAAGGCAATGCAGGGTAGGTTGGCAAGTCTAGGTAGGTTGGTTCGTGGCCAAGATGCACCAATCCCAACCCAGAAAACGCAACTCTCGTACAGGCCGAGGGCTGCGTCTCGGTGTGGTTCTGCTTCCGGTTCAGTCCCCGCCCTTCCCATTTCCCCGGGGCCATGTCCATGTTCTTAGATGAGCCATCCTAACATGCCCATGAAGAAGGAATAGGTAAAGAAGCAGGTCAGCCTGGGGTCCGGAGAAGGATTGCTGCGACGTGAGTGGTGGGAAGAGGAACTGGAGGGGGGCGGCCACTGGGTGCAATACTCAACTGCGGGGGGAAAGGGCGCCGTGTACCTTCGTAGTCGCATCAGCAGGCTGCAGCACGCCAGGCGAGTCGTCCCTGACGCCCCGGTTCAGTTTGCTGAGACCGGTCCTCTCCGCCGAAGTGTGGGGTAAAAGTTGGACTCGAGGGAGTTCCGTGTCCTTCTTTCAGATCGCTTGCCCGAAGAGACGACATCTGGTAGGACGGTCGGCCGGGAAGAAAGATGACCAATGGAACGTGCCATCGTGTTGTTCGGCCTAAGCAACTGGGCACATGGCGATGGCGTCGCTGTGATGCTCCGTAGCGACGTAGATCCGCCGTCCGCCGATTAGGTAACCTAAGCTTAGTGAGAGAACGTATGCACAGTTTGCCAGCTTGATATCGACGCTTCACAAAGGCCAGGTTCTAGTATTACATGTTTCGGCTCAGACCTCGGAACTACCTACGGATACAGGTTTATTGTTCAATCCCCCAATTGTCTCACTTCCCGTTCTTAGAGCGAATGAGGCGGCACACATTTCACCTCATTCATCCACAACGACCTTATGTAATCTGCACATCCCCTGGTAGTTCATCATACCCCAAGCACTGATCCGCTAATCGGCTTCTCGTCTCAGCGGGTCTTGTGTCGCCGACACGCTGATGCCGCTGAGCTCCGTCAGTACCTCCCAGTGGGCCCCCACCGGAGTTATCCTTGCAATCAGGTCGTCGTCATTCGAACTTCTACCCCCGTCGACCTGCCGAGTCCCGTACAACCCTCTTCGAAGCTGCTCTGAGCCCGTCGGGCCAATTCGACCACAACTGCAACCCGACCCAAGAAAACAGCCCCAACTATCTATCAGCTTCCATCTCAAAGCTCTGCTTTACTTTATCAATCAGACCCTCTTGCAGAATAGTCAACACCAAATTTGTCATGGCATCGCAATAAAAATCACTTCTCTGAGCTCCAACGATATTGGCCATGGCTTCTGGTAGGTGGCCTGACGGGCAGTTATGCTGCTGCATCCCGGTCCTCGTGCTCCTGAGCTTCAAACTGACCACTTGCGTCCTACTCTAGTTCGTATCTGCGTTTGCGGTGATGAGGGAACTGGCAAGTCTAGCCTCATCGCTTCGCTGGTCAAGGATGTCTTCATCTCTAACAAAATTCAATCCGTCCTCCCCTCCATCACGATCCCTCCCCAACTCGGCACGCCTGAGAACGTCACGACCACGATCGTCGACACCTCCGCCCGACCTCAAGACCGCACCACCCTACGAAAAGAGATACGAAAGTGCAATGTCATCCTTCTTGTCTACTCGGATCACTACAGCTATGAGCGTGTTGCTCTCTTCTGGATGCCGTACTTCCGCTCCCTCGGCGTCAATGTCCCCGTTGTTCTGTGCGCCAACAAGTCCGACTTGACGGGTGAGGGGAACACACCGCAGGTTGTCGAGGGCGAGATGCTGCCCGTCATGTCCGAGTTCCGCGAAATCGACTCGTGCATCCGCTCGAGCGCGAGGGAGCACCGAAATGTCAATGAAGTTTTCTTCCTCTGCCAAAAGGCCGTCACACACCCCATCGCCCCGCTATTCGACTACAAGGAGGGGAACCTGAAGCCGGCTTGTGTCGATGCATTGAAGCGCATATTCTATTTGTGTGATAAGGACCAGGACGGGTACCTCAACGACCAGGAAATGCACAATTTCCAGTCCAAGTGCTTCGACAAACCTCTAACCGCCGAGGACCTGGAAAACATTAAGCTCTCAATCAGCAAGACAGTGCCCAATCTGTCGACTGAGAAGGGCATCGACCAACTAGGCTTCTTGCAGCTGAACAAGATATACGCGGAGAAGGGCAGACACGAGACGATTTGGATCATACTGCGCAAGTTTCGGTACACGGACAGTTTGAGCTTGGAGGATAGCTTCCTGCACCCCAAGTTTGATGTGCCAGAGTATTCTTCGGCGGAGCTGAGTCCTGCAGGATACCGCTTCTTTGTAGACCTGTTCTTACTGTTTGATAAGGACAACGATGGCGGTCTGAACGATAAGGAACTCGAGGCTCTTTTTGCGCCGACACCAGGACTTCCCGCCTCCTGGATCGAGACCTCATTCCCGTCTTCAACCGTGCGTAACGAAGCCGGGCACGTCACTCTACAAGGGTGGCTCGCTCAATGGAGTATGACCACCTTTATGGAACCGAAGACTACGCTTGCGTACTTAGCCTACCTGGGATTTGAACCCGCAACTGCTCGCGAAACCACCACGGCGGCTCTCAAGGTTACGAAATCGCGGAAACGGAGAAGACGCCCAGGTAAGGTGGAGCGTAACGTCGTGTTGTGTTATGTCCTGGGCGCCTCAGGGGCTGGCAAGTCATCCTTGTTGGACGCCTTCTTGAATCGACCGTTTGACACCCTCTATCGGCCAACGATCAAGCCGCGACGGGCTGTCAACAGTGTAGAGCTTCCCGGCGGCAAGCAATGCTACCTGATCCTAGAAGAGTTGGGTGAGCTCGAGCCTGCTATCTTGGAAAACCAAGCCAAGCTGGACGCTTGCGATCTTATCTGCTACACGTACGACTCTTCGGATCCTGACTCCTTTTCTCACATTGTCGAGCTGCGTAAACGCTACCCACAACTAGACGACCTCCCCAACATTTACACAGCCTTGAAGGCGGATAAGGACAAGACGACACAACGTAGTGAAATGCAGCCCGACACATACACCTCTAGCCTGATGATGAGCACGCCTCTCCATGTAACTGTCAAGTGGACCAGTATCAGCGAGCTGTTTATCGCGCTGGCGGACGCGGCGACGAACCCAAGCACAGCCTTCCCGCGTAGCGAGGAGCCGCCGCCGGACAGGACCAGTCTGTACCTCGCCCTGGGTGCCACGGCTTGCGCTGGCGTTGCGGCGTTCATGATCTGGCGGCGGTCAACGACGTCAGTCTAAAGAAGGTCTCCATTTCAGGCTTGTTGTTTCCCCACTTGCATCTGCTCGGAGTTGGTGCAATTTCGTACTCTTTGCCACCTACTCGTTGAAACATAAATATGATACCCGACTCCACCCTACACATATAATAGGAATCTTAGTGTCTAATCAAAGTAATATAACTGTTCTTCTTGTGTTGGTCACCTGAACTTTACTATCGTTGAATGCCGAAGTGCTCTAGAGCGTGTAGTAATTAGAGCCGTGGCAGAGTCGATACGCCCAGTCCTTCCGAATTCCTCAACAATATATATATGTACATATATGTAATATATATGTGCCCTTGCCGGAAGAGTCCTATAAATATGATATGCCAGGGTTTTGCTATAAACCCCGCCCACCCGACTGGACTATGATCTAGCATTCGGTGTTGCCTCCGGACGGTAGGAAGGTTGCTTATTCCCCCTTGAGTCTTCCACCATTGTTGTCACTTTGTGAACCATTTAGATACTGCGGTATATGCAGGATAGATCTGTCATGAAGCATGCAAGTAGTCATGCGAAGTTAAATCCAGTTGAATCTCCGCCCTCCTCCATGTCCCGGTACTCTGACATCATTGATTAGAAGACTGTTGTCGGCTCGACAACCTCACGTGCATAAACAAGTTCGCTACTGCTGATGGATTCCAGGTTATCCTTGTGACCACGATTTCGTATCGGTGCCCACCACGTAAACATGTGAAGATGCTCGCGTACGGGCAAACCAGGGACAGGCATCCCATGCCTTACACTGGTTTCGAACCAAAGCCTTGGCAAGACCACAACGGCCAGAACCCGATGTAAGTACTCTCTCCTTTGCAGATCCGGCTTCCTCTCATCTTGGCTACGATGGTCCAACGATGGCGGCGATGCGCACTTGTCAAGGCCCCCCAATAGATGGCGACCTGTACGAGAAGAGCCCGTGCGATTCAAAATCCAGTTGAAATCAGGCTGGGCAACCCTGGAAGCTCAACCTCATCGGGCAGGGCTTTGGCGAGTGGCTCTCCTCATCAGTTGGGAGAGATGATGTGCATGGCGCTTGACAGTTAGGGGCGATGGGTGGGTACATGCGGCAGAGTTTCTTGCCGTGAACTTATTTCTCTGACTACATAGCTTTGTTGTGGGCTCCCGGAGCATATACACTACAGGCTACGCTAAATCGCAGAGCTGCTCTGGCTCCATTTGGAAGAGACGCATATTTTAGCAAAACATGTATGTGCATGGGGATTAACCACAACTTGAAATGGACCCTAATATGGCTCTGATGACGACCCTTCGTCATACCGAAATCTGACTGGACATCCATAGCTAAACCTGGGCATGCCGTGGCGTCCCGCACATTGCATAAATACATTTGATACATATTAAATACATATGCGAAGCCCTGGCAGGCCCCAAACGAGTCCCACTGACCTTTGCAGTGACCAAGATTCCAAGCGAGCGTGTCTGTCGCAACAGTTCACCCATATATAATGGGATCCGGTCGTTCCCCCAACCTCGCGACAAGGTCTCAAGGCTCCCCGCGGTCGTCCTATCGCGGACCATAGAATCTTAAATGGTCACGCAATAGGCTTATTAACCAGTCATTTCCCAAAGGCCAGGAACGCTGACAGCCCATGCAGCTTCTTTATGGAAGGAATCGTATTAACACACCGCATGAGTCAAAACTAGGGCGCCTGGAAGAAGAAAACAACCAATATCATAATGGTATCTGGAACTTTCCGGCCGTATACAGAAAAATCAAACTTGTTACCATACAAACAAGAGTGAAAAACGCGATACTGGGGAGCAAGGGAAAAAAAAAAGACTCCAGAATGGCAGCTTCGTGCTTGGTGAGGCCCAGAAGGAGAAAAAAAAAGCGTCATGTAATCCGCGTCGGCTACCCAAAGCCTGAACCCGAACCAAACCCGTTCCGTTACCCAAGACACAGATAGTAGGCAGCCAAGTATACAGAAAAGCCCCGGTGTCTCAAACCCGCATCGTACACATTTTGACTCATTATACAGCCTCGTCAGAAGTTCTCGCCCAAGCCGTCGTATACCTAGACACAGTCCTGTTTTTTCGTTTCGTTTCGTTTCGTTTCGTAAGCCGCACACGAACACCGCCACCACAACGCACCGGACGTGAGACATGAGTTCCACCCGGTGCTCAGTTCATCAGCCGGCCTCCATTGACCGGGATAACCGTCCCCGTAATCCACCTGGACTCATCACTAGCCACGAAGGCAACGACGTCGGCGATGTCCTCGACGGCGCCCAGCCTGGCCTCCGCGGGCGTGAGACTCGCCCTCTCCAGGTCGGCGCTCCGCTGGTCGTCCGGCAGCGAGTCGAACATCTCCGTCTTGACCGTGCCCGGACTGATGCAGTTCACGGTGACGCCGTGCGCCTGCCCCATTTCCCGCGCCGCGACGCGCGTGAAGGCCTCGACGGCAGCTTTGCTGCCCGCATAAGCCATGCTGCCGGGGCTGTCGGCGCGAGCCGCGACGGACGAGATGTTGATGATACGACCGCCCGGGGCGATGTGGGGCTTGACGGCCTGCATCATGAAGAAGACGGCGCGGGTGTTGGTATCGAAAATGCGGTCGTAGTCCTCGGTCGTCGTGTCGTCGAGCGTCGCGCTGAGCGTCGCGGCGGCGTTATTAACGAGGATGTCGATCTTTGTGACGCCGAAGGCCATCATCGTGCGCTCGATGACCTTTTTCTGGTGCTTCGAGACGTCGGCCTGGATGGCCGTCGCCGAGGACCCACAGGCCTCGATCTCGGATATGACCTCGTGGGCCTTTGCTATAGATGATGTGCTTACAAACGTGAAGGCGACCTTCAGTCACGAGAATCACAGGAATCTAGCCTTAGCCGTGGTTTTTGCATTTGATCATGAAAGAAGGGAGGATAAAAAAGAGAAAGAGGTAGGGTGGAATCGGGAGACGCACCCTGGCTCCTTCTCGTGCGAGCTTCAACGCGATCGCGGCGCCGATGCCTCGCGCGCCGCCGGTGACGATGGCCACCTTTCCTGACAAGGACATGTTGGGCGGCGGCAGCTGCGGGAGCGGTTTGGTCCACAGAGCAGATGAGGCGCGCCTCGCGACGCTTTCGCTTGTCTCTCCCTCGCTTATCTGGGGTGACTGGCTTTGCTGATGCTGTTGCTGCTGGCTCAACGCGTTGCTCAGGTGAGACTGTGATAAAGGTACACTGTCAGCGACGATGTCTGATGGCATCCTCGAACGGAACGCCGGTGTAGTGCAGCAGAATACCGGGAGAGTCTGGCTTTGGAGCCAATGCGTAACGGCTCGGAAAGCCATTTGACTGGGATCCGTAGTCATGGCATTATCCTCAGTGCGTGCGACGTCCATGCAGTTATGCTGCGGCGGTTTGGGAGGTGTGATGCGATGACGAAGACTGGTCGACTGGCAAGCAAGAGGCTAGTACACTGAATGTCAGCCTGGCCTTGCACACATGCGCACACACACCCACCCGAAAGTCTCCCGTGCGTTGGAGGTGGTGTGTGTTGGTGTGGCGGCGCGGGGAACGTCAATGTGTCGATCTCAGTGGATGACCAATGTGAGACAACGGTCCAGGCCATACCGTCGACTCAAGGTCGTCACAGTCGGTGGGTAGGTACTGTGTTCCGTTGGTCAAGTAGTCTGCACAGAAGGACGCAGACCCCAGCCGTTGCAGCTGTAGTGTATTGCAAAGGTGGAAATCTAGACATCTAGCCACACACCATCGTTCGGGTTTGGGCTTTTAGAGGGGGGGGGATTGTGGTGTTCCTTTGGGGGTCAATAGGTCCTCTGACCTGATAGATGGTAGCGACCGAAGCCAATCGCTACAGCCCATCTCTGAAGGAACCAGTCAATTCAGGCGCCAATTTCACTGCTTCGGTGCTGATCCCTCGATCGATGGCAACTGCGGTCGGAATGCATCGAACCAGGGGCATATTGTACCACCATCAGGCTTCTGATAGTATCTCGGAAGCGGATGGCTTGTTCGTTTGCTGTATGGACTCAGAACTCATCACTGATATACAGTGCAGCTGCCTTCATAGCAGTAAGAACAGAAACAATTATTAATGAACGATGACACATTCCAACTAGAAAGCCGCCCGTAACTGGCTGTCCGGTCTTTTTCATGGTGGATGGCGAACACCCTTGCTAGGAAGCGGCAGATGGGATCACAGCCTCTGGTTGGCTGTTTCTCAGGAATGGTTTTCAGAGCTGGCTTGAGCGCGCTTCGCTTTGGTCTTGATGGCGGACAGGGGAGAGCGTCTCGACATCGAAGAGGATGAAGGTGGTGAAGCCGTTGGGCATTGAAATGAAATTTCGCATCCAGGTCGCTCTGGTGCAGTGGAGCCAGCAGGGCAATCAGGCCTTGAAATAAAAGAATCTCCAGGCACAAAGGGTCTCAAGGGGCGAGAGCGGGAGATGACCCCGACGATACGACACGCCGACGAGGGCTGGCAGCGCCGGTGGTGGATAGACAACCGAGGTGGTGACGATGACCGTCAAATTGCCAAGAATCCGACCAGCCAGCCCCCTAGACCTTCAAGGAGTCCCGCCTCTTGCTCTCCAGTGTTCAGTTCTTCGAGATGGGTATGGAATAACAGGGGCAACCTCGGCTTCGTGGAACCCGGCCGTGGGTTGCATTCCTCCTACCTAATCACTCCCTTGGGGGCATTCTCTGATTCGGACGGACTCGGTTTCGGCGGCACACAGAAGGCTAATCGTGCGTCAGGCAGAATCAGAGTGAGAAGGGAGGCAGGCAGCCCTTGTTGAGAAAGCCAAAGTTTCCTGGCATAAAGTGGTAAGTTATTCTGGGGAGGTTGAAGTGCGCTGGGCCGGGGCCGGGGCCGGGGTCCTGGGATCGCCCTGTACCGTTTGGGCATACGAACCGGATTAGTGTCGATTCTCGGTAGTAGCCATCAGCGCCGACCGATTCTGTTACGACGTCGGCTCGATGCGATGGGCGTCGGAGAAGTCGCTGACTAGAACGGCTTGGTACGTAAAAGTAGTATCTGTATATATGACATGAGATTCCTGAGCACCAGACGGGAAGGAGCGAACGGTGGAATAATAAGTGATACCCACTGAATGCCCCCCACGCATAAAGGACCGAGTCCGTCCTTGCTGCACATCATAGAACATTCTTCCTGGGTGAGCAGTCCCTGTATCTTTCGGAAGTTAATGAGCTAGTGAGGATACTGAGGGGCTAGGAGAAACCCGCTCCAGATTCAGCTCGGGTTAGAGATGAGAAGCGAGAGAGCCCCGGACTCGTGTTGTAGTTTTTCATTGTTTCACAGCTCTTCTGGATGACTTTGGACGGTGATGTGATGGACATGGACTGATTGGGCAGCCAGCCATGGAGCGCTTATTCAGGTTCCATCCACATCCAATGTTCGGAATTCGTGCTTTGGGAACAATCGACCGGAGCCAGCTGATAACTGACTTGGTTCAGCTCATCACCCAACGCCAGTGTTGGGGTCCTTGGCTTGGGACCAGGAATGTAGAGTAGTAGCGGAGTTAGGGGTCAGGTAAAGCGCCGCGTCCAGGCCACTCTAGAGTCCGAGTGTGCTACTGACAAAGTGGGTATGATTAGGTACTGTTCGGTCAAATCGGATGGTCACTCTGCTATAATGGAGATGGGGTGAAGGCGAGTGATGGGCCGGCTAGCCAGCCCTCTCCTTTTCTTCTTCTTTTTTTTTCCCTTCTTTCTTTTCTCTTTTTCCTATCCTTTTGTTTCCCCATCTGTTCTTTCTCTTTTGCCCCCTGCAAGCGCAAGCGCAAGTGCAAGTACCCGTCGGCAACGCCACAACGCCAGAACGGTAGCCCGTCAGTTGATAGCACACGAGCCAGGGGCTCTTACCGCCTTAATGCACGAACGACGACAAGGAAACCGGACGACTCATGTGTTTAAGCTTAGACACGCAAGCACGGCACCGAACAGACGACAACTGCGCTGTGCTATGAGGTAAAGAAGCTGGCTGGCGCATTAGGTAATCTTTAATGTGCCTGGTCGGCATCGATTCCCCTCCTGTCTCCGCCCCAATCTGGGCCGAAGCAGGCAGGGTGCCTACGTAGTAGTAGTACACTATTCACAAATAAAAGTCCATTATTTGGACTAGTTCCACCGGTCTCTCCCTTCTCTCTCCTTTCCCATCGTAGAGGACAGGTTGCTGGGCCTTGGTGAGCCACCTTGAACTACCTACATTGTAGGTAGTAGAAAGTAGCTACCTACCTTGCTAGTCATTCCCTCACCCGACGTACACACATTGACGGTCCATTACCACTGGCAACTGACATGCTGACGGGGCACGTGACGGGATGGAGACTTTACTGTATTCTTGCCAGACCACTTTGACTGGCCGCTTGAGCCTTGAGGAGTCCGGTTTAATTGACGCTAATGCGGCCTGAGTGGCGCCCTCCCCTCCGGTAGGTATCTAGGTATCTAGGTATCCATCAGCGTATGTCATCCGCCGATTAGGGAGTACCTGGTACTTCCACCTCTGGTGCCTCCACTTGGTTGGTTCAGGCAGACCGCTCACTTCCGACGGTTGTCTCTGCAAATAGCCATGTACCCATCTACTTCGACCCTCAAGTATCTGATCTCCACGACGTGGCCTTGACCTGGTAGCGCCTCTGCCTATCCATCCATTCGCCCGTTCAGACGTTTTCTGTGCGTGCTGTGGTCACTGCTGCCGCTGCCGCTGCCGCCGCCGCCGCTCTCTGACCTGCAGCAGAGTAGGGGGTAATTGCCTGGCCTGGATACGCCCGTCCTGTCTGTCTGCACCTGTACTGCACTGCCCTGCCCAACCCCATTTCTCCAAGGTTCACACTGACCGAGAACCATTGACACTATTGGCCTTACCGACTCGTACAGATATCTACCAACGACTTCCACCACCACCAACTCTTTCTGCCTACCTCACCACTACGGCACAGCATAACATTGCAGAAAACCCGCCAGCCGACTGCCCGCCTTTGACGTCCTGGTTCTGTCCCCATCCTCGCCCGTCAAGTGCTCTCAACAGCACCTTTCGCCGCTTGCCCTTTTTTTCCCTCTCTGTACGCAACGGCCGGCTTCCACAGTCGTTTTCCCCAACTCTTATCGTACGCTGTACATACCGGGTGCCGCTCTATCGCCTCCTCGCATACGATACTGAACATCGCGGCCGTCTCGAGAATCGATACCTTTATCCGTATCCCAAATCGACTCACTTCAGCGCTCGCTCTGGAGAAATCACCGCCTCCTTTCTTCGCCGCGCCTATGCTGCCCCCTACCCTTGACAGATGAGACTTCAACGACGCGCTCTTTACGAACGACATTCTTTGGATCACAAGTGGTGCATTCAACGGAAACCTTGGCTTTTCGGCCTCCCTGCGGGTCATTCGCTTTTCTAGATGATGGTGCGTACCCCGTCAGCAACCTGTCATGTTGGCTGGACCTTGAGTCGTTCGCTTTTCCAAAGGCCTTGCCCCGCGACTCGTTGAACCGGTCGTAGCCCCCCCTCGAATCTGGTGTCTCGGGCTGCCTGCTTTTTTCCACTTGAATCCCTTCCGTAATATGCCTCGGTTGCTGACTCTCCTTGCTATCCACAGACCTCATCTAGACCCCGCGCCGATGTTGGCGGCAGCTTTGCGAGTCGACGCGGTCATGCTGCCCAGCTGTCAATCTCAGACCCCAGCCACCATGTGACTGAGACTATTGGGACTCTGTACGGAGACGAAGAGGATTACTCAAATGACCAGCGACCTTCAAGTTTTCTTGGATCCTCCTACTCCGATCAACCCAACAAGCAGGCCGAAGCCGACCCCTCCGCCGAAGACCCCCGTAGACAAATGCTGCGTTCAGCCTCGGACAAGACGGGCTTAGGAGCGGGACAAAACGGATCTCCCGCGCTTAAAAAGTCCCAGACGATGCCGACGCGCTCGCCTAGTCAGCGAAGCAACTCACACGAAAATGGACCCAAGTCGCCGCCAATGTCCCTGCGGGATGTCAAAAACGAGTCCTCCCAGTTCCCCCTGGGTAGCATCGAGAATCCGAACGATATTGCGCAGGAGCTCAGCAACTTGCAAGCCCTAAGACGCATGTCTATGGATGTTGGAAACAATGCTGACCCCGATATGCTACCCTTTTCTGGTCTCTCCCTTGTAGCGATGCCTCCAATCGCCCCGACGGGAGATGATGACGAAAACGACCCTTCGAGACTGCTGTGGGTGCCTGCAGCCGTTCATCCAGAGCTTGCGCCAACAGAGTTCAAGAATTTCTTGGAGGACCGCGTCAAAACTATCAGGAGACGATCGGGCGAATCCAACGACAGCGGTATGAATCGGAACGACTCCAGTGGCGGTCTGAGGCGGAAGAAGAGTATGCTCTCACGGCAGATCGACAATTCCGGAGGCAGAGGAGCTGTGGGCTACGTTGATGGTGCCGAGAGGCTCGGACGGAAGAGCTCCCTCAGGGACTACTCGACTCCAGAGCTCAACCTGAACGAATTGGTCAAGGACCCTACCAAGGTAGTGCGAGAGCTTGCCCAGGAAGGCCAAGCTGAGGGTGCTGCTGAAGATATGCCCATTCTGCCCGTCGCCCCCGGCATGGGACTTCGTCGATCGACCAGGACAACTTACCGAAAGAACGGCAGTGTACGTTCTGGGGATCGTTTGCCCTTCTCGAAAAGGGTCACAAACCGGCACGGTCAAACAGACTCGCCCGACTCGGCTGATACGGTCCCCCCTCTGCCGTCCGATGTGCCCGAGGTGCCTCCTTTACCTAACCTTCAACGAGTTCAGTCAGAGCCGGTGGCGGAGAACTTCTCGCGTCCTAACCGGTCGGTACGCCGGCAGCACAAGTTTTCTCAGGAAATGGGCGCATTATCTGATGGTGCATTGTCAGAGGTCGAAGAGCCTGCGTCTCCTCTCAGCACTCGTTCCGAACAACAGCATCCCACAAGGACATCGTCGTTTTCTGCCGACACGAAACAAGCTGTTCCGTCCATTGTTGAGTCGCCAACAGTAGAGGAGAATGGACAAAGGCAGCAGTTTCCCCAGCGATCGTCTTCGCAACATGCAAGTCAGCAGACACCCTCTCAGTCTCCAGTGGAGGAGCCTCCTGCTCGTTCGAGCAAGCGGTCTGGGCCCAACAACTCTGTACAAAGCCCGACGACTCCTGCAGCACCTCAACAGCCACAGGTACAACACCCGAAGCACCCCGCCGCTGCTCCCAACCAGACGCCGAACGACTTGGGTTCCCACTCATCCGTCTTACCTAGCGGCGGTGCCTCTCGAACAGACACTTTAACTTTCATTCCGACCTTGCCGGCAGAAGAAAAGAAGCTGGAGGAGAAGAGGACTGGGGGCAAGCTCAGGAAGGAAAGAGATGACGACGCATCCAGCGTCTCATCAACGAAGTCTTCCGGGGGGTGGTCCAAGTGGCTTAAAGGTGGCAGTGATGACAAGGACAAGAAGAAGAAGGATGAGGAAAAGAAGAAGAAGCATGGCGCAGAAAAGGTACAAGACAACGCCCGACTGGATGTCCTACAGAACTCGATCGAAGGTGCCTCTACCACCAAGGGTAGAGAAAGCATCATTGTGGATCGCGACAACGTGGACACCAAGCTCGCAGAGGAGCGGAAGAAAGAGAGCAAGAAGACGGAATCCAAGAAGGAGAAGGAGGGCGGTCTCTTCGCAGGTCTCTTCGGTGGCGGTAAGAAAAAGAGCGAGAAGGAGAGCAGCAGCAAGAAGAACCAGCACCTGCGCGTGTCGGAAGAAGTGCCGTATCGACCTCTCAAGCCTGATGTCGATTATCATTGGGCCAGATTCCCGCTCCTTGAGGAACGAGCGATTTATCGGATGGCTCATATCAAGCTTGCAAACCCGCGTCGGTCGCTACTGAGTCAGGTTCTGCTCAGCAACTTCATGTACAACTATCTCGCCATCGTCCAAGCCATGCATCCTCAGATGCAGGTTCCACAGTCACCGCAACAAAGACGGCTGGAGGAGGAGCGCCGCCGCAAGGAGCAGGAAGAACAGCACCTCGCACAACAACAACAACAACAGCAGCAGCAGCAGCAGCAGCAGGATGGGGCAGAGCAGGACACTACGGGCCAGTACAACTTTGAGTACCATCGGGTATGTTAAGCCACAGTTGCACATATCGGATTTTTGAAGCTGACTCAATTCCCAGGGTGACCCGCAGTACGGAGACCATCCTCACGATGAGGTGGACTACGTGGATGATGCTCAGATTTACGAGTATGACCACGGCGGCGACATTGACAATGGACGCGGCAATGGCTACAATGGCCCTGACAGCTACGAAGCTCAGCCTGGCAAGCAATATTACCACGACCAGTACGGGCGTGATGGCGGCGATGATGCAAGGCGTAGAGATGATCGAGAGGACATGTGGTAAATCTCGGGGAATGGGTGAGAAGTGAAGAGGGCGGCAACGCCAAGCCGGGACATACATTGACGAGCAGAGAGGTCTCCTGGTGTGGTCCGGATCATCGAGCGAACCCGTTTAAAGGCGCTGTATAATCTTTCAAACGCATGTGCATAAGGCGGAGTTCATGGATTGCAAGTTCGACATGTATTCAGGAAGGGCTTTTGCTGAAGGTTCGGCGGAGTCTTAGGTGGCCCTCTTTTTCCTCTTCTTCTTTGTCCCCAACATCTTTGATCTCATCATTGTTACTATCCCATCGGTTTGTATTGTGGTGGACGGAGGTATGTTTGGCGAAGCACATGTAAACAGATAGCATAGCGACCGGGACGATCTGAAGGCTGCTTAAGTTCGATGATGTTGTTGCATGGGGACGAAGAATAGAAATATACCACAAATACGTCGACATAGTGTATCCGTACGGTGGATCCATAAATATTGACCACCAATTGTCGTTGGGCCGCCGTTCTGGCGTTGGCGTGGCCCGCCTTATACTCAGGGTTGGACCTCACGTGCCCAAGAGTGGTGTCCAGAGCAGTAGTTATATACCTATAGTGTCTGTTTATGTATGGGACGGGACAAGAAGACAGCCTGCAATGGAGTTGTGACAAGACCTGCAGGCTATGAGAGGCCCGAAAGCCCCAGTTGAATTCTCTCATTTCTTCTAGTTGTTGTCCATGAAGGTGAACCAAGGGGCTGGTCGGCGTCGTGTTTATCCCTGACAGGTCCAATTTGGGGCGCCTCACTAATTAACTACCTACCTGTACGTAGCAGGCACGGACAAAATGGGACCCAGAGGTAGGTATGGATCACGGGAGATGGAATATGGAAGAAAGGACCTGTGTTGATTTAGCGTGAGGCAGGTATCCAGTCCCCGCTGCGGTCGATACCTGGATGTGGGTGCCCCAGTACGGATATAGGTGCTAGGTATCCGTAGGCAGGCGTCTACCCAGCGAGCTTCCCGCCGTCCTGTCTCGCTTGCCACCCCCCAGGATGCTGAGCCTGAGGGCTGCTCTGAGAGAAAGAGCACGTTGGCCCCTGCCAGCTGTAAGAAGCCACGCTAAACCGTTTAGGGCAGCAGCAGCCTCTTCTGGCAGTGCGCCAATTCGTCCGTTCGTTGCTTCCACCTACACCTTGCACTTTTCCTTAACCTCCAGAAAAATATCACCAGCCTTGTAAGGGGAGCTTATTCCTTGTCTCGTCGCAAACATCACCGGCTGCTTCTTCCAACCTCTTTTCCATCTCCGTTGATACCCAAACCTCCCTCTCTACGACCTCTCCGAACCGAGCGACCGGTCAACCACCCGACGACAACACCGAGCCCGATCGTCCCCTGTGACCTCCATCGCCCAATCGACATCTCGCGATTACCCTGACAACAACCTAGCATGGCTGCCGTGAGTGCCTCCTTTTTCTCGTCACATCGAGCTTCAGATGGCAGTGGAATGTCTTCGTCGGCGATTCGTCTGTTGTTGCGCCCCCTCCTTCATATCTGTCCTCGTTACCGCGATGCTCCTTCGTCGACCCCCGGCCGGACCTTGACAGCTCCTACCTGTCCCGCTTTCAAGCCCCAGTACTGACATGCCATCAACGTTGATAGCCGCGTCCATACAACAACAACCCGGGCTACATGCCTAACGGAGCTTCTTCAATCCCTCCTGGAGCTGCGCCGCTACTCCCCAACCAGGGTCGTGTTATTCAGACTGGCCCCATCCGCGTCCTGTGCATAGCTGATGTTCGAGGTATGTCGCTATTCCATCAGATCCCGTCCCCTGGCCAGCCACGGAACTCTAGCCTGATTTGTTTGAAATAGGAAACCTCACATCCTTGAACGACCTGGCAAGACAAGCACGAGCCGATCACATCATCCACACCGGCGACTTTGGCTTCTACGACGACACCTCTCTGGAGCGAATTGCAGAAAAGTAAGGAATAAACACTTCACGATCCTACACCCGACCGCTGTCATTCTGACATTGGTACCAAGGACCCTTAAGCATGTTGCTCAGTACTCTCCTCTGATCTCGGAGCCCGTCAAGAAGGCGATCCAGCAGGGCGGCCCTGGGCCCGTCAAGAGCCGATTCCCCGCAAACGAGCTCCCCCTTTCCGAACTTCCTCTCCTCCTGAGCGGTGAGATCAAGCTCGATGTTCCGGTATACACTGTCTGGGGTGCCTGCGAAGACGTCCGCGTTCTGGAAAAGTTCCGATCCGGAGAGTACAAGGTGCAGAACCTGCATATCATCGACGAGGCCCGTTCGATGCTCCTCGAACTCGGTGGGGTGAAGCTGCGCCTTCTGGGTCTTGGCGGTGCTGTTGTTATGCACAAGCTTTTCGACAACGGCGAGGGCAGAACCACCATTGCTGGAGGCCAGGGAACCATGTGGACCACCCTTCTCCAGATGGGCGAGCTCGTCGATACCGCCCACCGAGTCTACGATCCCACCGAGACACGCGTCTTCGTCACCCACGCCTCTCCCGCTCGCGAGGGCATCCTGAACCAGCTCTCCGTCACCCTCAAGGCCGATTTCTCCGTCTCCGCTGGACTCCATTTCCGATATGGCAGCTCCTACAACGAGTTCAGTGTAAACCCTACCCTCGACCACTACCGCGGCAAGCTTGCCGCCTCCAAGGCGTCCTTCAACGACGTTTGGGAGACTGTCAAGAACGAGGTTGAGCCGGCCATCTCTCAGAACGAGGCGCAACAGAACCTACTCAAGAATGCCCTCCAGATCGTCGAGAAGATGCCCACTACTGCCGCCGGCGGTAACCCCTTCGGCGGCCCTGCTGCCGGCCAGGCTCAGCTCGGTCAGGTTGATGAGAGCGCCTTCAAGAACATGTGGAATTTCAATTTGGCAGATGCCGCATTTGGCTGGTTGGTGCTCGAGATCCAGGACGGCCGTATTGGAACCGAGATGCGTGCCCAGGGCTTCAACTTCTCGCACAGAGGTGCTAAGGCGGCCCCGCCCGTTCCCTCTGGACCGGCTAGTGCGAGCAACCTCCCCGCCTCAGTGCCTCCCTCGACGCAGACCACAGCTCTCCCGCCTACCAGCAGACAGTCTTCCTCCCAAGCACCCCCTAAGCCTGCTGTTGCAACGCCTCTGCCGCCTGCCAAGCCTGCGACTCCTCAGCCCTCTACTACTCCTGCGCCGCCCGCCGTACCCCCCAAGGATGAGCGTCCTGCACCCGCAGCCGCTAACGGATCGGCCAATGGCCCTGATCCTGTCTCATCGCCTGCGCCCAAGACGCCTGCTCAGGACATCATCGGTCTGTTCATTATGAATGTTAGTTCCGAAGAGCAGGCGCGCGAGCTCTTTGACGGTGAGCATAGAAACAATATCCTCAAGGTCGAGAAATGGGGCAACTCGAACAAGGTTGTCCAGTTCAAGACCGGAGAGGATCGTGATGCCGCTCTCAACAGCTTGCCCGAGGACCTCAAGACTCGTGCTCAAGAGGACCGGTCTCGTCCCCTGGTCAAGGTCTTTCAGCACCGCGAGAGCAAGTTCCAGCCTCGCGGCGGTGCTGGCAACTGGGGCAGCAGCAGAGGTGGCGGGAACTCGGCGAACACCGGCAGCGGTTACCGCAGCGCAGGTGGCGCCAGTGACTCTGAGAGCACCCGCCGTGGTGGCCGCGGCGGAGGCCGAGGAGGCCGCGGAGGTGAGCGGGGACGTGGCCGTGGCCGAGGCGGACTTAAGGGCGAAGGTGGTGCCTCGCCTGCTCCTGGCCCTGCCACCCCTGCGGAGTAGGACTCTTCGCTCGAACCCTTTGATGAACTATGGAAGATGGCGCGGGCTTCGGGATCGAAGCGAACTCAACCATCGAATGAAGTATTTGGAGCCTTAATGGCCAAATTTGGCCCCTCGGGAGTAGGGGAATGAAGGACAAAAAACAAGAACAGTTTTTGCCCAGTAACGAAAGGAGAAAGGGGAAGGGCCAAAGAAGAAAAAAACAAGTGCTACCAATTCTTGTACGCGTACCTTAATGAGACAGCTTGAGTGGGAGACGGGGGTATTTTTCTCGAGCTGGACGGCAGTCTATCCGAGAATCTTTTTCAAAAGAAACATTTCTTTCTCAATTCCTCTCCCGTTTATCCATGCTGGGAGTTCTTTGATCGATGAGGGACTAAAAAGAGCATTTTACGGCTTCGGCGGGGAGTTGGGAGAGCAAAAGGGAAGGCGGACTTGAGGGATGACGATGTTTCGTCTATTCTGGTTGGTTTATCCCTCTTGGAAGGCGGAAAATGGCTGTTGGGGGTGTCGGAACGGATAGATTCCAATTCAACGTCCAAAAACAAACACGCGTTTGTGTACTGCTCCCATGGGGTGAGTGAAATCTCGAGGGCTGGTGTGTAACAGAGTGCCCTGCAACTATCACAATACCGTTCGTGTGGGGGAGCGGCCCATTCCTTGAGCCCGGTGGTTCGCGCAGTCTACCTAGGTAGGGAATGCTTATAGCATCGCTCCAGGAAAAGATTGAAACTCTATGGTGAACGGGCATTGCAGACTTCGGGAACTATCAATTGTCGATGACGTTTCGATTCCCATCCTTCATCGCCCTTGATGAAGATGTAGTAAGGCGTCAGAACGTGTCCTCACTTTGACTCGGATTAGCATGGCCTTGGTCCTTGGCAAGGTGCACGAAATCCGTCAGCGTACCAACTCGGCTCGCACAATGGGCTATATCGCAAGCACCGGTTTCAGATGTTGGCTGGAAGGTAGGTACAAGTGAGCTTGATGCTTCTGTCGAGTGACAACCGTTAGTTGCCTCCTTTGAATGTGTCGAGATTTTAGCGCATCGGATAGCAGAAAGCTGTACCTCTTCAGCCAGGAATTTCGGGTCACTGTCAATACGAGCCTATTTCACACACACACACACACACACACACACACGAGAAACTCAAGCACCCGAGAAGATGAGCAACATGTCTGACAATCTGGTCGTAAGTGGCTGTTGTCCAGGGCTAGCAGCCGCCTTGATACACATTCTTTTTCGTGTGGAGTCTATCTGGGTGCCCACCGTCTATGCAGCCATGCCATTGATCCGTATTTCTTCCCGTATTGTTACAGATACACACATTGTACATAAGCCTTGCCGGCTCAACCCGCCCCTTCATTGGGGCCCTCCTCACACCTCGCCTCTCCAACCCCTAATCGCTTACGCGACAGGCTTCATACCCTTGTGGATAGCCGCAACGCCACCTGTGAGGTTCTCATAACCGTCACCCGAAATCACAAAGCCGGCATCCTTAATCATGTCCCTGAACTCTTCTTGGCTAGGGAAGCGCTCGATACTCTCGACAAGGTATTGGTAGCTGTCCCTGTCGCCAGCAACAAGTTGGCCGATCAGGGGAATGGCGCTAAAGGACCAGCGCTTATAAATGGTGTTGAAAAGCGGGTAGTTGTCCGCCTTGCTGAACTCGAGACATGCGAAGACGCCGCCGGGCTTGAGTACGCGGTAGGCCTCGCGCAGAGCGGCGGGGATGTTAGTGAAGTTGCGAATGCCGAAGGCGACGGTGTACAGGTCGATCGAGTTGTCCTTGATAGCGCCCTCGGGTAGTTTCTCGGCGTTGGCCTCGAGCCAAGACATGGCGGCCTGCTGGGAGGCGGGCAAACTCTTTGATCGATCGCGGCCGACAGCCAGCATGGAAGGGTTGATATCGGAGATGGTGACGCGCACGTCGGGGTTGTGGTTGAGGTTATGCGCCGTGTGAAGCATGCGGAAGGCGATGTCGCCAGTGCCACCGGCAATGTCGAGGATGTGTTGAGGAGTTGGAGGGTTTGAGGCCGACAGGCCCGGTTGGAGGCCCGAGACGAAGTGGTCTCTACGATTTAGGTGTTAGTGGTGGTGTAATGGGATGCACTGGGTAAGGAGGGGAGACGTACTTCCATACTCTGTGCCAGCCAAAAGACATGAGATCGTTCATGCGATCATACGAGTCGGCGACGCTGTGGAAGACGCCGGCAACACGGTCGGCCTTCTCAGATTCGGGCACGGTCTTGAAGCCAAAGTGTGTTGTCTTGCTGTCAGCGGACGAGTCGGATGTGTTGATGGACCGTGGGGCGATTGCGAAGGGGCGAGAGACAGGAGCAGGTGATGGTCTCGAGAAGGATCGCACGCTCCATTGGGAGCGGAGGGCGCGTCGAGATGCCATTGCTGAAGAATGGCTTGGTGTCGCGGGAGGGGAGGTCCTAGAGGCGCAACGAAGTCAGTCGATCAGTGCTTGGGAGAGCTTCCAAAGATGGATTTTGTGGTGGAGAAGGGAGATCTGGTGTGGCTGATGCACACTACTTCGGTAACGCCGGGGTCAAGCCACATTCTGAGAAGGATTGGGGTATGGGGCGATCACCCCATTGTATAAGTAGTGGGGTTGACTGGTATCCTACCTTTAGACGGTGGTCTCATTGGATGCGTTTTCAGTCGTCTCCTCCTTGCGTGCTGCCCGGTGATGGGCGAGGACCTTGGCGAAGGTGTGAATTTGTTGGCGGGCGAAATAGGCGATAACGCAGAGGAGCAGTGTGAGCATGAGAACCAAAACGGCGATTTTGGTAGCGGGACTCATATTTCAGCACTTGATTCCTGTAGTTGAATGGTTGGGTTCTTGTATTTCGGAGCTTGCATACGAGGAGAAGGAGCTGTCGAAGGTTGGTGGTGAAGTCTAGACTCTAAACTTGCTGGTTTCGTGGGCGGATGGAGGAGGTGAGTAAGTAATTGCTGTGATGCCTGATGTCAGTAGCGGGTATGGAATAAATGCTAGCAAAATCTCTTGTTCGCTATGAACAATACTTCTCTCGTATATCCTGGCAAGGCTGCTTTGTAGAGCCAGGCACCCAAAACCACCTCACTTACACCAGCGGCATCCTTCACCGAGACGCGCCACTCACCGAACCACCTACCTGGAACTGACTTACATTATTAGGCAGGTACCTAGGTAGGTACCTACCAATATCGGCAAGTGGGTCATCATGAGGGCCCTTTTCATCGGAACCACGGACACACGGTTTTCCACGCATTGATGCACTGTACTGTATGAGCACTGTCGGGCAACACCCTTCAAGACTCGGACACCTCCCGGCCCTGGTGATCCATTCTACCGCCATACGAAATCGATCTACGTATTACGAAATCATTGGGCAATGGATCCAAGCTGGGAAACGCAGTTCCCCCCGACAGTGTCAAAGGCTTGCAGTCGCTGTCATGCACGAAAAGTCAAGGTGAACCAATCTCGCAGAGTACTACGAGAAAGACCAATTGACCATTATGAAGTGTGACCTTCGGGTTCCTCGATGCTCGGCATGTCATCGACAGAATGAGCAATGTAATATCACCGATCGCGTGACGTACTCTTACGCTGCTGTCAAAAGCTTACAAGATCGGATCGCCGAGCTTCAAAATAGGCTCGATATCCTTTCTCGAAACTCATCTGACCAACCTGCCAAGGCGTCTGAGCTTGGTCACTTTAACGATGTCCGCAAAGAAGCCGAAGAGATCGGTGTTCTGGCTATCGGAAGACCTAACAGCTACTCTGAGAGGATATACAGTGAGTTCTGCCCAGCCTGGGTCTCATGTGTTGGACCGCCTCTGTGAATACTGAACATTGATCAATTTTGCGCCTCCCAGTGGGTAGTGCCACTGGCTCAACCTTTGCCCGGATCTTCTTCAAGCAGATCAACCTGGAATCTCTCCCCCCATCATTGCGGTTAAAGCGTGGGGACTTCTCTGGCTTGGACCAACAGCTTCTTCGAAGAAATGCAGCGCTCCCGCCACAGCCAGTTGCAGTTTTCCTCTTGCAAACGTATATCCGTCGCGTTCATATTTGGTGGCCATTCATCTCGCTTCCATACCTGAGGAGAAGCCTCGCAAGCATCTATGAGGACCCAACACGTTGTACTGCATACCAGAGATTTCTAGTTCTCTTGGTTCTGGCTTTGGCTTCTGCCACTTGGCCCGAAAGCCAAGAATATCGGAGAATGATGGACCTGAACAGCCCAACCGATTACTTTCAGACAGGGCTTTGCTTCTTTTTCAACTTCCACGACCACCCGAGAGACCTTCAGGGTCTTCATTCCGTACTCTTATTGGGCTTATGGATGCTAGAATCGAATATTAGGAGCCATGGTGATGACCTTTGGCAACTGAGCCGCTATGCCATGTCAATGGCTATAGAAATGGGGCTCCATCGGCGTTCTGTCACTGCAGGAGAATTTACTGCTGAGGATCATGAGATTCGTAGTCGTACCTGGTGGTGCATATACAGCTTGGAGAGGCAGGTCGCAGTGATCACAGGTCGAGTACTATCGGTTCGAGACCACGCGATAGATGCGCCAAAGCCATCACTTAGCAGCCTGGACGGCCTGACAACTGCTGAAGTGCAAGCGGCACCCGTATTCAAACGCCTGAATGTGAGACTTTTCCACCATCTTGTAAGATTGCGTCAAATAGGCGGGCGTGTTCTCGAATCTGTCTACATCGCCAGGGCGCCGGATGGGCGAGCGTCCAGAACTACATTCCAGCAAATCCGCAGCGAAATCGAAGATGTACAAAAAGAACTGGAAGAATGGGAGGGGGAGATGGCACTTCTTGAAATTGGCGGCACGCGAGAACACTCTGAGATGAAAGTTGAATATGGGCTTTTACTTCTTCTCATGTACAGGCCATCTCCCACCTTCATGATACCCTCCAACGAGATGGTTGAGATATGCTCTCGATCTGTGTCCAGTATAGTCAGCCAATGGCTAGATCTGGAGCTCCATCATGGCATCCTGGCCGTCTGTCGGTGCGTCCGTCATGTACACTCCATCTTGATGGTAGGACTCGCAGGCTTGTATTGCGATTGGTAAGCTCCTTTCTTGTCCAGTATCTGCATGAACCCTTTTTACAACAGGAAACTTTCTACTACCCCCTCCTCATATATCAGAAGCTAATGGAATGCAACCAGGCATATCAGAGCGATGACCCGTAATCCTGACCCCACCCTCATTCACTCCCATGGGAGTGATGTGTCTGCATGCATTGATCTTATCGAGCGCGGTACTAGCCGTATGAAAGAAGAAGGATTACTCAAGTATGGCGACCTTCTTCGAGCGGCACGGATCAAAGTGTACGGGCCAACGTCTTATGAGCCACCCAGCGTACAGACTCATATGACAGATACCCCATCCGCGCCACCTGCTAGCTCTTCTGACGCGGTCGGCATATTCGCTTCAGAAAGTCTACAGAATCCTGTGCTCTTCCAGGGCGAAGGACTAGAGACCTACATGAGCCAGGTGACGGGATATTTCGACAACACCCATATTGGCCTGGATGAAGGTCTAACTGCCTGGTTCGATACTTTCATGGACGAACTTCAACCGGGTCAGAATAGGGAGATGAGATGAAATATTACTGCGCTACCCAAGAGGCCTTCCTATCGCGCAAGTAATATAAGAACTATTGTCCATGCACGTTTCCTATGTATACCATCAAATCCGGTTTGCCAATCAAAGTTTCCGCTACGGCCATCTCATTGACATCAACAACCGGCATAGCCTTTCCATGTCAAATTAACATGTCGGGATCGTATACCTGTAAACTCGGAAGTTCAACCGTTATCCGCGAGTCATCATTGCATTATTCTAGGATTAGCTGTTGTTATCTCAGGAGGCAAAGGACTTCGGACTGGACCGAGTCGAAGTGGGGACGATTTCGCATGATATCGCCAAATTTTCGGCTCTCACCGAGCTGAGCGCCCATCTGCATGATCTAATATGGGGCATTGGTACACGCAAGTCACCGCTCAAGCTATTACAGCAAAGTTAAATATTGGGGACCTCACATCCTTGTTTTGTTACAAATTTCACATCTTGGCCACAAAGCAATGCATCCATAGACTTATACGGCACATTGTCAACCACATTTCAAAATAGCCATGTCTCAGTCTCAACCAAAGAACCAGCCGGCGACGAGCCATACATCTGTTCTCAACGCCAGAAATGCTTCGATTCTGGTGAGTTCAACAGCATCGATCTGAGTTAATCACCGGTGGAGCTAACATCTCGAAAGGTCGGTATTCGCGATGGTGTGACACGAGACTTCCGATTAGTTCCTAGAAACCAAGCAGTGGTTTCAGTATTTGACTCCAGCTTCCTTATTGGTGATGGAATCTGGGTAAGTGCAACTCTACGACTTTCCAATAATCCCCAGGGGGTTCATAGCTAAACGCTTGGTGATAATGTACAGGAAGGCATTCGTGCCGTTAGGGGTCGCATCCAATTTGCCAAGGAACACATCAACAGGTTGTTCCAATCCGCGAAGGCCATGTACATGGACTTGGGCCTGACTAAGGGAGACCTCTTGTCACTGCTTCATCAAACCTTAGACGTCAACGACATGGGCAACGAACCTCACGTTCACATCCGCCTGGTGGTGAGCAGAGGGCTCAAGTCCACGCCGTACCAGAACCCGCACGTCAACATCGGCCTGCCACTCATTGTCATTATTCCCGAGATTAAGAAGGTCGATCCAGAGGCAAAGTCTCGCGGCTTGCGTCTAGGCACCACCTGGGTCCGTCGTGGGCCGCCAGACGTCAAAGACGAGCAGTGGAACCACATTTCCAAAGCCACAGACGTTCAAGCTTGCGTGAGCGCCAATGTCATGGGCGTCGATGAGGCTCTGATGTTGGACTTGAGAGGATTCGTAAAGACATGTAATTCTGTCAATTTCTTCATCGTCCGCGGTGACGAGGTGTGGGCACCGACGAAGGACAATCAGATGCAGGGCATCACGCGGCAGAAGACCATCGATGTCTGCCGCGCTCATGGTATCAAGGTCCGCGAGCTAGATTTTACTCTGACAGAAGTTTATGGGTCAGACGAAGCTTTCTGCACAGGAACATTCCCCTCACAGATCCATGTCGTTGAAGTTGACGGGCGGAGGATTGGTGATGGGAAGAGAGGGCCCGTTACTGAGGCAATCCAGAAATTGTATGCGGCTGAAGTCGAGCGGGATGTGTCGAGGGCCAGAGAGCAGATTTTGGCAGACCTCGAGCAGACTCGAGATTTGAGTGTCTTGGAAAGCTTGAAGTCTAAGCTTTGATTCTTTGTGTTGATATCACAGCAATCGAATGGGGATATCCCGTATACTTGGTGGTCGTTAAATCACGTGTCGACCACGTGATTCCTTTCCTCCCACCGTAGTTCTCCTACGCCAATCGACTCTCGATCCCATTTATTACACTTCAATCAGGCGCTTGAGTATACAGACTCGCAATCAACTCATATAAGATAGTTTCCGTCTTTTTTCGACTGTGCGTCTCTTGCCACAAATATGACGAATGCCACAAGGCTGTTGATCGAAAATGGGATAAATCCCATCGTTGGATTGACACGGCCCTGAAACGGCTTTTTCCTAGTGACGCCTAATTCATCAGTAAAAGCCCATGAGTTAACAGAGCGAGTATTTCAAAGTGCCTTAACTTGAGCAATATACCGCTCCATTAGCTAACAAGCAGCCATTCCATAATCGCTTTTTCGGTCACAGTGCAAGTTTGTGGAGCACGACTCGGGGCAATAGCCTCGGACTGGACCGATATCTTCACCTCGATCATCTCGGTCCCCACCGAGAAAGATCCACCTTCGCATTGCGTGATAGCCCAAAACGATTTCGTCAGTCTAAATGTTATCATTGTCTCCATATCGACGACGACGCGACGAGAGAGTGAAGTCGACGTCGGGAAATGATGTGGAGTGGCATTGAAATATCTGTGGTCCGCCGCGGCTTACAAGAGTACCGATCGCGCTTTCATCTTGGCTCCAACTTGGTTTTCATAAAGTCTTTGGTTCTATTGACTAGTTGAGCTGATTCGTCTCTTTGTCCGGTTTGGAACTTAGCCAGCGCCTCCGCGTATGGCAGTTTAAAACCGTCTTCAAGATGGATCCCAAACCAGTCGCGGTTGACAGCAACTCAGCCGACCAGGCGGAGGTCAAAGATGCCCAAGATGGAGTCACGCAGTACGACGAGACTCTGGCACCGACGCCCGCCCAGAACCGGCGTCTGCTCATGAAGACCGATCTTGTGGTCCTGCCATGCGCCGTGATCAGCATGACGCTAGCCTTCCTTGACAAGGCAAGTTGACAGTCCGTCCTCAAGCACCGCAAACCTCCCCCACTGACCATGTGAAACTGTGAAGAACGCCCTAGGCTTTGCTGCTGTCTTTGGCCTGCGACAGGACGCCAACCTCAAGGGCCAGGAGTACTCCTGGTTAGGCAGTATCTTCTATTTCGGCTACTTGGCTATGGAGTTCCCCGCCCTCTGGCTGATCACAAGGGTGCCCACCGGCAAGTACATCGGCACCTGCCTCGTCCTCTGGGGCGCGGCCATCTGTCTCATGTCGGCGTGCCACAACTTTGCCGGCCTCGCGACGATTCGCGTGCTGCTGGGCATCTTCGAAGCCGCCCTGCTGCCGTGTATGCTGGTCCTCAATTCGACATGGTACCGCCGGGAGGAGCAGCCTCTCCGCACCGCGCTGTGGCACAACACCTTTGCCGGCGTCTTTGGCGGGATTCTTTCGTACGCCATTGGCAACATCAAAGGCTCGCTGTCAACGTGGAAGTACATCTTCATAATCTACGGCGCTATCACGATCCTAACCGGGTTCGTTGTGCTCTTCGCCCTCCCGGACTCCCCACAGACGGCGTGGTTCTTCACCGAGGAGGAGAAGAAACGCGTCGTCATCCGGCTAGCCGAGAACCAGACAGGCGTCGACACAAAAAAGAGGTTTGACTCGCGGCAAATCATCGAGGCCTTGAAAGACCCCAAGTGCTGGTGCGTCTGGGCTTGTGGCATCGGCTACGCCATCGCCAACGCGGGCATCACCAACTTCAACCCGCTCATCATCGCCGGGTACGGCTTCAGCCAGACGAAGACAGTACTCATGGCCACACCGCAGGCAGCGGTCGCCATGGTCGCTGGTGCGGCACTTACGTCCATTTCTCTCTTCGTACAGAACCTACGGTGTCTGTTCTGGATCGCCTCGGCACTGATCGGGCTTGTGGGCGCCGTCATGGTGCACACGCTCGACGTAAGCCTGCAGCGGGACGCGTCGCTGGCTGGCGTGTACATTATGGGTTTCTACAACGTACCGTGGGTGTTCATGCTGAGTCTGAACTCGTCAAATACGGCTGGCGCCACGAAGAAGAGCTTCATGGGTGTCACTGTCGCCGTGTGTTATGGTATGTTTCCCCCCTTACTCACTATCTAGGGGGCTATGACTGATGCTGACTGGTCGATCTATAGCCGTTGGGAACATTATTGGCCCGCAGCTCTTCCTGTCGAGCCAGGCACCAAGATATCCTCTCGGAATTGGTGCCATGATGTTCGCCTTCACCCTTATGGCTGTATCGGGGCTGGCGTATTACCTGTTGTGTGTTGCCGAGAACAAGCGCCGCAACTCCGAGTATGGAGTGCCTGAAGATATGCTCCAGGCTGGGCTTGAGCAAGAGAAGGAAGACAAGACGGACTGGGAGAACAAGGCTTTTCGTTATACATATTGATTATCCCAGCCGGTGGCTGGCTGCATTGTGTAATGAATCTAAAGACCAAGTTCAACCCCCTAAGTATTACCGATTCATATCCCTCATGTGGTTAGTGATTTGCGGTGTGTAATCGCAAGAGAGCGACATTTCAAGCTGAAAAGCATAGTGGTTTTTACGTGATCTATAGGCCTTTATGGCAAAGTACTCGGACGCAACTTACTGCCACTTTGCAGAAAACTAGTTAAAGATATGTTTGCAGTTGAGGAACCGCAAAACACACGGTTCCCAACATATGCTGAAAGAAGGAGTGAAAAATGTTGTTTTCTAATGCGCACCATCCCCGTTAATACTGGCAATTGTAGTGTTTGATCAATACCCTCAAAACAGCTTCCCCAATGGGCCGACCGTCCGGTAATACGGTAGGAACACCGCATTCACTCCAAGAAGAAAAAGAAAAGAAAAAGATAAAAACGTTATCGGCGCGAAGAAAAAGAGACCACGTCTACATAATTAATTAACTATGCCGATAGCTGAAAGTCTACCAGTCTCAAACAGAGACGTGCAAAGCAATCCGAGCTCTCAAATATCGTCCGGCACGGAGTAAACCATAACCTTGTCGAGCATGCATCTCGCCGCCCCTCCCCCCTGTCCAAGGTTCGGTTCGTTATCGTCTATCGATCAGGGTCCTCCTGCGTGGCCCCCGCGCGGGGGGGGGATCTCGGCAACGGGCCATGCACGGCTTGGGGGTCACTTTATCTATCACGGTTTAGCTCCTAGAGTGGCTCGCTTTCCGTCGGCTCAGCCACGACGTCGAGTGCCGGCCGATGATAGACGGCCATCCCTCGGGATAGCTGTCTCGGCTTTCCTCTAACCCGTTAACCTTTCTTTTCAAATTTCTATGAATTACTGGAATTGAGTCCCTGGTTTCCTATTCCAAAGTAAAAGCTTCAGTTTGATTGCTTTAGAAAAAGATGATGAAGTCTTCAAGGATCCTTCGCCGCGCGCCCCTGCGTTGGGCCGTACCAGGAGCTGGCGAAACCACCGCAGCAGCTCCCTTCGCAGCACCGTCGACAACGATGACCTCTCAGACCCAGTGTCGCCGAGAGGCAAGCAGCCTCTCTCAGCGACCCAACGCGAATCACGTCTCCTTCCCGGGCGCCGTCAAGAGCGCCTTTACGAACACCCTCAAGTTCGAGACCCCCGGCGACTACCCCGCCGTCCCAACCTACCGCGTCGTCGACCAGGACGGCACCGTCGTCGACGATGCCTTTGTGCCGGACCTGGGCGAGAAGGAGATTGTCAAGCTCTACAAGGACATGATCTTTATCTCGGTCATGGACCTCATCATGTTCGACGCACAGCGCCAGGGCCGGCTGAGCTTCTACATGGTCTCGGCGGGCGAGGAGGCGCTGAGCGTCGGTTCAGCGAGCGTCCTGGCCCCTGAAGACGTGATTTTCTGCCAGTACCGTGAGCAAGGTGTTTTCAAGCAGCGCGGTTTCACGACAGAGGACTTTATGAACCAGCTATTTGCCAACTCCAAGGACCCGGGCCGGGGGAGGAACATGCCGGTGCATTACGGCAGCAAAAAGTTGAACATTGTGGGCACCAGCCGCTCCCATTCCTACAAAGAGCCTTGCTAACTACTGAATCCAGCACACAATCTCATCACCCTTGGCAACACAGCTGCCACAAGCTTCCGGGGCAGCCTACGCTCTCAAAATTCAGCGGATGCAAGACCAGTCTATACCCCCGCGAGTGGTTGCTGCTTACTTTGGGGAGGGCGCCGCTAGCGAGGGCGACTTCCATGCGGCGCTGAACATCGCGGCCACGAGGTCGTGCCCCGTAATCTTCATCTGCAGAAATAACGGCTACGCCATCTCGACGCCAACGCTGGACCAGTACCGGGGCGACGGGATTGCCAGCCGGGGTCTGGGTTACGGCATCGACACCATCCGGGTGGACGGCAACGATATCTGGGCCGTCCGGGAGGCGACCAAGAAGGCGCGCGAGATGGCGTTGGAAAACGGGGGCAGGCCGGTTCTGATTGAGGCCATGACCTACCGGGTGAGCCACCACAGCACCTCGGACGACTCGTTTGCGTACCGAGCCAGGGTCGAGGTCGAGGACTGGAAGCGGAGAGACAACCCCATCACGCGGCTGCGCAAGTACATGGAGGCCAAGGGCATGTGGGACGAGAGCAAAGAGAAGGAATGCCGGGAGTCGACGAGACGGGAGGTGCTCAAGGCGTTCAAGGAGGCCGAGATGGAGAAGAAGCCACCCATCCGGGCCATGTTTGAGGATATTTACGAGGAGCTGACGCCAGATTTGAAGCAACAGATGGGGCAGTTACGCGAGCATCTGGACAAGTATCCGGAGGAGTACGACTTTAACGAGTTCGAGGGGGGCAAGGACAGCTTGAAGGCGTAGAACAGCCATGTTACATGATAGCTGCAAAAGAACAAAAAGAACAAGGCATCCTCAGCGATAGAGCCAAAGGGGACGGGATTGGCCTCCAGATACCGCTCTCCGCCCTGTCTCCGTGTTGACAAAACGTCTTAGGGTTTTGTCTTTTTTTTTGTCTTTTTTTTTCTTTCCTTCTTTTTTCTCTGGCTCCATCCCCTTCCCTCTGCTTAGATTTGGAGCGTTGGCCCGGATATTGCATTCATTGCCAGGTCGTGATGGCGCAACAAGAACAACCAATCCCGCCTCTCCAACCCCCACAGCGCTCGAGTCGGTCTTGTCAGAGCATAGGCCTCGCGGGCGGAATACGAAGGCGTAAACGGAGCTGCACGTACATCGTAGTTCCTTGATAAGCAGCAATTATAGTGTCCGTGGGCCGTAGCGCCGAACCTCCAATACCTATTCGGTGGCAGGGCGGGGTTGCGCCTGCTGCTGTCACGCCGTGCCATGACCTGCCAGCGCCTGCCAAACGCTGCTGCAGTGCGCAGCAGCGACTGCACGGTCGGACACCAAACGTAGCGTCTTCACTGAGGTAGGTGCGTATCCAAGGCTGGTCCCTCTTAAGCTCGCTCAGATTACCCAATACCTAATACTCTACCTAACACAGTCACGCATCCTCTTTACAGAACAGAGTATCCGTACTGTAAACCATCTAATACACTAGCAAAATAGGCTTGTGACGGCCCACACTAGGTCGACGACACGTCCATGATTGGTGTGGGCGATGGTTGAGGGTTGGGACGGAACCAAACGGTAGGTGTGACGAGAGGAGGACCGTTCCATGACATAAGGGCCTCTTTCGTGTGGCCGCAACCCAAGACCTAGCAAGGTACTTTGGGCTGTGGACGCAGGGATCCCCTCCGAGTCTTCACTTGCGTGGGCGCTCCGCTGCCCAGTGGCTGCTCTGGAGGGGGAAAAGTGGACTCCAGCGATGTCAGAGGCATTGTATATTATTGTACGGTATGGGCCTGCGGGATAGACAGTGTGGCCTGGCCTTGGGTACTTGTGCGTCTTGCTAGCAGTAACGGTGTGTGGTGTGTGCATGTCCCCGTCCACCGGCCACGGCCCATCAGTCAAACCAGACCCGACCAACACCTCTTCCCTCCATGCTGCTCTGTCGCTGCTTAACTTCAACCGAACCAATCCCCCCGTAGACCTTCCCCGTACTTCGCCCGCCGACATCCTTTCTTCTTTCATACTGACGACGACGACAACTACGGCAACGATAACGACCGCACCTGCATCGAGGAACTCCTTCTTCGTCTCCTTGTCGATGACCGTCCCCAAATTGAAGCCGTTTTGTTTGATCCGTTGATTTCGGTCGAGCCTTCCATACATACCATCGCCCCTGTATCGCCTTTAGTGGCTATCCCGACCGAACTGATAACATTGAAAAACTGCCTCTGCCCACAATACGTCAGCACCGCCCGAGCTGTCCTGCCTCATGGCGTAATCCATGGCAGAACGAATCGCCTCTGCAAACCCGCGCTCCAGATCGGTAGTCGACCACGATCCCTCCGCGCGCCTCCCGTCCACGCCGACGACAGCGTCCTCTGCGTCGGGCTCACCCGCCTTGGCTTCGACCTCGCCCTCCCATCGGTAGGTAGCCGCGCTTTTCCCCGTACTTGCCGCTTTTCTTTTCGAGCTCCTTGCACTGTTTTTATTTTTATTTTTGTGCGTATCGCGAGAGACCAAGAGGGGGCAAGGGATATCCGAAGGAGAAGACAAGAAGCAAAAGTAGAAGGAAGAACAAGAAGAGGAAGCAAAAAGAAACAAAAAGGGAACGAGGGGCTTCCAGCAAACGAGAAAAAAAACACTCGCTCGGAGCAGTAGCAGTGCTGGGAGAAGGCAGCTCAGTGTTCAAGTTGTCGAGGGGCAGCGAACAGTCACACAGCCAAATCGGCGCCTGCCCGCCTGCCCGCCCGCCCGCCTATCTGCGTTCACCAAGCCCGTTCAACTTTACCTCCTTCGCAACTGCGTCGTTTGATCCTCAAAATCACACTCAGAAGGGACAAGAAAAAAAAATCACTTTTGCCTCAGGATCCGGCGTACCTACCCTTCTTCTTCCTCTATATACCTGGAGCTAGGTACTCGGCCGGTTGGATCGAACTTAAGCGGGTCACTACCTACCATACCGGCACGGCACCTTACCTCTAGAGAGAAGAAAAAAAGAGGGAGAAACAGAGAGAGAGAGAGAGAGAGCAGGAAACGCCTTCTTTCCCACCATTGAAACACGGCTGCATCTGCATCGCACTGCTCCTTCACCCGCATCATCGACGATTGATCTTCTCATCCTCGACGCTTCTTTTTCCTCTTCGCCTCGATTCCTCAGTTTTTTTTTCTTCTAAAAAAATTTGTTTTTTACACTTCGATTTTTCGGTTCGCTTGGTCAGCCACGGCCAGTGCCATCCAACAATCCCCTCTCCTCTACCAGTCCATCCATTCCTTACACACCAACCTACACTGCACCGCATCCACACCACACATTTGACCTGTTGGGCTACAGATGGCTGTTCGCACCCTCGATTCGGCTGCGTTGATTTGATCTTCACCTCTTGTCTTTCTGTTTATTGGTTCGGTCGGCATGCCTCGCAAAAACCAGTCACTCATGTCTTCTAGAATCACTAGATCTTCTGCTCGGCAAGCAGCGAGTCTCGCAGCTTCATCCGCCCAGTCCACCGCCGGCGCCGATCTTACCACGACCGCCCCGGCTTTGACGACAACCAGTCCTCAAAATCCACCCCCGCCTGCCTCGCGGAAGCGAAAAGCTCCAGCTCAAGCAGCTAGCCCTACTTTAGGAACACAACCGCCAACGAGCGCTTCGACTAGACGATCCAAGCGTCAGAGAGTAGTCGACGCTGTTCCGCCTCCTCAACATCCTCCTACACAGACACCTGCTCCGTCTCGCCCAAAGAGGAAGGGAAAATCCACCTCCACCATGTCGAGCCCAGAGTAAGAAGTCCCGCATTGATCCCTTGTACATCTTTGGCTGACTGTGCTGTCCAGCACTCCTACCGACCTCGCAAACGTATCCGAGAACACTGCTCCTTCGGCCTCTTCTAGCCGGAAATCGAGCAGGAGCAAAAGGACAGCTCCCAGCGCTTCGGGTAAGTCGATGCTGCTACCAACACCGCTCACGTGAGGATTATGAAACTGACATGGCTTACATAGATCCTTCCGCCAACACATCCGGTTCTTCTCGTCGAACGAAACGAAATGCTGCGAACAACGCCGACCAGGACACCACAATGACGGGCACAGACGACACAGAGAAAGATCCTATTCCTCCCCCACCCCCGCCTCCGCCTGAGCATCATGACGACGATGACGACGACGACGATAGCGATGAGAACGATGATGATGATGAGGACGGACGAAGATACGATGACGAGGACGATGATCCATTCGGAGGGTTCGGCGGTCCTGGCGGCCCCGGAGGTCTCTCGAGCACTTTGCGAGCGCTTACAGGCATGATGTCGGGTATTTCATCACGCTTACGAGAGCTTCTCAATAACCTGCGTCAGAAAAATGACCCTTCGATTCAGTTGATTGCTCTGCAGGAGCTTTCGGAGATCCTCTTGGTCTCAAACGAGGATAATCTCTCGGGGCATTTCTCACCCGATTCTTTCGTCAAGGAATTGGTAACGTTGATGCAACCAAACGAGATCACGGGAGAGGAGAACCCGGAAATTATGCTTCTTGCCTGCCGTTGCCTGGCAAACTTGATGGAGGCCCTGCCCGCAAGCGTGGCCAACGTTGTATATGGAGGAGCTGTCCCGGTTTTGTGTCAAAAGCTGCTGGAGATCTCATTCATCGACCTCGCTGAGCAAGCTTTGAGCACCCTCGAGAAGATCTCTGCCGAGTACCCCTCCAGCATTGTTCGAGAAGGTGGCCTCACTGCCTGCCTGTCCTACTTGGACTTTTTCGCAACAAGCACCCAAAGAACGGCCGTCACCACTGCCGCCAACTGCTGCCGCAACATCCCTGAAGATTCTTTCCCAGTCATTCGAGATGTTATGCCTACCCTGCTCAATGTGCTGGGGAGCAGCGATCAGCGAGTTGTGGAACAAGCCTCCATTTGTGTCTCTGGGATTGTTGAAAGCTTCAAATACCAGTCTGCAAAACTGGAAGAGCTTGTCAGTGTCGACTTGCTCAAGGCGGTTTTGAGATTGCTTGTACCTGGCACCACCAACCTCATTAGGTCGGATATTCACACCCAGTTCCTGCGTGTCTTGGCTTTCACAGCTCGCGCTAGCCCTCAGCTGTCGGCGGAATTGTTCAAGCTCAACATTGTAGAGACTCTCTACCAGATTCTGACTGGCGTGTCTCCACCAAGCGGGACAGAGGATGTTGCCTCGAAGCTCGACAGCGTTGTTATCATGCAGGCGTTGATTCACCGGCCCAAGGAGCAGATCATCGAGACGCTCAACGTCATTTGCGAGTTGCTTCCAAGCCTGCCCCGCAATGCTGACCCTTCATACGGCGACTTCGTCGAGATGAATTCGACAGAACCTATTACTCCATCGTCCACTGCACCTGGAAAGGCGCGCAAGTCACCCAACGATAAGAGAATTGAGCTTCTTGACGGCTGCAAAGCCGAGGTCCGCCGTTTCGCTCTCATTCTCTTCCCAACCTTAACCGATGCATTTTCAAGTACAGTCAATCTCAATGTGCGGCAAAAGGTACTTACTGCGCAACTGAAGATGCTTTCGAACCTGAACGAAGAGATTCTCGGAGAAGCATTGAAGACTGTTTCATACGCTTCGTTCTTGGCCTCAATTCTGTCTCAGCAGGACCACCCCTCACTCGTCATGCTCGCACTCCAGGCTACGGAACTTCTCCTCAGTCGTCTGGAGGATGTTTACCGGTACCAACTGTATCGTGAAGGTGTTATCTCGGAGATCACGAAACTCGCCACCGAGGAGCAGACTCCTCCACCGGCAACAGAGCCGACTGGGTCGCAGGAGACCAGCAACACCGACCCGCAGGCTTCTGCGGACTCTGGAGAGCCGTCGTCGGACAACGAGGAGTCAGAAGATGATGAGGACCACGAGGAATCAGAGGATGAGGAGAACGAAGAAGAGAACGAGCACGAGCATCATCCGGACGACATCACGGGTTCACCAGTCAGCTCACGCGGCTCAACCATGTCGCTGGACGGACCTCCACAGCACTTATTGTCTGACGTTCCTTCGATGCTGAGTAGGATTCGCGAGGTGGCTAAGAAGTTTTTGGAAAGCCATGAGACCGAAAAGCATGGTAAGACCATGAAGAAGAAGGCCCTTAAGATTCTGTCCAACCTGTCGGATCTTGCCGAAGAGATCGAGGCCTTCTACCTTCGCAGAACGGCGACCAATCTTGCCCCCGAAAATGGGGTGGAGCTCTTCAAGAAGCTGGCTTCATCATTCGACGCGGACGTCCTAGAAAGTGTGACAAGTGCAGAGCTTCTAGCTTCTGGGCTTGTAAGAGTACTCTTGGAGGTCTTCAGCAACCCTGACGAGGAACTAGCCCGGACGGCACAGTCGGCTTTCTTGCAGGTGTTCATGGGTTACTCCGTCAAGTCTAGGCCTAAGACCGCAACTGCCGATTCGCCCGCGACTCCGTTCAGCGTCATGGTTCACAAACTTCAAGATCTTCTCAGTAGATCCGAGCATTTCGAAGTTATCACAGTCCACCAAAATACCTTCGACGGCAACCGCAGTAGTGCTGCGTCCATGCTTGCGAAACAAATCCGGCTGAGACTCGTTGCCGATGACGACTCTGACATCCCGCGGTCTTATCGGAACATTATGGTCTCAATCCATGCTATTGCTACATTCAAATCACTGGATGATTACTTGCGTCCCAGAATCAGCCTGTCGGAACGACCACGCGGCTCTCGGCGAGCCGATAACTTGTCCAGAGCTCTTGCTTCGCTCGCAGGCTCCGCCGGCTTGCCTTTAAGCCACGCTGCTGCTAGACTGGCAGAACGTGCTTCAGCTGCCTCTGCATCAAGCCCTATCCCGCCTCCGCCCAACGCAGCTACGTCTAGTGGTTCGCGCTCTCTTCGCAAGACCAAGACCAAGTCAACACCGCCATCTGAAGCTGCAGCTAGTCCCGACACCTCTTCCACTACAAGAGATAAGGGTGTTTTGAGAAGGTCTGCCCGCCGTAGTGCGGCGTCCACTACTGAAAGTCCCGCACCTTCACGGCCGCCTCCGGAAGAGGACGACTTGGAGAATGCACTAGAATGCGCAGATGAGAAGCACTTGTCCGATGACGAAGAGATTGGTGGCAGCAGCGCTCTGGATGCTATTGTGGGTGACCTGGATGAAGACATGAGCGAGTCCCCCGGTCCTGAGCCCGGTGCCGTCAACATGGAAATCGCAGCTGGTGGTAGGGTCACTGCACGCAAAGAGGATGGTACTAGAGTCCCCACGCCATCACAGAGTGCTCTCCCTACCCGGTCCGGCGCTCTCCCTCCTCCGCAGTCGCAGAGTACACCCACGCCCTCGACTTCGTCGTCACGGCCCATGACTTACGCTGCAGCTATCCAAACTGTCCCCCAGGACTGGCATATCGAGTTCACTCTTGATGGCAAGGTCATTTCTAGCGAGACTACCATCTACCGTGCCGTTCATACTTCAGCCGCCAACTCCGATGAGCATTTCAGCCGGAGTGTCTGGTCAGCGGTCCATCCCATCAAGTTCCGCCGTGCTCCTGGTCCGCCACCTGTGGAAACCCTGTCCTTCAGCTCCAACGCCGAGGCTAGTACGGAAGATAATGGTGACGGAAACGTGCCGGCATCCCTGGCCAAGCATCCTTCTACCGCCTCCATTCTTCGTCTACTCAATATCCTTCATGACTTGAACGCCAATATCGATGATGTTATGGTAGAGAACAGCGAGAAGGACGCCGTCCGACTCAACGTGGAGCCCTTGTCACAGTTTGTCAACACCAAACTCACTGCCAAGCTGAACAGACAACTGGAGGAACCGCTTATCGTGGCGAGCAACTGCTTGCCAAGCTGGGTAGAAGATCTTGCAAGACTATATCCTTTCCTCTTTCCCTTCGAGACGAGGCACCTGTTCTTGCAGTCGACCTCATTCGGTTATGCCCGTTCCATGACCCGTTGGCAGAATGCCCAAGCTGCGGACGACTCTCGTCGTGACCGTCGTGACGACAGACCTTTCCTCGGGCGACTGCAGCGCCAGAAGGTACGCATCTCTAGATCCAAGATTTTGGAGTCAGCTTTGAAGGTCATGGAGCTCTACGGCGCTTCTCAAAGCATTCTCGAGGTTGAATACTTTGAGGAGGTAGGAACAGGCTTGGGACCTACCCTTGAATTCTACTCGACGGTGTCGAAGGAGTTCTCTAAGAAGAAACTCAAGTTGTGGAGAGAGATGGACTCGAACGATTCTGAAGAGTATATATCTGGTGCGAGTGGCCTCTTCCCTCGGCCGCTCAGTGACGATGAAGCCAGCGCTCCAAATGGTGAACGGATTCTCCAGCTCTTCAGGACTCTTGGAAAGTTTGTTGCTCGGTCAATGATCGATTCCCGTATCATTGATCTGAACTTCAACCCTACCTTCTTCCGCATCGGAGATGGTTCGTCGGCACCCGGCGTCAAGCCATCTCTTGGGGCGGTCAAGGTCGTCGACCCTGGCCTGGCTCGGTCTTTAAAGACCATCAAGAAGTTCGCCGTGGCTAAGAAGGAAATCGATGAGGACCCTTCACGCACCCCTGCGCAAAAGGTGGCCGACACCGAGGACATTGCCATTGACGGAATGAAGCTAGATGACCTGTGCCTCGATTTTACCCTACCCGGCTATCCCGAGATCGAGCTTATACCTAACGGCGGCCAGATCCGAGTCACCATTGACAATGTGGACTCGTACCTGGAACGGGTCGTTGATATGACTCTGGGCACCGGTGTCCGCCGCCAGGTCGATGCATTCCGAACGGGCTTTTCCCAGGTCTTCCCCTACTCGGCTCTGAGCGCTTTCACTCCTGACGAACTCGTCACGCTGTTTGGAAGAGTTGAAGAGGACTGGTCGCTTGAGAGTAAGCTTCCGTTCCCTTCCTTAGCTTAACTCGACTGCTCACTAACCTCCTCGATAGCACTTATGGACTCGATCAAGGCAGACCATGGTTACAACATGGACAGCAAGAGCGTCAAGAATCTACTACAGACTATGAGCGAGCTCTCTCCTCCTGAACGCCGTGACTTCTTGCAGTTCACCACGGGAAGCCCCAAGCTCCCGATAGGAGGTGCGTTTACCTTGCTAGTCCCCTATAAGAGATACATGCTGATGTATATATACAAAACAGGCTTTAAGAGCTTGACGCCCATGTTCACTGTTGTGTGCAAGCCGAGCGAGCACCCATACATGTCTGACGACTATCTCCCCAGCGTCATGACCTGCGTGAACTATCTCAAACTACCCGACTATACCAGCATCGAAGTTATGCGTAAACAGCTCTCCACTGCGATCAAAGAAGGCCAGGGGGCGTTCCATCTGTCTTAGATGGCGTTCCCGCTTAGCAAGAAACTCGAAAAATACGAACTGGAGAAAAGAAAAAAAGAGAAAAAAAAGCGGTAGTATTGATGGTCAAGTGACTACGGCAGCGGCAACGGCACGTCACGTCCGTATGAAACGAAATGGAACATGCATCAACGAGCATTGCACCTCTCCAGAGCAGAGGAACTCGATGCTTTGATGATAGTATTCAAAGACTTTATGGATGGTAATGGCCTCGGACGGGATGCACCAGTTTTGAGTGAGGTGGACTGAAGGGCGAAGGGGCAACATGGAAGAACCCCCCCTCCTCCCCGCAACTCTAACTTGCATGGCAGGGTTGTTTAGGCGTAAGAGCTTCTTTTCAGTTTACTTCTTTGCTCTGGCCTCGGGGCATTTCTTCATTGATTCGGCACTGTCTCAGGGTCCATGACCAGGCCCAGACCCAGGCCCATTTGAAGCCTGCTTTGATACGAAGTGCCGTAAGGGTTTTCTAGTTGATAGAATGGTCAAATTGATTTATGAGAAGAAAGTCATGTTTTAGAGTGTCTGCCGAGGCAATCATGATGTGTAGGGTTCACGGCATGACCGATGAGGCAAATGTGGCATAGTGACCAAGAAGTGTGTAATGATGCTTATCTGATCTGTCCACCGTTTGTTCCATATTGCTTCTCTCGCCCACGCGATGACTCCCATCAACCGGTCACACAACGGGCCGTCGTAGTCCGGCATGCAAGTGTAAAAAAAGTCTCGTCATAGGATCTGGTGTTCCCCTATTTGCGCAATCAAAGGTTTGCCCGAGGCACCCAAAAAACAAACCATTTGATCCCGTCCCGTTGGCACATGTCTCCCATGCCCGCCTATAGAACAATTGACAAAAAAATTTCATTCAAAACATTGTTCCTCTCCTTCCCCGAACCTCTTTTCCGCTGCTTTCTTCACCACGATTTGCTTCCTCGAGCAATTGAATAGAGAAGGGTACGCAGTAACAATAAACAAGGTAGCAAGAGTGTGTACACCATCTACGCCCGCCTTGCCATATAGGTCTTCCCCACGTCATAGAGAGCAAAAAGCAGAAGGGTAGTTGACGACTGACAAAGTGACCTCTTGAAACATCTCTTGCCTCGAATAGGTACTGCGGCAACCCCCCTCCCCACCACCTTGTACATCAAAAGGTGGCTCCGGGCTTCAGCAGGTGCAGCTTCGGCAACTGCCTCTAGCGGAAACCGGCCTTGACTTCGGCGCGCGGCCACTCGAACAGGACGTCACCGCCATAGACATCCGCCGTGATGCGGCTGATGCGCAGTTCCACCTCGCCATAGAAGCGTTCGCACTCGCGGAGCACCTTGGTCACCAGCTTCTGGCTCAGGGCAAGGTCGTCCGCATCACCAAAGTGTTTCTCAACGCGCTTACGCAGTGTTTCGATGCCTTTACGAACCTCACGCGCGTCATACGTCGCCAGGACTTTGTGGAACGTCGACTTGGAGTTGGACGGCTGCGCTGCAATGCTCGACCCGGGCTTACCCGACTGAAGCTGCCCCTCGATGTTCTCAATATATTCGAGAAGCTTGCCGAGAGGGCGGCGCATAACCGCGTTCAGGTATAGACCCATGTGCTCATTCAGTTCATTGGTTGCAGCCTCGCGCCAGTCTTCGAGGACATCGAGGCCGTGCGTGTTGACCTCCTCTAGGAAATGGTTCATGTTCTCGATGAGGAGGATGTGGAAGTTGAGCGCCTCCTTATCTTCTGGATCCGCGCCCGCCGCGCCGACGCTGACAGCCGGGTTCTCGCGGGCGATAATTTTGAGCGAGTCGAACATGGACTTGAGAATGCGGCCGTATTCGCGATCGACTGTCTTGCGAACAGCCAGGTTTGGGTCGATGCCCGTAAGAATGTTTTCGACCGCGTTGGAAAACTGAGGAAAGACGCGAATGAACGAAATAACGCCCTTGCGCTTATTGATCTTGACCTTGGTCTCTTCGATGGCGCGGATTTGCTCATCGACAAACTTCTTGAAGCGGGACTCCAGGACGTCGTGGAGCTTTTGAAGCATGGCGTTGAGAAATTCCTGGTTGGATTGTTGGTAATCAACAAGGTTCCGCTCGAGAACAGCCAGGACGCCGGCCCCTTGCCTTGTTCGATTAATTAGCATCTTATCCGTTGAGTGGGCTCTTTATAGACTTACAAAGGATCTGTCTGTATGACCCATTCGATTAGTTTTGCAACTTCCGTCTCGAGGAACATAAATATGACTTCCATTGCTTTGGTCACTCTCCGAGCGAGATCGCGGTCTGGTTCCATTAGGCGATGGCGGCGCAAATCACCACCTCTTCGATCTTTCGGTCTGCTCGCTGCGACCAGGTCAGGGAAGTCTGACTGCTCCAGCGTCGTGGCATGGAAGAAGTCAACGATAAAGTTTTGTTCCATCTCGACCAGCGGCAAGAGGTCATCCAAAACATGGCCGAACACCTCGTAGGGGAAGCTACGATTCTCGGTTCCCGCTGCCTCTTTGAGATTCGTTCTGCTGGCGGTGTCGATGGGTGAACGCAGACTCTTGGCCAGTGTTTGACTACGCTTGACAGTAAGCTTCCTGACAGTGGTCGCCTTGCCTTCTTGTTGCTTTTCGACTTCAAACGAAAACAGGAGCTCGGTTGTCTCATCAGCAGTCATCTTGCGCGCGTTGCGCTTCCATGCCTCCAAGACCTGCCGGAATTCGTTCTTGTACACGGGATGGCTCTTATCTTGGTAGACCTGTATCATGCGGTCCCAGTTGGCCGGATCGACATCCTTGGAGTACTTGATCAAAGGACTGTACTTCCAAAGCATGTCTCGACCAATATCGTGATGACGGGAGTCCACCTTCCTCGAGAGGGCCTCGCGAAGCGCTTTGTTAACCTCATTGTAGGCCACATCGAACTGCTGCGCCATGTATCCAACCAACCGTCGTGAGAAGGCGGCGCTTTCTTGACGATACATTTCTTTCTTTTCTTGGACGATTCTCATCTTGCCGTAGTCGGTGTTCTCAAGCCCAACAGCTTGGTCGCCTTCACCAACAAGATCTTCGCTCTTCCTTGGCTCGCCTCCTAGCAGTGAGGGGTCGATCTTGATCATGGCCTTGTAGAGGGTGACTAGGGACATCTCGATATCGTCGAGGCCTCCGAGATCCTCAAGCGGCGCGGCCTTCAAAGCATTGAGATCGGCCGTGGTGATGGTTGTCGTCTCCAAGAGAGATTCAAGCTCCTTTCTAAGGAGTTTCTGATTGGCCGTCTGAACCTGAAGACCCTGGCCTTGAGCTTCAATGTATGCAATATCATCGGAAAGCGTCTGTCTTGCGTTAGTAGAAATTCTCCACCAGGCATCCAGCCAACTCACCGACAGTTCGACACTGTAAAGTGTCAACAGGTTCTCCATCTCTTCACACTCAGCGACTGCCAGGTCGATGCCACGCTTGATGGCCTCAACTCGATCATCCTCTTCTTGGAATCGGGCCAGCCAGCCCCCAGCTTGAGCTTTGTTGAGTTCTCTCTCGAGCTCAGTTCTCATATCTTCGACGTTGCGCGATCTCATCTGCTCTCCAGGTACCCAGCCGAAGTAATCCAACCACTTGGTGAACTCTCCACTCTTGTTATCCAACACAGTGGGGTCAATGCCTAGAGACGCAAGATATTTGGCATCGTTGCCGACAACGATCGACTTGCGACTTTCTTCGTTTGCTGTTGACTCGTCGGGCTTCTTGGGCTCTTTGATTGAAGGTTGCACGCTCGTCGGGCGGCTAGAGTTGGGTAAAGTGATCTTTACCTCGGGCACACCGGATGTACGCTTGGAAGGTTCTGTAGGAGCTGCTGATGGTGCGGGTGAAGCAGCTTTCTCAGCAGCTACCTCCGGAGATGCTGCTCTCTTGGGGTCGTTAGAGGAGGTTGGTCTGGGCGGGGGTTGGAACACAGTGGTAATCCCTTCCGCCGGCTCGGCGCTCTTTGCGGCAAGTTGTCGTAGTCTTTCGCCAGCACCACCAGGTCGGGGCCTGAAGGCTGTGGCAGCAGACGCAGCCTTCCAAAGAACGCCAGCGAGGTCTCCCTTGGACTTCTTGGACTTGATCATCGGGCCCAGACCTGGCCGACTCTCTTCCTCCGGCTCAGCAGGCGGCTCAGGAACGGGTGGGGATACGGAAGCTGCAGGTGCCTTGGGAATAGGCTCATCAACCGGAGGTAGAGGCGCTGGGGACGGAGCTGGAGGGGGGCTCGTTGTTATGGGGGAAACCGGGGCAGGGGGCACCGGGGTCTCGGATGACGGCGAGACGATTGCAGGAGTTGGCCTAGTAGGTGTAGCCCCCCCATTTGGCTCAGGCGTTCTGAGCGTAGGAGGAAAATCTGCTGTTCTCGGATCAACCGGCGTGAGGGGGGTGACAGGCCTATTATCTCTGTAAGAACCAACGTCTGACCGCTGCGATATTGAGTTCTTCCTGGCTGTGCTTCTTGGCGGAGGAGCAACTTGATCTCTTCGCATCCCTGGGCTAATTAGCGGCGCGGGAACCAAGTCTCTATCGGCGAGTCCCTGCGGTCGTGCCGGGTCCATCGGAGGTCTCTTTCTTTCTGGCGGCCGGCCTCCTTCTTCCGATATTGGTGGCGGCGGTGCCAGGACAGGCTCAGACGGCTGCTCGGCAAACCTGCCCATTGCCCCCGAGCCAGGCATACCGTTCCTCGAACGAGGCGGCAAACTGCTCGCATCCTCGCTCCTGGCTCCTAGAGATGGGGCAAACGATTCCTGGCTCTGGTTTCCGTAGCGCCTCAGCGTAGGGGGGTCCTGAGAAAATGACGAAGCCATGCTTCCGACGGGCGAGTGAGAAGGCATTCCGTTAAGAGGGGGCGGCCGGCGTGGGCCAGGTGGCCCTGGAGAAGGAGTGCCATAGTTGGAGGGTGCCGTGTTCACGGCCAAGTTGGACTGACCAGAAGCAGCATCTAGCGTAGAAGGGGGCGGTTTGAAAGAGAGCTGGCCAGGCGGCGGCGGCCTTCGATCGTTTCTCAGGATCTGAGCTATTTCAGAAGGGTCAAAGCCCAACAGTTCGGGGTTCTTGCCGCCCGTGTATTTTCCATAGATCTTGACCAAGCTGGCAATGAAGAACTTCTTTTCCTTGTCCGATTGTGCATTCCAGAAATAGGGCTTGCCGAGAGTCACGACGAAGCCAGTGTCCCCGGCCCATTCACGAAAGTTGGGGTTAGCCGACGGCCCTGTAAAGGACTCGATGGCAGAGAGGTCGTCAAGGTTCCATGTTTTTCCAATGGAGAAGGAACCGTTCGCATTCTCCTTTGTCTTGTGCATACGTACTCGGCCACTTTTCCTTACAGCGACGATTATAACGCGGGGTTTCTGGGTTTCGGGGGTTCGTGCTTGAGGCGGCGGCGGAGAGGTCGGGTGGGAGGAGTACTCGGTGATTCGGATGTGGGTGATGTATGTCTCCAGCACTATCGTCATGAGGCAAGGGTTAATACTATGGGCAACCATTGGAGTGTTATCCCCGGAGGGCCGGAAGGGGGGGGAAGAGGAAGTGGATTCGACGCACACGATCCGTCCACATCCTTCTTGGTGAAGCAACTCTCGATGATGCGCCGCTTCTCATCTTCGAATCGCTGGGCCCTGCTGTCCATGGCTGCTCGGTTGGGCGGTGCCGTCGCAGTGGGATGGAGCACTCATGAGGGGGTTCGCAATGCCACGGGAGAAATCGCTTGCATGACTATCGCGGCAAACGGATGGGTCGACGAGGGTTGACGCAGCGATAGCGGCAGGCGCTCGGAAGGAGATTCGATTCAGGTTCTGGTGGGATTTCGAGGCTGGGTCGGTCGTGATGCGTGCCAGAAGGGGAGCGACGTGTGCAGGTAGGTAGGTGTGTCGGGCTGGCCCTGGGAGTAGCTTGCTGCCAGTCTCTGGTCCCGCTGGGTGTTTGGGGTTGGAGGTACCTTGTCCCTTCATTCTGGGGCACTTCTGTTAGGGCGCGCCTAACCAGCGACCAGATAGTGCCGCCACCGCATCACCTATCATCTGTCAACATGTTGCTGAATGCAGCAATATTACTCCAGCCATCTCTGCACGATAACATTGTTGTATGTTTATCTCGATTTCGAGGGCCGGAAGCTGGCGGAATCCCTCTTGGCGCGTCGTAATCGACTATCTCTAAGCAGTTGAATTCTGTACCCGACTCGACGATACATGGACGGTACCTCCCCAAATGAATGCCTGTCTGTCTGCTGCTACCGGACGGGAACGTGCAACAACGTCTTGTTCCCTGGGCCATGCAATTGGACGCTGGGACTATTTGGAGAGGCATGGGGATGGAGGGTGGTCCTTCCTGCCTAGTGTACGGATACTCCGTACATGATGCTATACCTACAGAAAGTTACCGCGGAATGCGGAACAGACCGCCGCCGCCACCAATTGACTTCTGCTTACCAGGACATACCCTTACAGCATAGCATGCGATGCTTGTTGTCTTCAACACCGCTTCCAACCATGATTTGGTCTCATGCGAACAAGAGCAGATTGATCCCGAAACCAACTCACCTTTCCTTCTCTTCTTTTACTTGTCCATGTTTTCAATTTCTATATCACTCCCAGTTACCGATGTACGAATACGACGCCGATGTCAGACGCATCGGCTGGCAGGGGTGTCGTGTCGTCCGAGAGAGCTCGGGCACCTGTCGTCATGCCTCCCACTCGCCCTTGTTTCAAGTTGCCCTGGTCATAAATGAGAAACCCCCGTTATTGCAACATCCGGGCTTCCGAGCCTGTCTTTACGTCTCTTCCTCCGCCGAAGCTCCGGCATCTGGTGCTCCACGCTCAGTGGGGTTTCGGCCCGCCATCTCGCCGACTGCCAGACATCACCCGGTCCTCTCACGGGGTTTGGTCATTAATAGCTACAATCTCTTACATCAATAACTATGTGGAGGATTGTGTCTTGTTTTCCTACCGAGATTTCACGACCGCGGGCCATGATTTATTTAATATCTAGCTAATTAGTAAAAGTGAAACATGAGTCGAAGCCAGAACAACCGCCCAGCTTGGTAAATACATAGCGTACCATTTAAGGACACAAGACAGCGCGGCACCGTTTTCTGGAGCAATCTGTGATTTAATGACAGCTTTGGAAAAGACTAACAAATTGAACGCACAAGGCATCTTGTCAGGAACCACGCTGAGCTGCCCGATCAGGCCACAATGTTGGCATCCTATTGATTGTAAGACGGCCAATGACACCACCGGCATCAAGGTTTCGACATTGGGGCCATTCTGACTAGGGCCAGCGGAAAGCAGCTGGGAAAACTCACAGTCTGATATATCCCGAGCCGTTTCGTCCTGGTGGGAGTCAGTGCGAGGGGCTGATCAGGCACCTCGGAACCGGTCCACGAGGTGCCGAGCTACAAAAACGGAAGCATGACAAACGTACTAGCATGCCTAGGGCTGCCTAATGGTGAAATCAACCGCTTCTCCATGAGTGGTGTAAACGGTTTGGCCTCTCAGGAAGATGATAAGTGTAGCAACTACATACATCGCCGTTGTGGTTCCGCAGATCCGGCTTGCCTCACTGGATAACAAAACAACTACACAGCTGCCATAATCCATCTCTTCTCCAACATTTCCAACTCCCCAAAAGGACATAATGTCGTTCCATCTAGATTCTACCATTTCTCTTATAGAAATCCTCTCCCCGCCAGACATGGCCCGTCTTCCCCGTCGCCTCTCAATATGCAGCCCACGATACGGCATGCCCAGAGGAAGACGCCACTGATACGCAAATCAGCGGACACCTTTATGCTCAGCCAAGAGGATATAAATAAGACTGATTCTTGCAATATTTCGAGGCTTCTCGGGGCATTAGAATACTAGTTGGAAGACCGATTATGGGTCATAAAGGTAAAATCATAAAGGGGAAGGGCTTTTTATAGAGTGGGAAGGGACCAATGCAGGTCTCAATATCATGGTCCTTTTGCGCGGCTTACACATCTCAAATGGGCTTGACCAAGTGTACCACGCCAACGGACGTGGGTTCAGCATGACATGCGTGCTGTTTGTTCCCCGCAGCAGTCTATTGTACTGATCCCTCGATATTGGACCAACCACTGCTGCCATCATCATCATCATCATCTTACAGATGCAGAGGCTTTCGGGCCCGTACGATCTGGAAGCCTTGAGCAACAAACTTGCTGAACGCACTCAGAAGGACTGTTATACCTGCTTTTTCATAGTCATAGTCGGCCTCCTTCGGCTGCTGTTGACCGCCAACCTGCCTCCAGTCTTGGATTTCGTATTGTTTCGGCAGACTGCCACAGGGACCATCGCATGCATCTTCAGTGGGAACCCGTGAGAGGGTTCCAATATGTTGAGCGCCAACGGCTGGTGGGAAAATGTCACCTAGAGGTACGGGATACCCTCGGGAGCCCCTGAGCAGATTTCGGGGCAGAGTTGGAAGGAGCGGCGAACATCACGGCTTCCTTGACCACCAGAAGACGATTGGGCCCCCGTGTAGAACTCGGAATTGTGATGTTCTAATAACACCGACCAAAATCACCAACATCGGACCATTGGTCCTAATGCCGTTATGTTCTGCTTAGCCGCTCGCGGGGCCCGCACCCGGCATAAGCGCCTTAGTCCCCCGTTCATCACCATCACTATCGATGCTCTTTGACTTCGAACCAAGAGACGATCGCCTGTGACAACGGAAATCAACCCCCCTCATGGTTGCAAACATCATCTTCTTCTCATCTCCAGCCCCTGTGACTTCATCACTCGTACCTCAACCCCCTTCTCTTTGACCCCCGTTCTATGACCCCCCTCCCCCCTTCCTTCCCTGAAGCCATATCCGCCCACAGCCTCAGCCACGAACGATTGTTTCTCGCCTGCCCAGCCCTTTTGCTCCGCGCACACCCATCCAATCGACTGACCCGCCCGTCTCCTTCTCGAACATTTCCCCGGCTTCGAATCCTGGATCCACGGCGCACCACCTGACCAGGAACCGCCCCCCCCCCCTCCCCCCAGTCGCCTATTGGGGCCCCGAGATGGCCTTGGGAAAGGGTGGAGAGACAATATTACCGAAAAAACAAGTAAAGGTCTAAAAACCGCACGCGAGACGCCGTCCAAGATGGGAACGTCCAAGTGCGACCAGTGACGAACGACCACAATCCTCCCCACCCTTCTTTGTCTTCTTCAAGGGGATCGATCCCGATAAATGAGGCCCGCCCGGGAGATGAGATGAGAGCCTTTCGGACTTGGTGCCCACGTCGCATCAGAGTCCTACGAGAAATTTACAATCAACAGAGTGCGAGTCTCCCGCGGTCCCGGCAGATTGCGCTCCCAATTAAACGAAGTCGTCTCCATCTCCGAACCGACCCCACCCCCCTCCCGGGCTCCCGGTCAGCTCCAGGATGGAGCTCGGGAAAAGCAGACTATTGGCCGCCGCAGCCCCGGGGAGCACAGACGTGTCCATTCTGCATAACTCGGGTTGTCGCCCCCTCTGGTTTGTCGCGACTCTGCAGAGTAGCTGCCCGAACCCGAGTTGTATCCACGACGGGAGGGAAGCGAGGAAAGGCTTCGTTGACTGACCCGCCCCACATCGTCAACCAAACTCTAGGCTTTCCCGAGCTTTCGCAGTAGGAGACCCGGTTTGCGTATCCTCTTCCAAGCCTTCGAGCTACCGGGTCCATGACGGCGGGCAGTAATACGCTTGCTCGCTACCCATCTCGCTCGTGTTTTCCATTTCCCCGACCCAAGCTACCTCAACCTGGGATGGTGACCTCTGGCGGAGGGGAAGCCACGCAAGCACCCCACCTCAGATGGAGGGTGAAGTTAATGACCAATTCGCTCCCCCTCTTCACCGTAGCGTAGCGTCACCGGCGGCATGGTGACACCGAGTAATTTTGACAGTTCAGGCCCCCGAAGGAGGGGGTCCGAATGTCCCAGTCCATATCGGAATCCGCATGTCAAGCCGTAATCTAAACTTGTGGATAAGTCGGGTATTGCCCCCAACTCAACTGAGCCCAAAATGGATGGCTGATGTGTGGAACGGGTCATCGATGCCAGTATCGTGCAAGGGACAGCACAAGTCCTGCAATTCACGTTCTGCAAAAGAGAGGACAAGAGCGGTAATGGAAGGAGTCTCTGTTTCATCCAATAGGCGGAATTTGTACTAGAACACCATAAGAAAAAAGTCTAGAAACACCATTCTCGGCGACGCTTTGTATGCGTACTATATGCCTCAAGAGATGTGAGCGTGTAAAGTAAGGTTATACAGTGGGCAATCGCCCTGAAAACGAGCTGCGGCCTAAAGCATACCGCAGCTCTTTTGCTTTTTCGTTGTTGCTGTTTTGGTTCCCCCCCTGACCCAAACTTTTTTCTATCCCAAATGACACCCGAGTTGACGGATCCCTTCAATCCATGTACATTGGATCACCTCTCACCTGGGACATGGCCATTCCCATGTCACCACCATGCATGCTCTGCATCGTTGCCTGCATATTCGGCATTGACCTGCTCATGTTGATTCCGCCCCGATTCGCATTTGGATTACCATTCTGCATCATGAACCGCGCATCACTCGCACCCCTCTGCTGCACTTGCCTTGTCCGTGGTACCTCGAGGGTAGCTTGTCGTTGGATTGGCTGCTGGGGCACAGGTTTGGCGGTGGGCGTGTCCATTACAGCAAAACTGTCATCGTCCTCCATCTCGGCGTCGGCGTCAGCGTCTCCGTCGGCGTCCCCATCAGCATCCCCATCGGCATCTTGGTCGCTAGCATCGTCGATTGAAGGAGGGCCGCTGATCGACGCGGCTGGGTCACTATGGCCAGTGGTGCTCGTCGTCGATTGCTGCTGATCGGGGCTCGGAAACTGTTGCACTTGTTGCTGTTGCTGATGCTGCTGCTGCTGTAACGACTGCGCCTGTTGTTGTTGTTGTTGCTGCTGCTGCTGCTGCAGGTTCTGTTGTTGTTGAGGGGTCGGAGTCGGGGTCGGGGTCGGTGTGTTGCTGTTTGTTTGATCCAAAGCCTTTTGAGCATTCATGCCATTGTTGGCGACACGATTCATGCTGATGACCGTCTTCCACCGTTCAATGGCCCTGACGACAACGTCGTTGAGATCCAGTTGTCGGTCCTCGAGCCGCAAACCTACGCCACGGCCACCGCTCTTGACCCCTGCTTCCAACACGTGGGTCAAGAGCTGTCGCTCCAGGGGAATTGTAGCCGGAGAAAACAGTTTGAATTCTCGTGGCTGCTGTAGACGATTCAGCTGATCAATCTGAGTTTTCAAGTTGACGTTCTCCTGCTGCAGTCTGTGTTGTTCGTCCTTCATCTTGTCAATCTCGGTCTGCTTCCTACCCACGCTTCTTGCCATCTCCAGTAGCCATAGTTCATTTCGCCGCTGAACAGGCAAAGAGGTCCAAACAGCAAAGGCCGATTGCAAGTGCTCATTGACCTGCTTCTCAAGAGTTTCCGCCGACTTTTCGGCCTTCTTCACGGCGTCACGGGTATCTCGGACGAGACCCTCGCGGGGGGGATATGTTAGGTCCTCCATCACTGCCGTAGTAGCAGTGGCGCAAGTTGCCTTCCAATTACTAAACTCTTCTCTGAAGAAGGCCCTGAGCGCGTCGTATTCTCTTTGCCCAGGTGATTGGACGGACCAAGAGGTGGAGGTAGGATGCTGTGTGGAAGAGAAGAGAGTAGGCGGCGAGGCGAGGCACTGCAGCGTCAACGCAGGAAAGTCGAGGGCAAGAGGGTCAAATTCGAAAGGCATAGAGTTGTTGTCGATGTGTTGCCTGGTTCGAGGTTAGTAATGTAGGGCCTTCCCTGTCATATGTCGGAAGGATGCTCACTTGGCTGCTCTCCAAGAGCTCAAGAGCTCTCTGAGGGCGAGCTCCGCCGCGCGGGCGGTATCCATCGCATCGGCAAGCTTGTGCTTCACATCGAACTGGGCCTTTTGCATCACCTGCTTGCTCACTTGCCTTGGCCTCCTGCCTGCATTCTGGCTGCCCTCCCCATCGGTAGAGGTAGCAACATCGCCGTTTTTAGAAGGAGCATTGTTGATGACACCGGTGGTCTCCCAAGAAGGGGTCCAAGGGTATTTGCTCAGCGTCGAGTCGACGGCATATTGGCCGTCCTTGGGCAAGGCGGGAGACCTGTGGGATTCGGCATCTTGCGTCGCGTCCCGCTTGGACTGGGCAGGCCTCGGCGTGCTGGCTGGGGTCGAGGCATTTCTGGTGCCCATCGACCCCCTAGGCTGTCTCCGCGTGATGCCACCTCGCAGACGCCTGATGGCGTCGACGTCGTGAATTCCATCTGGGGGCTTGGGATTCTTTTCCTTGATGTAGAGATCGAGGTGTCGGCCGAGAGAGGAGGAGGTGAAGGCCTGACCACAATAGGGACAGTTCTTGTCCTTGGGGGCGCTCAGCTTCTGCTGGCTCGAGTCGGCGTTGCTCGCGGTTTCTGCCATGGCGGCGAGAGTTTGGGGTGTACAACGGGAGGGCGGGGGACAACGAGTGGTTCGGAGGATATATCGACGACGTCGAGGACACAATGGAGATCGGTTCGAGGGCTACAAGGTTTTCGTCTATGGGAAGACTTGCAGCTGCTCCAGGGGAGCTATGTAATCGGGGTTCATATGTATAGAGGGGTCGAATTGGGAATGGTCGACGGCAGAAGCAGCAAATTTTAAAGTAGGTTAGGGTACAGCAAGGAAATGAATAGGGAATGGGGAAGGACAGTGTTGGGTAGGTAGATACGTAAGGAGACGAGGTATAAAAAGAGGGCAATGTAACAAAATGAGGGACTAGATGCTGAAGAGCCAAACGAGTGTGCGAAGAGAAGGAGGTCGGCGGGAGGTGTTGAGGAGCAGCAGCAGCCCTCGTACGAACAGAACGCGGCCCAACCCCTGTGCGTGTATATGGAGAGGATGGGGCTTTCGGGTTGGGGTCGTCGGTACGAATGGCGGTCGAGGTAGCGAGATGTGTTGGCGAAATAGGAGAATAACGGTGGTGGTGATGGTGGTGGTAGGAGAAGGAGAAGGAGAAGGTACAGTTGGATCCCTGGTATTAAGGAAGCACTTCTCTGTCGCTGTTCTCCGTCTGGGTTTCTCTCGCGCGCCGGTGTGCAGCTCTCTCAATTCAACCGTGGACACTCACAGTCTCTCGACCTCTTTGCATACACACAAAAACACAAAAAAGAGGGACGAAGGGGATGTGGATGAAGAATGACACGGCAGTGGTGAAGTAAAGTACAGAAGAGTAAGGGGAAGATGCAAAAAAAATGTCACTGAGGATTTAATCATTGCATACTTTTATTTTTATTTTTTATTCTTTTAGTAAGGCACAGGAAGACGGCAGGCAGGGGTAGCAAGCACTACGGTCCACAGTCCAAAAAAGACGACGAGCAAGCAAGAGCTCTCTCTCTCTCTCTCTCTAGTCGGGTGTGCACCCCCCCCCCCCCCCTCCCCTTTGCCCTCATCCCATAGGTCGGTCCCATCCGCCGACCGCCATCCATGGCCCATCCCATCCCATCCCATGCTCCCCAGATTGCCAGTGGCTGCACAGACGGAGCCAAGGACAGCCCAGGCCAAGGCCAGCTCAGGGCCGTACAGCGGTCCCACCTCTACACGAATGGGCTTTTAATAGCGATTGCTGCTATGGTGGGGGTGCCTACCCGTAGTGTCCACCGCAATGCATTGCACCCGCCAGCTAACTGTAGTCGTAGCCAATAGTGAGCGTGCAAGAGAATAGGGGCAAGAACCCAAGTTGAGCTTCATTTTAGGTACCTAGGTAGGTAAGTTGAAACTGAGCAGCCAACAAAACACAGGAAAAGTTTTGCTGCACCGGGGTTTCCAATCGCAAAAGTACCTGCTCACTCACTGCATGTCGGCCTGGGGCCAACTAACTACTACTACCAAGACGTATTCAAACCATGGTGGGCCATCGAACCATGTTCAGGAGCATCTCGTAGCCTGGCCCTTGTGTTCATCAACAGCATACCCCCCCATCGCTCCTTCATAGCAGTCCCTCATATACGGATACAGGTGGTATGTATATAGGTACCCAAGGTAGATAGGTAGGTAGGTAGGTATCCGTATAGGTACTCAATAGTTGCCTCCCTTCCTTTCCCTTTTTGCCTTTCCTTGCGAGGTTACATGGCTCAGCCATAGTTTCCCAGCCCCAACCACAAGCAGCTCCTCTACATGGTATTGCGCAGTGCCCATCTCCCAAGACGCTCCCCACGCGAGCCCAAAGCCTAACTCGACACCTCTCCAACCGCCTATCAAGACGCCCCTAAACTCGCCCAGCACGTAATGTGTTCGAGTTCGCTTAGGTTCACAGAACGAACGTCAAGGCCATTCCGCCCATGGTCCTTCTCCCCCATTCCAACCTTCTCTCTCTCACATGTTGCTTAGTGCTGCTAATCTAGGTAGCCCGCGGAAACGAGAGGAACAACCCGGCACCGCCCTGTGCATCACTTTTACCGGCCTAGCGCCGCCGGGGGTCCCTTGGGGGAGGGGTGCACGGTAAACCTTTTATTCGAGGAAGCTTCGCCCGAGCATTTTCGTCCATGGTATGGTCTTCCCCCCCTCAACATGCCGAGCCGAAACGACAAACACCTTTTCAACCCTGTCGAGCTGCCTCATTGAGCCCAAATTACGTGTCGGATAGCCTGGATAAAGTCTATAACTCGAGTCCACCTCGGGAGGGGGTACAGACAGGGCACGCACTCACTCATTATGGTTTAATGACCATTGGACGCGTCCCGAACAAAAGATTGAGAGCAGTGAAACTTTAGCGCAGTACTGATTTTGACCTAATTAGAAGTATGAGCTGAGCGTTTTGCTACGATGCCCGAGTGCTCGTGGCTTTTTCAAGGATACCAAGATCGGCAGTTCGACACCTCTGACCAACCCTGCCTGACCTGCGGTATCAGTCCTCGTTTCTCACACAAAGTCCTCAAGATACCCTGGTTCAGCATCTTCTCTTGGAAGTCCGTACTCACGCCGCATTGAGCACAACACGCTCCCCCCAGGTAAGCAAGTGCTTGAACTTTCAAAAAAGAAAGAAGAAAAAAGATGAAGAAGAAAAAAAAAAAACACGTGTTAAAGCATTCCCTGCAAATTTGCAATGCCACGTTGTCGAACTACCTAACCAGTTTTTGTATGTTTAAACTATCGCGCTTATTCTTTCAAGCCTAACCTCTAGGTATCGCCGTAGCCAGCAAAAACTGTAGCGTTGATCCCGCTGCCTGTTCTGGACTTACCTTTGATCGGCCTTCGGGTGATGCTGAGACTCAACCCTGTGTCTTCTCATAGTCTGCAACGGCGCCTTAAGGCGTTCCTGGTCCGACTGCGGCGAACAGCACAGCGATTGCAGCAGGTGGAACATGGAATTCATTCCTTCATGCTCTCCGTCTCGTAGCTTGTGGTTGTGTTATTGTACTATTTGCAATGGTAGCAAGCCGTTCCCGCTGTGAGCTGCTAACCCACCCATTGGCAACTGAGACTAACATCTTGCTTTTAACTTGCCGGGTTGGCCCGACTGGCCGACAACCTGGGGCGCGGGCAGGCGTTCCTGGTTTGTTTCTTTGGGTTACTGGACCCACACTGCTGACTTGTGTGTGTCCGATCTCGTTGTTCAGGCAGGGGTGGGGGAGGGCTTCCGGGAGATCATCCAGGGGGAGTCGGTGAAGAGCCTGGTGCCAGTGGTGCCAACAGAGTCAGTCGTATCTACCTGGCTGGCAGGTTTCGTCTCATACCTATTAGACATTGCGCATCCGCGACACACCATCCTAAACCACGATTGACTGGCTGCGCGAAGGCTTGCGGACTGCCTATTGTTTGCCTGCAGTTTCGTTTCCCCCTCTTTCTCCCCGTGTTTGCCCCAGGGATAGCATCCAGCCCCGAAGAGACACCTCTTGCAGCCGCAACATCTTGGGTTAGCCCTGTCCGGACCGTCCATTAGGGGCTTCATCTGCAATCCAACGTCAGAACCTGCACGACACCGATACTTTCCCGCTCCTTCTTCAACAGCGTTACTCCAGTGTCCCGACGCGCTTTGTCCACTTCCCAAAGCAGCAGGCGCATGCTGGCCTGTCCTGCAGCTTCAAAATATCACCTTAGGGCTACTGCCTGGAGTTGTTGCTGTGAGGGAGAAGAGAGGCGTTGTTGGATGAAGTAGACAATGGTTCTCGCCATTCATAATGCCGGGCAGTCGCCCGCCACTTGTGCAGACGAAATCCATGCTGCGAGCGCTCTTGCCTAAGCCTCATTGAGGATAGTCCATAGTGTTGATTTAACTGGAGAGGAAGCAAACCGCTGCCCCCTTTTGCGCTGCAGAGACTTTTGATAAGATGCTCATTACGCTTCTGCAGCTCCATGCAGACACTCTGCATGACGAGAGATGTTTCCGTTGGTTGAAGCATCACAGTCGACTTAGGATCCGGAAACTGCCTTCCCAGGAAATTGAGGCTACGAAGGGTCATAAGTTCTGAAATTGCCAGATGTCATGGGCTGAATGATTAAGAGGCGTCTGGTTCCGCAGCTATTTGTTAAACATCATCGCCAGCTGCTGAAGATGACCCCTAACTTTATCTCGTGGACGATGGACATTGTGAGGTTGCTATTGGATTTGATTAAGAAGGCGGCGGCCTCAATTTGGGGAAACCCTGGGGAGGAGGTCGTGCCTGTTGATATTGCCCAGACGACGCCCGTACGAATGAAAATGGATTGCCGTTGCGATCTGTCCCAGTTCATTTAAGTATCCGCCAAACAACACCGAAGGTTCTTGTTCGTCATCTTTGACTTCTTCTCATACCACAGGTAAGGCAGGTAAGTATCCATAAAAGAAAAAAGGCCATCGGCGCACATGCTGATTGGACCGTGGAGCTTGGTCCACCGATTCGGGCTCCACACAAGCTCTTGACCAGTACCCAGAAAAAGGCGGGAACGAAGCTTTCCGATCACGTGATGTCGGACGCGCCATAAGCCGCTTGTCCCGTCTGGAACCGCGTCGCTGCTTCCTGCCGTTATTCGCTTTGCGCAACTTCAATCAACGGATAATATCATCCATTGTACGTAGACTCATGCAAGCACCTGCCTAAATAATCAACAAGTACTATTCGCGATGCCACCTGGTAAGCTTCTCATCTTCCCACCTCCAATTCTACTCTGCGCTGTAATCGAAGCGCGTCTGGTTGCTACAACACATCCGATATCACGACGATCGCGCAATCCTCCCCCAACCGCCAAAATGCCGCGCCCAAAGACGTACAAACAAAAAGGACCCAGAAAGCTGATTGCTTCTGCAGCCATTAGTGACGACGAGCAATCCGATCCGGGCGACGGAATCGCGATCCCCCTCAAGGAGAAGCGTGCCAAGTCCCGATCGGCCGAATACCGAGACGACGTCCTCCAGACTAAGAGCGAAGAGGAGGATATCCCGGAGATCAAGGGCGACTTAAACGGCGGCCCCGCCAAATCAACAGTAAAGAGTGACGAAGACGAAGACGAGGAAGATGAGGACGAGGATGAGGATCTGGAGCCCGACGAGTGTGTTCTCCAACGTCACTTCCCGGCCGAATAAGTCGGGCTGACATTGCTTCAGGTACATTGTAGAGAAGATCCTCGACCATCTGGTCGCCGAAGACGTAAGCGTTCCCTTTACTTCCCTGCGCTATTCAGTGGCCAACATGTTTTGTAGGGTACCGTCAACTTCCGCGTCAAGTGGGAAGGCTATGAGAAGAAGGCCGACCAGACCTGGGAGCCCGAAGACAGCTTGAAGTAGGTTGCGACATTCGCTAAGGGGAGGCGGGTGGGGCATTGGGTCGCATAATAACTAATACATTGACAGGGAAGGCGCATCCGAGATCTTGGAGGGATACCTGAGAAAGCTCGGTGGGCGCGAAGCGCTTTTTGAGGAGAAGTCCAAGGCCAAGGCCACAAAGAAGCGCGGTCGTCCTTCTGGATCTTCGGCCACACCACCAGCAACCACCAAGAAGTCTAAGCGAAGCGGCCACCCCGCCGAGTCTACCCCTCCTGCGTCGGCAAAGGAGGCCAAGAGCAAAGCCTGGACTTTACCTAGCGGCAGCTGGGAAGAGGAGGTCGAGAGCATTGACGCCTGTGAGGACGAGGAATCCGGATCATTGATCATCTATCTGAACTGGCGCAATGGCCAGAAGACTAAGCACTCCAAGGACGTCGTGTACAAGCGATGCCCCCAAAAGGTAAGGCACATGCTGCAAGTAGCCCCACTTTAACTTTTCGAGGAAGATGCTTACAGGATACCACTTGAAGATGCTGCAATTCTACGAAAGACACATTCGTATCATCAAGGCGGGCCCCGAGCCCACGGAGGAGGCCCAGGTTTAGTACAAAAGCTCGACATTTAAGGGAAATGGTTTTTTGGGCTGGTCATGCATCTGTTATCGCCGCGGGCTTTTGGGGACTGTTACGCCGGCAATTTGTTTTTCTTCTCCGTCGTCTTGGTCTCTCTATCTTGCGGGGGTTCTCTGAAGATGGTCTAGTAAGGCCTCACTTGTACTTAGGCTCATGACTTTCCGGCTAGGCCTACTATCTACCCGAGTAAACAAAGGTACAACACAGGATTCGGATTTCCTATTGCTGGAAACAGGCTGTGGTTCCCCTCTCAGTCTTTCGGTGCAAGCGATCATTTTCTGTATTCCCATCACCGACACAACAGCAGGAAATCGGGCTCCTTTGGGAGCGATTCAATGGGTGAATCAAGATCCGGCCCATGTCAGCCGTAAGCCTTGTTACGAATTCATGAACAAAATCCATCCCGAATGGATGTCGTCGGTGCTGAGTTCAGGCACGATGCAGGTACCGCCCGTGAGATCGTCTACAAAGTCTCTTTGCACTCGGATATGTATGGAAAGGTACATACGAATACACGGAAGAAGAAAAACGGTGGGGGGCAACCAAGCTGAGAAGCCCACGAGGTTGGGTGAGGATGTCAAAAAGCCGGTAAGGCCCACTAAAACAGTTGGAGACCCCTGTTTTGCAGGCGGTTGGGTGTCGTGTGTGGTGTGGTAGGCTGGTAGCGTTGCCGCGCTTTTTCTCGACCAGCCTCTCGCATTTCTGTTGACTTGGGCCGTAAAGCTGGTGGCGGGGCAACGCTGCTTTTTAACGTGAAGCTGCCCGCGTTGCATTCCTCGCCTTCTGGTCTTCCGCTCTCCCTTTTGTCTGGTATATTCCTTGTTGATAGCCTGCTTCCATCTACAATTCACGGACCTCAAGAAGCAAACAATCCCATCGTCCGTTTCGGCCAACCTACTCAACCTCCGCCACAACCGCCTTAGACTCAATACACATCACATATCGGTGCTTGCGATCTTGTATAAAAAAAAAAAGCGCTTTATCCAACCGCTATCCCACCCGCCGACACCATATCCTTTCTTCAACCCTTCCTCTTGGACATACCGTTGAAAATCATCACCGAAACCCTACTTTTCTCCCGAGACCCGAACATTCTTCGGCGCACGGCGACTCCGCTCGAGCTCCGTACCTCTTCCCCCCCAGCCACCGGGACTCAGCAGACACCACCCCACACCAGTTCCACACCGCCCATCACACCTCCATTCCCCGTTCAGGCCCTCCTCGCTGGTGTCAGATCGTGACGGGAAAGCCCCCGCACTGCAACCGCAGCCATGGTCAAACAAAACGATGTCATCGCCATCATCGTCATCATTCTCTTCATCGTGCTCGCCCTCGTCGCATTTGGCATCTATAGGTTGGTCCATACCGCGCGCCAGAGCATGAGCGTGACGTCCGGGTCGAGTAGCAGCAGCTCCGACGAGATTGTCGATTGATCCTGGCGTCACTGGTCGCTTGCTGCAGCTGCCGCTGCTATCAGCGCATTTACACTGAAATGCCACGCTGCATCCTGTCTTGGGCGCTGCGCCCTTTCTACATCTACAGCACACCGCTGCTACGTTGCAAGCAGGGGCGGCGGCCATCTACGAAGCCGCTGAAAACGAAAAGAAGAAAATCAGAATGATTTAGGACGAAGAAAGATGTAATGAGGGGGGGGGGGGAACGACAACTCTGGAATGGACATGAGACATGATTTATTGGGCATAACTGTTTGGGCATTTTCCGCAGCATCTTATTTTTGTTTTTTGCGTGTTCATATGTTGGACGGAGTTACAAAGGATACCGAGAGCAACTGCACGGCGAATATCTACGAGTGTACGATGTCAACAAAGTCGAGAGACCATTGTTGGTACTCGACATGGGACGGGCAGGCTGAGCATCGGCTCGGCGTATTTACAGACGAGAGGAGGGTTCAGAGAGCCCGGCATACATAGAATCGAAGCCCTTGAGGTTGGGAGCACAATAGAAAACCGCACCAAGCATGACGCATGGCATTCTTCTCACGCTCGCTTCTTTTGATTGGATCTCAAGCAGCAAGATCAGAACCTCATGGACTGGGCCTATGGGCGCCAATACTCGCCGGCCAAACAACAACTTGGTCAACAATGACAGCCTATCAAGGCCACCCATTTGGTATATGTTACCTGTGTGAATCTTTGCCCTTATGGTACATAAATATGTCTTTAGCCATGTTTCTTGGAGTGGCCGCCATACCTCAATGACCAATCTCATTACCCAAGCCGCTGCAAAGGCTCGATGTCAGGCCATTGGCAGCATATCTGTCCTCGTCGGCAGCCACAGGAATAGTGTCTGCCTGCTATTCCATCTATGCTCATAGCTAGGAATGCAAAAGGAGGCCAGGGTATCGGGTCGGCCGTGTCTTGGATCCTGGAGCGGTCAACGGAAGGCGCCGCGCCACTTATTGCTTGTCAATAGGAGACGGAGCCCATGTCTAGAATTTTTTGCGACTAATGAAGACTCGCCAAGGGTTTAGTTGGGGATCCCCAAATACCAAAATACCAATTTTTCTTGCAACTGGCACCCTTCAAATGCCAGGTCAAAGCGAGACCAAATCACAACCCATACGCATATGACCGACCAGCTGCCTGTCATTAAGATACTTCAAGGCGACTGCGAGATGAAGATCGTGGGCAAGGAAACGAAGCATACCGCCTCTGACGCCAAGAACAGGCTAGAAAGTGGGGAGACAGCCGCCTCGGAGGGAGCATTCCCGCATGACGCGGTAGCAGTTACGGTGAATGATATGCAAGTGTCAGTTGCGAACGTCACCTTTAGTATGATGGGACGTGCGACCAACTACGGCGATGATGTAATGGCGGAAGAAGGTGAGGAGGAGACTGCCAGAGCGTCCAGATACGACGTTCAGCCTCAGGAGAAGTAGGATGGGGAGGACCGGAAGATTTGGTCCCAGATTATGAGCGGGGAACCGGCATGGGAGGCAGATTAAGGGTTGAAGGAGGTCTCGTGGTAATAATGGTTTATCAGCTGGAAGAGAAGTATCTTCCAAGCGAGTTTGCGGACTCTGGATGGCGCGTGGTGCTTGGTTTGCCTCAGAATTCAAGGGCACGTCTGCTGCGGCTGTGCCGCTAATTCCAAAGAACCATTTTCAAACAGACATCGAGAGCCGCTTGGGAGAAGTTGCGGGGATTCGGTGAAAATGCTCAGAGCCATCGTACTGTACAGGACAGTCGGTGCAGAATGATGTGCAAACGCAAACATCTGTAGGCACTGACGACAAGCGTGTTTGACTCTACATCACTCTCTACACTCCAAACCCTGTGTGACTAATGATTTCCGCATCTCGTGGACTCAGTCACTTACAGAGTTGGAGCTTTCGAATGATTCACTACCACGAGAGGTGAAGACTTCATCGGAGTCCCCCCAGTCAGCCCTACATATAAGAAAGCACAATCCACTCAAACGAAGCATTCAGCACAGAAAAGAAAATCAAATCAACATCAAGCAAAGCGTCAAAGTAGAGCCAGCGAGAAATCAATTCCTGACACGGATGCAAGAACACCAGATCATTCACTCAAGATGCCGTCCTTTACCCGGATGCTGCGTCAAAACGGACGCATTATAGGCCATGTCAAGGACAATGTAGCCTTTCTCAATAACAATCCCAAGCCCGAAATCCCAGAACGAGACACAAGAGCAGGGAACATAGGCCCCGTCGACGACATCTGCGAAAACGACTTCCCAGATACCGAGTCCCCGACCGCAGAACTTCTGCGCCTCTCGCAATCCCCCTCGACGGTCGAGGTTCTTCAGACCCTGTTAGATGAGCTTGGAAAGAAGCTGCGGGAGCGGAAGGCCGCCATCAATGCACTAGGAGAGGCCAGAGAAACATTGGACGGTGTGGTGTGGACCATTGCGCCCTATGACTATGCCATGTTCATGGCCGGCCAGGAGGTACCCCCTGAGGAGGAAGAGTGGCACGGAATCTGCCCCAGGGCAAGGAGACAGGCTCATGAATGGCTCTACCAGAGAGGACGGGTCACGAGCCGCATCGACCGCTTCGGTCAAGAGGTTGAAGAGCTTCAGCGGAATATCACGGCTGTTTTCGCCGCGATGAGACAGGCAGATGATATCCAAAACATTTGTCGCCGAGCTTCTATGGGCCCAGCCGAGCTTCCTCTCTGGAAGATCCCATTGGTCGAGAAGGCCCACGAGATTCGGCAGAGACAGTCGGACCACGAGAATATCCTTAAGGGAAGGGGGGGGAGCATCAGGTTTGCATCGATGGAGAGTGGATCAGGATGGGCATGACCCGCCGAGACAACCGTGAGCGATCAGTAAATTATGAGGCCCGCGGCAGTCAGGGTCAATGGGGGAGGAGAAGTGGAACCTGCAGGAATGACCAAAATGATTAGATGACTTTGACAGGTTTGCGGTCTGAGGAAGATGGCAATTATTACAGAATTGAGCAGAGAGCTGACACAAAGACAGTGGAACGTATCCTGGCTATCCCTAGAGTTTCTCTCAGTGATGGCCACTAGCCCATAATGAAAGAAAGGCCATGGAAAAACGTATGTTACGTTAGTGTAAAGTAGATTCACCCCAGGAAGGTCGTGTATGGCCAACAGGCGGGCAGAGAGGTAGGTATGCGATCTGAAGATGAACAAAAGTGACAGCCTTTTAACCCTATCGATTTCGGTGGCCTCACATGTGTAAGTTGTCGGCCATGCCATATTTCAACGGCATTGGCGTTGAGGTATTGGAATCTACTAAAGAACAAAGAAATGACACAATGCCCCTGTGTTTGAGAATTGATCGAACCCTCTTCCGGTTCATCATAAATGCTCTGGCGAGTTGGAGTGGGTTGAGTGAACCTACCGAAGGACGCTCTGCTACCTACCTACTCTAGGTAGACCACCCCACAGTGGACACGGGAGGTACGTACCCCATCCCCTCTTTAACCCCACCGACGCGTCACGGCACGTCAATCGCGTCGGCCAATTTGTCACTTGTGCCAAATTTCCAATCTCAACTACAGACCTTCAAGGCAGATATTGTCAGCGCATTATAGCGTATCCGCGACACAAGCACCTGCGATACACATTAGAGGAAAATACCATTTAGCACGAGAATATCTGGCTTCCTTTGGCGCACAGTCGTCCGCATCTTACAATGCCCATCCTTGAACGCCGCCGACCAGGCCAACGGCGCCCCGAAAGAAGAGTAATCGACAACGACGACGAGGCTCCCGGAAGCGACCTTCCCGAATACGAACCGCTCGCTTGCCCTCTTACTGCGGAGGCTAAGCGCGCCATCGCCGAACTCTCCAACAGCCGTGATGTTCACCGTTACCAGAACCACGTAAAAGCCTCTATCCGGCATCTCGGCACCTCCGTTGCTGGCATCAACGACAGCGTCCGCATCCGTCACGAGCATATCCAGCGCCTTGTCGAGAAGCGCGCCGAGTCCAACGACCTCGGTAGCCAGGAGAAGTCACAGCGCGAGGTCGAACTTGAGACCTACACCGCGACTCTCGACGACGAGGTCCCTCGCCTCACGGCCGAGGCCGAGGCCGCCCTCCGTGACCTCATCGACAGGCAAGTCGAGCTCGATGACGAAAAGGCTGCCATGGCGGAGACGGTGTCGTACTTTCAGGCTATGCCCGAGCAGGCGCCGCGCCAGCGCAGGCGGACCCGCGTGGAAGCCCATGGCGACGACTCGAATATGGACGAGGAAGGGGACACGGTGGACGACCTGCCTCCGCCGCCGGATCACTCTGTCATTGACATTCTCCGCCAGCGCCGTGCCGATAAGACCCATGCTTACCAACGCCAACCCGCGTATCAGCGCTACGCCTTAAACAACGACTACGCCGCTTTCAAGAAGCTCTGGCACGACGCCGCGCACGGGGACACGGAGGTGCCCCTGCCTAACGCCAAGCGGTGGTTCGACAATGCTGGAAACCCCGTTATGCCTGCTACGCACCGCCAACCCGGAAACATTAAGGGCGAACCCGGAGCTCAACGGGCGGACGATAGTGATGAGGATATTGTTATTGCGGGCGAGGTTATAGATTATAGGTGCCCGCTTTCGATGCAGTTGTTTGAAAACCCGGTCAGCAACAATGTCTGCAGTCACACGTACGAGAAACAATGGATCGTCGACATGTTGCAGAAGGCGCCTACGAAGCGTGCGCAGTGCCCCGTTGCGGGCTGCTCCATGGTATGTACTTGTTATGAAACTCCGAGAGCGCTCCGTCTGACGAGAACTTTAGGAGCTGGGTCTCGACAATCTGTACGACGACCAGGTGATCCTGCGCAAGATGAAGCGCGCGCTGGAAGAACAGCGTCGCCGCGAAGAGGAAGAGGCGGACGACAGCAGCTCTGATGACGAGAATGAGGACGAGCCTCGTCAGGTCAAGCGTGAAGCTCGTGGCAAGAGTCAAAAGCGCAAGGTTGAAGAGATTGACGACGAATGAGAGCCTTCTGCGGTCAAAACGGCGTTAAAGGGATGGATATGAAAGTAATGATACCCAAGAGTCAAACTATGTACGAGCTTTTAGCCACGCAAGTGGCCTTGAAATTGAAAGGCTGCGCCTGTGATTATTATGCACATGATTTCGTTCTTATGACTCCTCGCCATGCAATCCACGCGCCGATTTCCCCCTGATTATGCAATGCTTACGTTTCGACACACTCTCTACGCGACGCAAATCTTACTCGGATGCATCGCACGCCATCGCCAGCGCAACGCCAGCCCCTAGTAATGAGCTCTCCTTCGCCAGCACGAGGTCGATGCTCCTGTCTTCCCGGTTGATCAGAGCGTCTACGTAGTCCTGACACATGGCCAGGTATCCCGGATAGCACTCGATAACGCTGCCGTTGTACGCAACCATGGTCCGGACCAGACTCGACTCCTCCGCTAGTCTGTCAGAGGCCTCTTCCTCTGGCTCTTCGCTCAGCGCCTCGAGGCGCAAGGACCAGACTGCGTGTAGGCAAGCGGCGATGATGGCGGCCGACCTTCTCGAGACGAAGGATGCCAGACTACGCAGTGCTGACATATCGGACGAGGTTGGTGTGTGAGAGGAGGGATAGAGTGAGACGAATAGGTCTATGGAGGATGTAAGCATCGGCGACGCATCTCTATGACATGGTTAGCGCCTTCACGTGGATGACGGTCAAAGGGGGGGGACGTTACCCTTCGACGGCAGATATCGTTTCCGATTTCAGAGAGTACGGCTCCTCGAGCGACTTGGGCACAACGCCCCCGAAGAGCCCCGTCGTCTCGATTGCCTCGATCAAAGCAAACCTCACCACCTCTCCGAGATAGTAACCGCTCACCATCATCTCCAGAGGCTGCAATTCAGGCCTCGGGTGCCCCTGCTTCAGCAACCTGTCCCAGCGCGTCACGCTCAGCACGTCCTGCCCGAACATGCCGAGCTCCGTGTTAACGATCACGTCGCGCGCCTCATCCCACCACTCCCGCGGGCGGTCGCCGAACTTGGGCCTCCCGATGAGAGACACAGGGAGGTATGCGGCAATGTTGACGCCGGTGCCGAGGATGAGGCCGAATCGCGTGGCCGGGTGAACGTAGGCCTGCGAGAGCAGCGTGGCGCCGCCGTCGTTGAGGATCACACGCAGCTGCGCGTTCATGCCCCTCGCCGAGCAGGCTGACTCGATGACCTCGCCGAGGTCTTTGCCCATGAGGCCTTCGGCGGCGAGAAAGCCCTTTCCCATACTGTGGATACGGCCGCCTTTCAATGATGTTTGTCTTGAAAGTGCAAGTTAGCTCATCGCGGGAGTGTAAGCGGGGCGACTAGTGACTTACTCTATGGGAAAGCTCCAAGCCAGCGCCATGGGCATGGGCTGTGAAGGGTCATGTCCGTCTTGTGAGACCATCTCCCATATCCTCTCGGCCATCCAGTCGAAAAAAGCCATGCCCTCCAGATTTCTGATGTCGCTATCAATCTTGAGCGAACTCATCCGCACAACCTCTCCCTCACTTCCCTTGGCGTCCCGGCCCCGCAGTTCCACCAATGCGACACGGAGTGTCGATCCTCCAACGTCCACCGCCAGATACTGACCGGCTTCGTACCCGTCGGGGAGCTGATGGTTGTACGAGGGCAGCATGCAGGCCATACTCGTCTGCAGCTTGTCCCTGAATTGAGCCTTCAGGGCGTTGGAAAGGGCGAGTAGGCCATTGTCGAGCAGAGGGCCCAGGAGCAGGTCTTCGGCCTCCTTCAAGAACTCCTCGACGTCCCGTGATGATGATGTCGTCGTCGTCGCGGACTTGGGACACTCGACGGTCGGCCTCGCCTGTTTCCCGGAACCGGAATAAGGGGTGATCCAGAAGGCCAGGAGGGCTTGTATCAGAGACTTGCCCCGGAGCAGCTGCTTGACAACAGCGGCCAAGAAAGCTTTCGGAAACGTGGTCATGGCAGGAGGGTACTGCTGCATGGTACAAGGAAAGGTTTCGAGCGAGTTAGCTTAGAACGATGCTGAACCATCCAGGTGACGAGATATTGGACGGTAGATAAGCGGGACAGGTCACAAGCCATATCATCCGGAGACAAGCCAGGCGAGATAGATGTGTGAGATGCGCGAAAAAGAAGAGGAGGAGGGTCGCAAATATGCCGTGCACAATGTTTAAACGGCAGCCTCCACGGCGGACTGGTAGCAGATCGGAAAGGCAGGTCCAGGTACGGGTGGATGGGACTTCGATGGTGTGCACGTAGCAAGAATGGAACCTGCCGGTTGGCTGTTCGACTACCCGGGGATGGTGTATGCTGGGGACGTCGTATCCAACGGGGTCGGCAGCGGGATGGGTAACAAACGGAAGGCAGAAACAGGCGATGGCGACAACGGCCAACGGCCAATGGGCTACAGAGTAGAGCAACCAGCTGGAAGCGAAACCATGTGCCGCCTAGACAAGGTGAGAGCGGGAAAGACCGAAGTAGCTTCACTCTTCAACGTCGCACAGGCGATGGGGCGACACACCGTATTCCTCCTGCTACCAGGTTCAGCTAGCCTTGTTCAGTCAAGGCCCGATGCTCCAATCCACGTCACTTGGGGGTCGAATGTTCGTGTTGATATGGATGGGCCAAACGGAGAAAGGGGGGTTCGATGATGGGTGGTGACGGTATGGAGATGGTTACTGAGGATGAGCCATATTGCGAACCCCAGTAGATCGCGACAGGTAGCCGAGCACGTGTAACAAGCAACCGATGCAGTAGTGGATGGGTGAGAGGCTCCTCGCCTCGACGCAACTAAAGGAATATGTAGGTAGTGTGCCGAAACAACGGGACGCACTTGTTCGACGCCTTCAAGCAGCCAGCCAAGCCACCATTCCCGCCCTCGGTGCGGTACTCTTAATTGGGGGGGCTTTAACCCACCCATTGGGTTTGGTTGCGAGTCGGGTTCTCTGGGCCACCCAGCACACGATAGGCAGTGAGTGGTTGTTGCAGTTCAACTTGTTCGAGGTGAGATGCGATAATGGACGGGGCAAGGAAATCGCCCCTCCAGTTGTAACGTTGCCTTTGGTAGATCAAAGCACACCACCCTAATGCTAAGAAGGGGAACCCCCCAAGAGTGGTTGGGGGTGGTTGCCTTTGACGGCACCACATCACAAAGACCAGGCAGGAACACCCCAGTCCAAGTGCTGGAGGGGGACAATTCCCCGCTCTCTGGGAGGACATGCAACAACCAACAGCGGAGTCACTTCAAGGAAGCAATCATGCCGCAACGACACAACGTGAGACGTGCCCGGGTGCTAGGACCATAGGTTTCCCCCAACGATGAAGCCTTCTGTCTCGTTTTGATTCTTTCTGGTCAGTCCATCCCGTAGATGTCGCAATCAATCAATCGCGTTGCAGGACCTGTTGGCAGCGAGCGTCTTCCATTGCCGACGTCCGACTGACATGGCTAGGCTAACACCCTTATGCAACCAGCACGAGCCGCTCGGCATGGACACTACTTCTCCAGAGCATCCAGCCGGGCGAGAAGCGGGAACGATGCCCGTTACGTTAGATCTCTCCCATGCATCAGCTGTATGCGAAGCACAGGACTCCGCACGCCATGCAGTGGTAACAACAGCCGCCGGATCGCAAAACCAGGGCTCCCGGCTTCACGTCACAGACGGACGGACACTTTGTGGCTCCCTCCCACTGCCGCCGCCCATGGCAAACGACTGCACTCGCCACCCATGCCATAGCGCCTCGAACTTTGCTGATATCAGTGCCTCTCCACACAGTACAGTAACCGTAACCTCTTCTTTGGAGGGCATCTTCCGCAAGCGCGCAGGCGTGGCTTATCGTCCCGGCCGCGTGGCTACTTCAACACCACCGCTGCCTTGAACTGACATGCCGACCCTTGCTCGGGGACTTTGGGCCATGACGAGTCTAAATCGTGGATGACGATGACCATCGATCCGAACGGGGCCGAGCAAGTGTTGCTCTTTACCCAACTCTATCGTCCGCAGAGGAGTTGATAGCCCCCTTATCAACCGACCACTCCGCAGGCCACATGAGTCGGAGCTTCGCCATCCAATCCCGGGAACCAGGTGACTCGGCCTACACCTGCAACTGGCAACGTTGATAATAATTGATGTGCCCTCCCCAGTAGCTTGTGGGACGCCCGCTCTCGTGGTGGGACTTCTTTTTCGCGCTTCTCAGACACCACCGATAACGGTGACGTTCCATCCCCCTCCACCTCCGTGGGGTGGTTTGATGAAATCTTCAGCAGACTTTGGGGCTGATTCCCGCACGACTGCGATGTCAGGGCGTCTGCGACGAAGGGTGCGACGAAGGGAAACACCCCTTGAGGGAAGGGGGTGAACCCTAGAACCTGGTGGCCAGAACCTTGTGGCCGCCGTCCTTCGATGCTGTCGTCCCTCATAAGCAGGGCTCATTCGGCTTTGGCCCCTTCTGTTATCTCGCTCCTTCACGAAGTTGAATCCAAACTACCAACCCCAAAATCACCAACGTTCCTTGCGGCTCACACCTACTGTCCCTTCTTGTATCGTTACAACCCTTACTAGTCCACATTCATAGAAACATCCCACGATGAGGCTGATTATCCGCGATGATGCTGACGCCGCCAGCGCGTACGTAGCAAGCTACATCGTTGACCGCATCAAGCACTTCAATCCCACCCCAGCTCATCCGTTCGTGCTCGGTCTGCCGACCGGAAGCAGTCCCCTGGGTGTGTATAAAATCCTCGTTCAGAAGTACAAGGCCGGAGAGGTAGGGTCCTGTGCCTATAAGCCCAATACTTGAGGCCTGTAGCTTACAACTATAGATCTCATTTGAAAATGTCATCACCTTCAACATGGTACGTGAGCTCTAATAAAAACCAGTCTCATATTCTATCCCATTGCGACCTTTTCTGATGATGAACAGGACGAGTACGTCGGCATCCCTCGGGATCACCCAGAAAGCTACCACTCGTTCATGTGGAAGCACCTCTTCTCCCACGTAAACATCCACCCCAACAACGTCAACATCCTCAACGGCAACGCCCAAAACTTGGAGGCCGAGTGCGTCGCCTACGAGGCCAAGATCAAAGCCGTCGGCGGCATCGACCTCTTCCTCGCCGGCATAGGCGAGGACGGCCACATCGCCTTCAACGAGCCCGGCTCCAGTCTCGCCTCGAGGACGCGTGTAAAGACTCTCGCTTACGACACCATCCTCGCCAACTCGCGCTTCTTCGACAACGACGTCGAAAAGGTCCCCAAGCTCGCCCTGACCGTCGGCGTGCAGACCGTGCTCGAGGCGAGAGAGGTGGTTGCCATCATCTTGGGCGCTAAGAAGGCGCTCGCCCTGCAGAGGTGCATCGAACAAGGCGTGAACCACATGTGGACGCTCTCCAGCCTGCAACTGCACCCTCACCCGATGATTGTTGTGGACGAGGACGCGACCCTGGAGTTGCAGGTCAAGACAGTCAAGGTGAGACTTCCCTCCCCCTGCGGGTTCGACCTAGTAAAATTTACTAATCGATGAACGCAGTACTTCAAAAGCATCGAAAAGGTCGCCAGGGAACAAGGCTTTGAACAGATCCTCCCCTCTAGGATCCGTACCGGTCCCGGTCCCGTGCCGGTTACAGTCATAGACGAGGTCGAGACCCCTACTATCCTACACCCGCAGCCCACCACCTCGCGTTTGCTGCGTGCCTCGCCGGCGACGGAATACCCCATCCGCTCTACGTCACCCGACATTGAGCTCGTCTTCGAGAGCATGGCGTCCCGCACCAAGTCGCCTACCGAGCAGCAGCTTCGCGCCGTCACGCCCGACCTCGTCACCGACAGGATGGCCACGCGGATCCCCGAGCCCGCGCTGGCGGGCCGTCTGACGCCAACACCCGAGCAGCAACCGCAGCTGTCCAGATCAGTGACCCCCGACCTGATCCCCGACCGCATGGCTTCGAGGATCCCGGAGCCGGCGCTTGCGCGGCGGTTGACGCCAAACCCGGAGCAGCAGATGATGTCAAGACTGAACACCGTTGGGGCTTGATCGAGTGCATACATATGGAATTCGGGCGTTCTTTTCTTCTTTTCCTCCTTTTTTGGTTTCGGGGGGTCCCTCTCCCCCCCGGGTGAGCATATAGCGTCACTGAATTCTCTCGTTACTTGCTAGAAACAAAGTGATATGTCATTTGAAAAATCCGCACTGCGGTCGGGTAGCTGGGAAAAGGTCGCGACCAGACTGCAGCATTGTAGACTGTGGCTGAGATAAAAGGGGGCGCGAGAGGCTCGTGCTAGGCGAGAACTTGGTGGTATGGATTGAAGAGCTTGCGCGTCCGCTCAGGACGAGGCTCTCTATGATTGTTACAAAAAAGATACGAATGAAAGTGAAAATAAAATTTCTGAGACCATGTACTCGTGAAAGAGATGTAGAATCCGTATCAGGATTGTATGCGTTGTGATATCAAATGGTTGACCGTACGCAACTAAGCTTACGTCAGGTTCAACTTGCCATGCGTATCTGGTACTCAACAGGCGTAGGAGTAAGAGAAGTGTCCAGCTCCAAGGGGGGCGCGAGCCGAGCGGGCTTTGATCTGGTATTCTTCGATTCGCTTTTGAGTAACTACATCACCTAGATTCGGGTATAACCATTTCCCGTATGCCCTCCACTCCTCCCTGCTGCTCCGGCTGTCCCGATGCCAAGCAGGTTGAACCAGTATCATATAATACAACACGCCAAGAAAGCAAACAGTTGTATGGCTTCGTAAATTCATTCAGATAATCCCAACTGGTCCCGATTATGACACAAGTGCATGAGATGAGCGTGTCGCCGCTGAGTCTAGATATAATTGAAATGTCAAGCTGAGATGACGTTCAAGATTCGGCGGTGAAGTAGCGCTTCGCCTTGCTCCGCAGCTGCTGTGCCTTGATCTCCGGCGGCACGATGGTGTGATGGACGACATGAGGGCGGTAAATTGCTTCCACTGGCGGGATCCTGTCGTGATCTTATTAAAATTACAACGCAGAAAGTGGGGATAAGGGTCCTTACCAGTCATCCACACTGAGAGGAAAGTATTCATAAAGCAAGTCATCCTCCTCCCTGGGGCTCTGACTTGGGTTCTGCCCCGTGGGGGCCGTTGACTTGTTGAACTGCGGGCTCTGCACATCCGAGTTGGACCTATTGGGACTCCTCTCGTCTTCCGAGAGAGACAGGTTTATGGGGCCCGATATTCCGGCCCGCGCCGCCGAGCCCGATGTCGATGTTTTGGCCAGCAGCCTTGATGGTTCTGACGACCAGGCTGGTATTGGAGGACGGCTGATCCCCGGTGACATGGCCATCTTCTTCGCCGGAGGCGGACCTCCGCTCGGATCCCTGTACATTGGCGGCGGTGCCCAGTCCGCTTGTTGCTGAACGCCTCCCAGGACCTGATATTTCGGTATAGGCGTTGGGGCGCCGTTGTTGCCATTGTTGCCGCTGTCCTTGACGGGAGTTGCGCAAGCTTCGCTGTTGCTTCTCCCTCCTAGCTTCTTCTCTCCACCGGTCAAGGGTATGTCCTTCCGGCTGTCGAAGTTTCGTGGGCTGCGGCCTCTCACGATAACGGGCCCAGAGTGGACCTCGGCAATCCTGGCGTACTCGCCGTTTTGTTGCTTTCCAAGGAGACTGATTTGCACCAGGTAGTGCTGCTGCAGGCCTTTCCTTCTTCCGTTGTTCGCTGTAGCGTGCTTGAACTGCAGCCTCTTCCATGATAGTGTGAGAGATACTCTGTTCGCATCGACTTCTTGCCCATTTGCCAGGTCCAAAACAATGTTGGGCGGTCCGCCAGTAGACTTGGGTTCCTCTGCGCCTATCGGGTGCGCGCTCTTCCAAGGGATTGAGATGATCTCCGTCGCTTTGCCCTCGATGGACTCGATCGCCGTTATCGAAGCCGCCAGCTCGAATATGGGTATTTGCCGGCCTTGTTCGTCCACAATGTGCGTGATGTGTCGAGGAAGAGTTACCTGTCCAGAGCACTGCCACAAGTTTCTCCGGTAGCAGGTCAGCTCGAGAGGTCTACCACTGTTCTCGGCACCAAAGACGTCCTCGGCCACGAAGAACATGCCGTACAGTTCGGCCGACATGTTTGGCTCCACATGCTGGCCCGTCCCGTCCACAACCGTGGCTTTTACTAACGGCGCCGAAAATCCCAGGAGCTTATTATCCAGCTCCTGCGTCGGTGAATCCTGGCTGAGATCCTCAAGCGCGGGCTGAGCCTCGTACTGGCGATTCGAGTATGCGAATGGATCTTCAAAGCCCGTTGCGGAGAAGTCTTGGAAGTCATAGGTCGGCGTAAACGGTATGGTAGGGAAGGCTGTATTTACAGTTTCCCTAGGATAGCGAGAAGGGTTAAGGTTAGCAAAAGTGACTATCATCCCATTGTTGCGACAAGCTGACTGGCGGAGAGAGAGAGGGAGAGAGGGAGAGAGAGCTGTCCCCAAGTGACGTTCCTGCAGCCCCATCAGTTGCTGGGCGATACTTACAGCAGAGAGTCATCGAACATGGAAGCGTCTATGCCGTCCGCCACGGCGCTGCTAAGAGCCATGCCATCGCCGGGCGTCACGCTGGACGACATTGAGTGGAACGCAGCCATGGCATGGTAGGGCTCCTGTCGCAAGCGCCGGCCGACGATGCGCAAGCTACGCCCTTGTACTCTGTCGCAAGCTGAGGAGCGGCTGCCGGCGGCCCAAAAAACGTATCTAATGGCTTCTGCGTGTATCCGCTGGGGGGATGGCCGCAACCAGGCAATGTTCGGTTGAAAGTAAAAAGAAAGTCGATTCGAGAAAGTGCAGTTGGCCGTAACGCATGCCTTGTCTGAGCGAGGATCGATGGAAATGCAAAAGCGGAGGGATCTCTTTGGAGAGGAGCGAGAGTGGAGAGCCAGTGTTGATGGCCGGTACGCTGCATCCACCCCTATCAGGAAGCTGAATGACCCTTAGCTTACCATTGGACGATTGGGGTTATCGACGGCCACAAGTCACCGCACTGTGGAAGCAGTGTTGGGGGCTGGTTGGGCGCGAGGCATCTCGGCGGGCTGGGGATAAGGAGCACTGTCACTGAATGGCGCCGATATGCGGGGGTTCAGGGATGAGCCCGCAGGGCTATAATTGTGGATCAAGGACCCCAGAAACACAGTCTCCCTCGGTCATGTCACTGTACAGCTACAACTCCCTTACTTGGAAATCCTTTCATGTGCCAAATGTCTGCGTGTTTAATCTAAGTCGACGTCGTACAACGTTGGGCAATAACAAGCAAGGATCTAGATCGCGTCCTCTTTGTGACTTTAACACTCTAATCTTATAACCCGCAGCTCGTACTTGAAACGTTATTCCCTCATCTATTCATGACATAGGTAGTTCGGATGGCAGCTCTAGGTGTGTACAGTCTATGGTTGGGCCTGACCTTGCTCTTAGTTCTTTTCCCAAAGCTGCCTACGATAGCTCGGGTCTCTTGACTCGTCCGGTTGGTCCTTTTATGGAGTGATCGGCGATTGGTTCTCCTTCCGGCTCGACACCAGCGCCCCAGCTTTCCAGACCTCATCCACAACCAACTGAGTAGCGCCGTCTCTCACTTCTTCAGATAAGACGACCAAATCAGCATCAGCCCCGTCTTCCAGGGAGCCCTTGACGCCCTGGAGGCCGAGCATCGCTGCAGGCGTCGCAGTCACGGCTTTCAAGGCCTTGGGGATGCCCGTGCCCGACCAGCGAAGAAAGTTGTTCACACATTCCATCAGGGTGAGGGCGCTATCGCCCGTTAGTCCAGGTCCGTCGTCTTGAAGATGGCGTCAACTCACCTTCCAGCGATGGTGTTGGTTCCCTCCAGCAACAGCGTAGAGCCGACCTTGATGATGTTGTTCACATTTTGCCCATTAGTCCACTGGTATGAGCCGTCTGCGAGGCCCATCATGTGCATCGCGTCCGTCACCAAGATGAAGCCATCAGGGTGCGCGTTGAAGGCGATCTTGATTGTTGTCGGGTGGAGATGAATGCCGTCTGAAATGATACCAAAGTACGGCCTGTTCAGGCGCTCGGCAGTACCCAAAACACCAAAGACGCCGGGGTTGCGGTGGTGAAGAGGCCGCATGGCGTTGAAGAGATGAGTAATCATTGTGGCCCCTGCAGCCACTGCGGCTGACGCTTCCTCATATGTTGCCTCGGAATGGCCGATGGAGTAGATGATGCCTCTTTTCCGTAGCTCGGGAATGATGTCGGTCATGTTGCCCCTTTCTGGTGCCGCCGTGATCATCTTGATCGGGATTGTGGCTCCATTCGCGGTAGGCTCAATGTTCTCGACGCCGTAGCAGTCTTTCAGGTCATCGAATGTTTCTGCTTCTTGCAAGACGTCGACGTTGTGGACGCCGTTTTTGGAAGGACTGAGGAATGGCCCCTCGACGTGTGCCCCCAAGGATTCGGCGCCATCGCGGGCGGCTTGTGAGCCCCCCGAAGGCCCAAGATACGGAAGTGCCTGTGAATTGTTAGTGTTCCTCCAGATACGGATAGTATCTGACAGGCTCACCTTCTGGTAAAGCTCGGGTCTTTGGCTGGTCAGCGTGGGGACGTAGGACGTGACGCCCGTGGCCACGAGCTTTTTGTTGAGCTCGCGGACCTTCTTACCATATTGCGTCATGTCCTCGAGCAGTGTGGAAAAGTTGAAGCCAAAAGCACCATTGAGTTGGCAGTCGATCAAGCCAGGGGACACGATGCGACCGCCCAGGTTGATGGTTTCATCTGGGAGGCTGAGGTCGTCGAAAAACGCTGCTTGGCTGTGGATGATCTTGCCTGTGACGGAGCTGACCCAAATGTCTTCCTGCACCAAGGCGTCGCCTTTGACAAGGCGGCAGTTTGTGAACTTTGTGATGCCATTTTTTGGCGTCTTGGGAGTGGCAATGGGCATCTTGTTAAACTGGGTGAAAAGTGCTAGCTGGCTTCTGGGCGGATATGGGGTCGATCGTTGGGTTGATCTTCAATAACGACGCCATGGACAAAGACGAAGCAGAATGGCAGGAGGGACTGAGTTGGGTATTATTCACCACGCGTTGCGGCTGCGACAAATGTGACCGGGGCGTCAAAGGCTAATGGTGCCGGCATGGCCCGGCTTGCGTGGAAGTCTCATGGCTTCCCATACCACCGGCACATCGTCATCGCCCCTCACAGTCGCAGCGGGACGTCCACCACACATGGTGGCATGAGATAGGACGGAGACTTGTGGGTGTGTGTCTGGTAATGGCATCAAACGTGTCTTTGGGAGGGTGGGGGGGGCCGGGCCGATGGCACCGGTGCCGGTTGCACTGCCATGTTGCCTCATTACATGCTGTGTTCCCCTTCGAGTCATAGAAACTACTTGACCCTCGGCCGGTCCACAAGGGAGAAGGCGTTGGTTTCTGGATCTTTGTTTCACTCCCACGTACCCAAGCACCCGGCGCAACCACCAGCCATTGCTTCCCGATTCCAGATTCGGCGACTGGAGACTGAGAGAAAGAGAGCCCCACATTGTATCAAGGCCCTGGACCATCGACGTTTGAAGTGCTTAAGGACGAGCGTCCAATGTGGGCGTGAGAAAGAGGGACGCCCGTTTGCCATTCGGCGGTGCAGAAGGGACAGAAAGAAGGTTTGACGTGGTGAGGCTCCATGTAACGTTCCGTTGTCGAGACCGATGATCAGATACGCTAACATCAGAAATGGAGCGGCACTCCCCAGTACGTACCTATCCGCCGAGCACACGTCCCAGTCCGGCACAGACACCTGCCCCACACACCACGAGTGCTCTACTACCTAGGTACCTAGGTAGGCCTAGAGATAACGGCGTGGACGCCCAAGAGGTCATCAGCCAATCGAACGCCCTCGGCTCCCGCTGTCAGCACAGCCAATGATGGCTGATCGTGGCTGGTGCAGCAGCCCACCACCGCGCTCGCCGCACATGGCATCCCAGGCGACCTCCTCCACGTCCTCCTCACAGACGTTCCTTCATGTCCCGTGCGACGGCCCCGGGTCAAATCCGTCCGTCAACCGGAATTCAACGTTCACATCCACGTCTACATCCGAGAAGGGCCATCGTTACCTCCCCCCTCCGAAGACACGCTACCTCGAGAGGTACTATGCGCGTCAAAACGTGACGACCCGTAGACCACTAGCCATGGCCCAGCTCAACATGGAGCTCGACCCACTATGGCAGGATCTCGATTGGTACGTTGGTTCTCACGCTCGACCCGCTCTCCTCCATCATCCCAACTTGCATCGCCCTTCTCCCCTTGTACTGTGGTAGCAGCTCTCATTATGGCTTCGCATCCGGGGGGAGATGGTGCAAGTAGTTCGACCACAATCCGATTCGCCAGCTGACATGCCATGCTGTTGCGCCGTACAGGGCCATTGGCCAGATGCTCATCATGGGCTGGGACGGCACCGAAGTGACGCCCCAGATCCGCTCCCTCATCGAGGACCATCATCTCGGAACCATCATCTTGACTGCCAAGAACCTTAAATGTTAGTAAGCCTCGTTGTATCTGACCAGGTTGTTGGAATGGCAGGTTGTAGATCCGTGCTGATCCATTCCCACGTAGCTGCTCAAGAAACGGCCAAGTTGGTCAAAGAGCTCCAGACTATCGCTCACAAGGCCGGGCATCCCAGGCCGCTGCTTATCGCTCTGGATCAAGAGAACGGGGGTGTCAACAGTCTATTCGACGAAGACTATGTATGCCAGTTTCCTAGTGCCATGGGTGTCGCCGCCACGGGGCGCGTCGAGCTGGCCTACGAAGTATCAAAGGCTACTGCGACCGAGGTCGGGGCGTGCGGCATCAACTTTATGCTCGGTCCCGTCCTCGACGTCCTATCCAACGCCAGGTACCAGCCCGTCGGGGTTCGCGCGACCGGGGACGACCCACAGGAAGTCTCTCAGTACGGCATCGCAGCCATCAATGGTATTCGCGATGCCGGTCTGGCCAGCTGCGGGAAGCACTTCCCGTCGTATGGGAACCTTGACTTCCTAGGCTCCAGCCTAGACGTCCCAATCATCACCCAGACGCTGGAAGAGCTGAGTCTGAGTGCGTTGGTACCCTTCCGCAATGCCATTGCCACGGGCAAGCTTGACGCCATGTTCGTGGGGGGATGTGGTATTTCCAACCCTTCCATGAATGTGTCTCATGCCTGTCTGTCCAGCCAAGTCGTGGACGACCTCCTCCGTGAAGAGCTAGGGTTTGATGGCGTTGCTATCTCAGAATGTCTTGAAATGGAGTCCCTTACCCATGACCTTGGGGTCCAGAACGGCGTAGTCATGGCCGTGGAGGCTGGATGTGACCTGGTCCTGTTGTGCCGGGCTTACGAAGTGCAGCTCGACGCCATCAAAGGCCTCAAGCTAGGGGTTGAAAATGGCATCTTCACCAAAGAACGTATCTATACCTCATTGAAGCGCGTACTGCGGTTGAAGGACACCTGCACGTCTTGGCAGGCAGCCCTCCACCCACCCGGGATCTCTCTTCTCTCTAAACTACACCCAACGCATATGGCACTGTCCAGAAAGGCATATGATGACTCGATCACGGTAATCAGGGACAAGGAGAAGCTCTTGCCATTGTCGGAATCCATGCATCAGGACGAAGAGCTGTTGCTTCTTACACCGCTAGTAAAACCGTTGCCAGCCTCAAGCTTGACAAAGAGCATCCTTCAGGCCAAGGATGGTCAAGGGCTAACTCCAACGACTCACAATAAATGGCTTCACCGAGAGAAGGGGGCCATAATGAGTGGAGAGGGGGTGTTCAGAGAGTTTGGACGCTCACTAGCACGATCTCGTCATGGGAAGCTCCTTCATACGAGTTACACAGCCAACGGAGTCAGGCCAGGTACGCTGTCTTCTCTTCCAAACCCGGACCGCTCAGCTGATTGAGATGCCTTAGTCCACGAGAACCTCATCCACAGAGCGTCCTGTATCATCATCGTCACTGCGGATGCCAACAGGAACCTGTACCAAGCTGGCTTCACGAAACACGTAGAGATGATGTGTTCAATGCTGCGAACGCGCGGCCAAAAGAAGTCTGTGATTGTTGTAGCCGTAAGCTCGCCGTACGACTTCGCCATGGACAAGTCGATCGGCACCTACATCTGCACCTTTGACTTCACTGAGACTGCAATGCATGCCCTGGTCCGCGCTCTATGTGGATACATCGTGCCAAAAGGAACCTTGCCAGGGACGCTGCGGAAGAGTAAGAAGGTGCTCAAGTCACGCCAGCACTGGATCGTGGAAGAGTATGATCGCCACCGCGATAGCCATGGGCTCGAGGAGCTCACCAAAGCTGTTGCCCGGGCTAACATCGCTGACTTGGGTCACTTGGAGTCGATGCCCGCCGCGAGCTTCGAACTATTCAATCAAAACATCGGGGAAGCACACTTTGTTGTCAGAAACAGCAGTACCCATGCCTTGTACGGGTTTGCTGCCACCTACTTCATAGACGGAATCGGCATTCTGGGAGCCATCTTCGTCGATCCTTCCAAACGCAACGTGTCGGTCGGACGATCTCTCCACCGACGGGCGTTGCGCCATCTCGTCGGCCAGCGAGGCGCCAAGAAGATGCAGCTTGGAACCTCGTTTCCAGGCGTGCTATTGGGCATCCCCATCGACGAGGGCGGGGTCAAGGGCTGGTTTAGCAACAACGGCTGGGACGTCCAGTTCCCTAAACGGCTAACCAACCTGATAATCAACGACCTGAGAAGCTGGACCATACCCGAGGGCTTGCTGCAGAGCATTCAGCGAGCGAACCTAAGCTTCGATCTGATACATGGTCTGGACAACGCCGAAAGCGTCCTCAACCACGTTGGCAGCTGCGCGAACCCAGAGGTCTTGGAGTTGTACAGGTGCGCTCTGCAGGAAACAAAGGCTTGCGGTATAGTGCGAGCAAAAGGACCGGGCGACACGCTGCTCGGAACCATCATCATCTGCCGACCGGGCAGCCCACTCTCAACCTTTGTGCCTCCGCTGCTCTCGAATATGGACGAGGGGATCGGGGGCATCCTCGCGCCGGTTGTACACCCAGGGTCACAGGACGCCTTGGTCCTCCAGGGGCTGACTCTGATGGGAGTCCGGCAGAACAAGGCGCACAAGTCAGCAAAGACAGTGCTTAGCTGGGTAAGCTCCCCTACGCGGACGGGATGAGTACCAAGGCTAACGAATCGACGGGTAGGTGCAAGACGACGCTTACGAACATATCATGGCGATGGGATTTGAAATTTTGCAGGCATACGAGGAGCTTACGACTGCGCCGGACAACGTGAGTTTTGCAGCCGGGTTGGGCGTTGAATTGGAAAGCTAATCGAGAGCCTCTCTTAGTGGACTGATTTGAACTAGCAACCTCTGTGATGTGCCTAGGGGCGGCTCAGAGTATGGTATACCCTCCGGTTTTTCGCTTCATCTGCATTGTCTTGCATCCCAGCAGCATACCACCAGTCTGAAGATGGAATTGCCTGTCTATTTACGTACGAATATATACTAATGTGTCTTGATCACACATTATTCAGTTTGCAGGCGTTAACGAAGCTCATCGAGACTTTAGCAGTCGCTCAAGACGGAAGCGAGTGAGAACTCGATGCTTGATGCCTGATATGTGTGAGATCCTCCCGAAGTTACATCGCAGAGGCACACTTTGAGACCCTAGCTGTAAGGGTCTTGGTGATCTGCTTTAATACTGACCAGATGTGACGACGGGGCGAAACCGACTGGCACGACGCCTGATCCTCACCGTTGCACCTGGATGCCCCGATGTGAACAGCGGCCACTGGTCCGGATTTCCGGCCTCTCCGTCGCTCCAAGGAAGCATATCAAGGGGCACGCAAGGGTCTGCAGCTTGATGAGGTCCGGACGTGAAATGTAACTCTGCAAGATGAAGAGCCACTGGAAGGGTTTGATTTAGCAAACAGCTATCCGGATGGGCGGAAGCCACATCAGCCCGTCCCGTCCCTCTCGCTCTCACCGTCCTCTGTAGGTACCCCGCATTGGTGGGAAACCTCAAAACCGAGGTTTGGAGAAGACGAGGTGTGAGGGGGTACGTACAGTAGATACCAGGACCGGCAGCTTACCCCAATTCCGGCACATTAGCAATCGTGGGCCAAGTACAAAAAAAAAAACTGATAATCTCGTGATCATACACAAGATGTGAAGCCGGCATTAGTGTAAAAATGGGAGAAGCATCGCCGTAGCGGCGGTATTGGGGTTGTGTGAATGGTCACCTACCGCCTGGGATGTCTGGTGCCCAGTGAGAAGTACAGAGAGAAGGGGGCCGAAGGCGCAGACCAAAGAGTGGAGGTGAATCGTCCGTGGTTCGCGGGCAAACTCTGGCCGACTGGGGTGTGGTGGAAATGACCCTGCGAGAGCTACGAGAGAGCCGTGGGGATCATCACCCGGCAAGGTCTTCTTAGCAAGAGATCTTGCGGATGAGGAGCTTGTCTGCTGTGTCCCGAACCATGAGTAGTGATTTCGTGGTAAGACCATGCGATGCCACGAGAGGGGGCCTGCATCATGAGAGAGCCGGCCGCTTCAAGACCTAGGAACCATGATCGGTTAATGCCTTTGCCTCAACGCTCAATGGCTCCGCTATCTGCAGCGAGTACCATCCGGATCGGGGAGTAGTTACCGCTTATCCGACAGGTCCCAGTTGGCTGGTCTTCCCGCTGGAACGGGCTAATGGCCTTTGGCAATGGATAGCTACAGAAGGACATCATGCCATTGGGGGGAGAAGGGGGTGCATCAAAAGCCTTGCGAGTATTGGCGTCATTACCAATAAAGGAAAACCCAGTTCTAAGTCATCTAGCCCTAAATATGCGGATAGCCTCATAGATTCGTGAACATGGCAAAACCGAGCGCATGCGCAACCGCCAGCACCCGTCTCTTAAAGCTTCATGACGCGAAAGTCGCCCATTAGGACCGCAGTGTCCTTGAGCTTACCGTCTCCGCCGACTTCCAGAACGCCAACCTTATGTCCCTCGCTATCAACGATCGTTGCCCTGGCGCCCTCCTTGACCTGGTACAGCCTGACTTCGACATCTACATTATAGTCGTACACAGCGCCGACGACTCCTTCATTGCCCAGGACGAGTACCGTGTTCTCGCGCACGTAAAGCGGCAGCGAGCCAAAATTGTGCGTCTCCTTGAACCAGCCGGGTCCGTCGCGGGTGTCGTCCGAGAAAAATGAGGTCCAGCGCCCCTCGGGCAGGTAGAACTCGACCTCGCCCGACTCCTCAAAGATGGGCGCAACCAGAATGCTGGGCCCCAGCATGAACTGGCGGTCGAGGTACCAGGACGTCGGATCCTCGGGGAACTCGATGCACATGGCGCGCAAGGAAAGGGGAATCCCTTGCTCCACGGCGGCCTGCGCCTCGGAGAAGATGTACGGCATCAGGCGCGACTTGAGCGCCGTCCACTTGGCTAGTGTGCGCGAGCAGCCCTCATCGCTAGCGTCGTCATCGTCAATGATCCACGGCACACGGTACGAGCTGCTGCCGTGGAGTCTGCTGTGGCTGCAGAGCAGGCCCATGGCCACCCAACGTTTGTAAATCCAGGGCGGCGGGTAGCCCTCGAAGCCGCCAATGTCGCAGCTCCAGAAGGAGAAGCCGCTGAGGCCCAGGCTGAGGCCACCACGGATCGACTCAGCCATGGCCTCGGGCGTGGACTCGCAGTCGCCGCCCCACTGCAGGGGGAACCGCTGGGTGCCGGCACAGGCGGCTCTGGCGAACAGGACGGCCTCGTTTTGGCCGTAGCGCTTCTGGAGCGCCTCGTAGACGACCTTGTTGTAAAGGAAGGCATAGTAGTTATGCATCCTGACTGGGTCGACCGTCTTGTCGTGCCACTCGACATCGAGGGAGGGGATCCGCTCGCCAAAATCCGTCTTGATGGAGTCGACGCCCTGGTCAAAGAGCATGTTGAGTTTATCCTCGTACCACCGGCACGCATCGGTGTTAGTGAAGTCGACAAGGCCCATGCCGGCTTGCCAGAGGTCCCACTGCCACACGTCGCCGTTCTTGCGCTTCACGAGGTAGCCCTTCTCGGAGGCCTCCCGGAACGCCTCGCCATGCTGCGCGATGTACGGGTTGATCCACACGCAGACCTTTTTGCAGAGGCCCGATTCCTTGAGCCGGGCGATCTGCGCCTTGGGGTCAGGGAAGCGCTCTGAGTCGAAGACGAAGTCGGTCCAGGTGAAGGCCTTCATCCAGAAACAGTCGTAGTGGAAGACGTCGACTGGCGAACCGCGAGCCTTCATGCCCTCGAGAAAGGTGTTGACTGTCTGCTCATCATAGTTTGTCGTGAAGCTTGTCGTCAGCCAGAGGCCAAAACTCCAGCTGGGCACCCTGCCCGCCCTGCCCGTGAGCGTAGTATAGCGCTTCAGGACATCCTTGGGTGTGGGGCCGTAGATGATGTACCATTTGAGTCTCTGGCCCTCGACCACGGTCTGCAGGCGGTTGCAGCGCTCGCTTCCGATCTCAAGCTCCACCTTGCCGGGCGTATCGATGAAGACGCCGTAACCCCTGGAGCTGAGCCAGAAGGAGACGTTCTTGTAGGCCTGCTCACTAGACGTACCACCGTCGGCGTTCCACAGGGAAATGGATTGGCCGACCTTGTTGTAAGCGCCGAATCTCTCGCCGAGGCCGTGTATGGTTTCTCCGACACCGAGAGTGGTCTGGGTGAACATGTAGTGCTTGAAGTCGCGCATGTCACCGGTCTGCATTGGCGTGTTTGGGGCAGGGTTGTATGCGAAGCCGACGCTTCGGTTCCCAAGGGATGTCAGCTGCTTGGATCCGTCGGTACTGTGGAACTGGACATTAAAATCCGGATGAATGGTGGCGGACAGCGAGCCCGATGATAAAGTCGTGCCCTTGTCGCCCTTCTGAATCTGCGCCCTGACGTCTGGTCTGCCATCGGGGAACAGCTCGAAATGAGGACCCTTGCTGAGCGCACCGGCCCAGTGAGTCACCTCGACTGAGATGGCGCCGTCAAACTCAGCTTTGATGTCCTATTCTGTTTGTCAGAAATGAGCTCCGGGAGGACTTTGAGGGGCTGGCTCGCTCGCTGGCCGAGCCTCCGACTTACAAGAGTCACGGTGCTCGCATTCAAGGTGTGGCCGCGGGTTCTGATTTTCCTCGTCGGGCACAGCAGGCTGAGACCGGTTCCGCCCTCGATCTCGGTGGTGTAATAGACCTCTTCTGCATATTCCGTCGCGGTGCCCTCGGCAGGCAGCCACATGCCATCGCGGAGGCGAACCATGATGAACGTCGATAAAAGGCGTGTCTTACGCACAGACAGACGGCGGACAGATATGTTGTGGTTCAAGACACGATCCGAGCCAGGAAACCGTTCAGAACCTGAGTGAATCTTGTCTCTTGTACGGCAATTTCATGAAGGCACAAGGGCTGCGAAGGCCCGCTACCGGGGCCATAGTCGGCGAATCCCATCATCGTAATCCCGCCAGTATCCGCAAGGGAGTGAGCCTCGGCCATGAAGCCGCTGATTTATGTTTAGCCATCGGTGCCATCTGATTGGTTCCTGGGCGTGGCCCGACAGAACAGGATCGGGCGGGCTGGAGCGGGATGACGACTAAGGGGGAGAGAAAGGAAGACACAGACTGGTTAGGTAGATAGCAGTGAGCGAAGCGTGAACCTAGCGGCAGAAAAAGAGGAGGGGGAGACTTGGGGGGGGGCAAACAACGATATCAGACGGCCACATCAGAACACGGCAGGCTGCTCGTCGTTCTTGCAGAGATCTGGGGCCCATCAACTACTTCAATGTTGTGCCATTGGATGGTCGTTGGTGCGGGGGTGAACGGTAAGAATTGGTCGGATTTGAGCGGTTCTCGGGGTCCGGATCAGCTGGAGCCGCAACCGGTCCCATTGGTGGAAACGACAAGCACCGGTTATTCGCTTGATCCGGGGATGAGAAAGTGAGGGGGGTGGGGGGTGCTTTCCCCAACTTTTGCTGTCTCCAACTGACTTCCCCTCATACAAAATTCCCCATCACCACCAGCTTCACGAGCCGATATGCACATCAAAATGGCCTGCTGCAAATCAGTCACCTAATTAGATGCTCAACAGCTCTGGGCTGTCGTTAGCCCGCTCGTTTTGGCCACCAGCACCGTCACACTCCAGGTCTCCGGGAAGCCAAATGGAGTAACGGCCAGGGTTCTTCATGTCTGCCTGTCCAATGAAATCCGGACAAGACCGCTGCAAGAGCAATCTAGCAGCCACATCACTCCATGGGGGTTTTTTTTTTGTCTTCAAGAGGGGAGAACTGGGGTAAGCGGGGGCAGCCAAGATCGATGTAGAGAAAGCTATTCTCTCACTTCGCCTGTGTTCCTAATGCAATTACGACTATTCACTCTGAAGTTTGGATCCATGGCATCATGTCGCTGCAGAGTCTGGTCGCAGCAGCTGCACCAGCGATAGCTGTATTAATACCTTCTGACAGCCCACCTCGTGTACCAGAGGCTTATACTTCTTGAGTGTTGACGCTGTATTCAAATTGCGTCAATTGGCGATTTATTGACCCCGTTTACCGATCGTGGAATCATGAAGCTCTCTTTAACTTTCGCATCGTCGCTGCTAGTCGCGGCCGTCGCCGCCCAGAACGGCACCTATACGAACGGCACTGGCACACCCGTCTACAAGAACCCGAATGCAACCATTGACGACAGAGTGTCTGACCTTCTCAAGCGCATGACCATTGAGGAGAAGACTGCTCAATTAATCCAGGGCGATATCACCAACTATCTCAACCTGACCGATGGTACTTTCAACCAAAGTGGTCTGACATGGCTTGCGGAGAAAAGATCCAGCTCCATCTGGACCGGTCTCTACACCAACCTTACTACCCTCGCGTATGGAGCCAGGGTGGCCCAGGACTACTTGGTGCATAACACGACGCTGGGTGAGTTAGGACGTGATGGGCTGGATCTAGTGAAATGCTGAGACCTCCCAGGTATCCCGGCTTTCATCCAGAGCGAAGGAATCCACGGTTTCCTCGCCCTAAATGCTACCATATTCAACTCGCCCATCGCTCACGGCTGCTCTTGGAACCCTCAATTGGTCGAGAAAATGGCCAGAATCATTGCTATCGAGTCCAAAGCTCTCGGGGTCAACCAGCTCTTTGCCCCCAATGTCGATTTGGCTCGTGAGCTGAGATTCGGCCGTGTTGAAGAATGCTATGGCGAGGACCCCTTCTTGTATGTGCCATTGACCGCAGAGACCGTCTTCTACTGACACAACGTAGGGTTGGCGAGTACGGCTACTCCTACACAAAGGGCTTGCAAGAGGAGGGCGTCTGCGCCATGATCAAGCACTTTGCTGCCTTTGCTACCCCTGAGCAGGGCGTCAACACTGCCCCCGTTCACGGCGGCCCCCGAGAGCTGCATACCACCTACCTCCCTCCGTTCAAGCGCGCCATCATTGACGCCGACGCTTGGAGCGTCATGTCTTCTTACAATTCCTACGACGGCGTTCCGACCGTGACCGACCATCACCTATTGACCGAGATTCTCCGCGAGGAATGGGGCTACGAATACTACGTCATTGTAGGTTGATCTAGCATTGGCTCGGGCCTGGCTAACAAGGACCAGTCTGACGCTGGCGGCACCGCTCGTGTGAGCTCCGCTTTCCTCATCTGCGGAGAGACGGACGATTCTTGCATCACCCTGAGCGTAAGCATTTCACCTCCCCATCAGCCCGTGACAGCTTGCTCACATCATACTAGACCCTGCCTGCCGGTAACGACGCTGAAATGGGCGGTGGCCGCTACAGCTTTCAGTACGTTCCCGAACTCGTCGCCAACGGGACTCTGCCCGAGAACATTGTCGACACCGCCGTTTCCCGTGTCCTTCGTGCCAAATTCAAGTCCGGCCTTTTCGAGCACCCTTACACCGGCGTCCCCAACGACAAGTTCTTTGACTACGTCAACACCGAGGAGCACCGCAAGGTTGCTCGTGACCTGGACGCTGAGAGTATCGTTCTGCTCGAGAACCACAACGAGACCTTGCCCCTGAAGAAGGATGCTCATGTCGCCGTCATCGGTCCCATGGCCCACGGCTATGTCAACGTACGTGACCCAAGCAGACAGACCACAACCGAACACTAACAAGACTTCAGTACGGCGACTATGTCATCCACACTGCCATGGAGCGTGGTGTCACTCCCTTCGACGGTATCAGGGCCGCCAGCGAGGGCATCGTCACCTACGCCAAGGGTGGAGAGCGCTGGTCCAACGACCAGTCCGGCTTCCCCGAAGCCATCGCTGCTGCCGAGGCCGCCGACGTCGCCGTCGTGGTTGTGGGAACCTGGTCCCGCGACCAGAACGAGCTTTGGGCCGGTCTGAACGCCACCACTGGTGAGCACATTGACGTCCACGACTTTAAGCTCGTCGGCGCCATGAGCCACCTGGTCAAGGCCATCATTGATACTGGCAAGCCCACCGTCGTCGTCTTCAGCTCTGGAAAGCCCGTCACTGAGCCTTGGATCTCGGACGAGGCCGGTGCGTTGGTCCAGATGTTCTATCAGGGCGAAGAGGGCGGTCATGCACTGGCCGACATCCTGTACGGCAACGTGAACCCCTCTGGAAAGCTCTCCGTAGCCTTTCCCCACGACGTCGGCACCACCCCCGTCTACTATGACTACCTCAACTCGGCCCGCGCATCCCCCAACCCGGGTAAAGAGTACCCTAACGGTACTCTGGTCTTTGGCAGCAACTACGTTCTATCGTCTCCTCTGCCGCTGTATGAGGTGAGCCTAGCCTCAGGCGCTTTGGGCAGGGAGAACGCTCTTCTGACATATTTATAGTTCGGTTACGGCCTCTCCTACAGCAACTTTAACTACGCCGATATCAGCGTCTCCTCGTCGACCGTTTCCCCGACCGACACCGTCACGCTCAACGTTAAAGTGACCAACAACTCGACCCGCGACGGCGCCGAGGTCGTTCAGGTCTACATCAAGGACATGATCTCGTCTGTCGCCGTTCCCAACAAGCAGCTCCGCGGTTTCTCAAAGGTCTTCATCAAGGCCGGCGAGACTGCCAACGTCTCCATCGATCTGCCCGTCTCCGGCTGGGGCCTGTGGAACAGGAAGCTGCAGTACGTCGTCGAGACGGGCGACTTCACCGTCCTAGTTGGCTCTTCCAGCGATGATATCCGTGGCAACGCCACCGTGACTGTCGTATAGGATGTGTTGCTACTGCCTGCTTGACACAGGTGCCGTCTTTCAGGGGCGAACAGTCAGCAGAGGATCTAGGCACAAACTTTAGGTCAGCTTTGGCCGCCTTCTCTGTAGAAATTTCATTGCAATGTTTGAATGATAAGAAGAGACGAGGGGCGAATGACGGCCGCATTTTAAAAGTCTGATGAATACAAGGAAACCTTGATCCTCTATACCTTAACCCAGCTTGGGGCATCATCCAAAAGATCATAAACTTTGCTAGCACCCCTTATCGACATTGACATCATCGTCCTTCTTTCTCGGTATGTCGTTTCGACCTACCTCTCTAACACGCGCACATCGCATTTCAAGAGGATTTGGATAGACCCTCCGGGTTCGCCTTGGCAAGAGCCACGGGCTCTGCGCGTTCTCCTCCTCCCCTCCAGTTTTAGCATTTACTCTACTCGAGCAACGAAATGGGACCTATATCGTTCACAAGGACGTTTACCCCGATTTCGCTAGCCTGGAAATCTTATTTCAACTCCAAATACCCCTTTCCATCTGGAATAGAACATAGCGAGAGCGAGAGAAAGAGAGAGAGAGGAGGGGGGCAGGCAGTCTGGAGTTGCTCCAACGACGCAATGACAACGGGATCCTCCTCTCTGTCTTTCTCCCCATGGCCAGCGTCCAAGCGGGCTTACAACCTCCCGGTTCGAGTTTCCGTTTCGTTTGCCTTGTCTCAATTCCCCCGGCCCCGATCGGGCCACCACTCTGCTTGTCTCTTCCTCGAACGTCGGATGAGAATCATCCACAGAGGAGGGGATGACTCTCTCGATATACGGTAGCATTGCGGTCATCATACGAGCGCCAAGACCGTGTATTTGTAAAAAAAAGTATACTATGTACTGGAAGGAAAAAAATGGTCCCCTCATCCTCCACCTTCCGCATCGGGTTCTGATACACAAGCCAGCCACCGAGGTCGACATGCCCCTCTCATTCTCCTCGCAGGCCTTCCGGCCGGGGTTAAGAGCCACAAATGTCAAACCCGAAACCCTTGAAAAAACGCCGAACAACAGATGCCGCAGGGCACGGCCGCGTCATCATTGGGCCTTCGTCCACCTTTGCCCACAGTTAGAATGTTTCGTTCGCCTTACCCTTATTTTTGCCTGGCCCAAACTTCCCCTCTCTTCTCGTTGCAGGGGAGGAAGTCCTGATCCCCTCCCCGGGCTCCAACAAGTGCAGGACATTGGGTGCCCCGGACCGATCGTGACGAGTCTTGGCAAAGAGGCCGTCTCTGCCGAACACAGTTCGGTACTTCTTGCCCCGTTCTCGTTTTTCTCAAAGCGACCGTCCAATCGAGCCCTGCCCCAATGGCAAGCACTTTGGGAACGCTTGCCAAGAAAGCCAATCCTCAACTTGGCTGTATGGGCTCGCGCCTTAATGATCCTACCATCGGTTAACCCTGCGACATACGCCAGGGAGGCAATTTGTATAAATCACAGTAGAAAATACTACTATACAACAAGGGGGGAAGGGCCTCTTCTCCAGATCGGCGGCACCGAACGTAATGGAAGGAGGGAGTGCAAGCGCAAACAGCTGCTGTCGGCGTGCGATTGGCGCGGACATGCTCCAGACAGCAACAATGATAAAAATAATAAATAAAAACAAAATAAAAAGGGCGGAAAAGAGACAAGAAACACTCAGGCATGCCAGGGAAGGTGAAATCAAGGTTCTAGAAACACAGCCGCTTGCGATGCCATCGCGTCCTTTCAAGCAACCACCCTGCAAGGTACGGATACAAGGTACGGATACAAGGTACGGATACAAGGTACGGATGCAAGGTACAACCTCTACCCACTTCCCTTCTCCTCTCGTCTGGAGTTTTGACCCTCTCACCCACCCCACCTCTTTCGGTTGCTTCACATTGCCTGGAATCTTATTTTTGGTCGCAAAAAGTGACACCACGTCCATCGTCATGCCATGTCAAGCTGTCTGTATCGTCACACGAGTTGCGCAGGTGGGAGGCTCTGCGAGCATGCATCGCACAGCCAACACCGTTGCCTTGCCCCCCCCCACCCTTCTGCACCTTTAAACCCCCCGTAGCCGCAGTAAATTATGTAAATTTTCCGGCCCGCGGGACAAACCTTACGTATGACATGGCAAAAACAACAACCTTGGCACCCTCCCGCCGTCAGCCATCAAGGATGCGGGCTGCAGTAACGTGGGGCTGTGCCTGGAGGCAAAATATAAAAATAAAATAACGACGCCGCGGAATATGACCTCCGGTTCCGAAATGCAAAGTGTGGGGAGAAGATCAACATGAAGAAGAAATGAAGATAGGCTTGGTTTCCCGACTGTTCACGGGACCGCCGCCTTGTTCGAATCCCCCCCCCTCGCTAAGCCACCCTCTCGACTTTTCCTCGTGCTTCTTGGTGTTTCCAATATCCCCCTACGTTCCCGTCACCAGCTTTGCGCGAGATTGCTTGGCATCATGTCCTTTCGCCTGTCCTTATTCGTGGATCCCTGGTGTAAAATGGAATTTTCATCGAGGCTGACTCGGCTACTTGACCCATTTGGCCAACCATACCCTTACACCCCTCTTTTTTAGTGCTCGCACCCACCAGTTGAGTGGAAGCAACATCATGTCTTCTTTTGCGTGCTATGGTTGGGGAGAACATGGCTGGTGGTTTCGTCACACGGCGGCTCATAAGATATCACTAGAAGACTAGAAGAGATTTATGTAAGACTACGGAAAGTCTAGTGTTACGCGTGTGTAATATGCATCACGGTAATGCTGTGTTGTCCAATCTAATCGTTTTTTTTTTTCTTCTTTTCTTTTCTTCTTTTTCTTACCAGTATGATTTCGGAAGTTTCTATTGTACAAGATGCCAATTTCCATGCCTTTACATCGTTAGACTCGTGAATATTTGTATTCCCTTGGGAATTCGCTAGCACCGTAATAAATGCTCATGTATACTTGATCCGATGACGCTCCCAAAGGAATTGCTGCCAGTTGAGCGAATTTGCGTCTGACATGTAGTCTACTGAGCAAGACTACGTGCCAGAACACCACTACTATTGTACAAAGTTCCCGGCAACGAATTGCATCCGGAATAATGATAGCAAAGAAATAACGAGTGTGGTAGATTCTGTAAGGGTTGCTGTTGGTATCCATAACAGTCCCTCCCCCTGGCTTCGCGTAACAAAATCTGGCGTAGCATTGGTGAATAACGGCCGTTAATCTTTTGCTATCAAAGTCCAGTCGAACGCGGGATGATTTGCGCCTTGTGTATCCTAGTGCGGCCCTGAGGAAGAGACGTCGCAGTTCGACTGCATTGGTTGGTTCCTCTCGCGGGAGACGGGTCGAGGGAAAAGGGAAAAGGGGGTTGTATTCCCAGGTAGTGTCGGTAAGGGCTTAGGCGAAGATACCGACGATAGACATGCCGGCGGCTGAAGAGGAGTTAGCCTAGGATTCATCTCGATAACAGGATGGGGCGTTTCTACTGACCTCCTGCAAGCACGTAGCAGAAAGCATGAATCTTGTCCTTGCTGGTGAGAAGACGGTTGGCCTCCTCGGAAAGGAAATCCTCAGCCAAGAGGTCTACTAGGGCAGCATAAAGGAGCAGACCGGAGGAGCTTCATCATGTCAGCCGAGCTCTCTCTAGTCACACTGGGATTGGAGCTTACATTGCGTTGAAGACACCGACGATGATGAGACCGAATGCGCTTTCGGGATCGTAGGTGCTTCTGGTGAAGAGTCCGATGGCTTGCCCAATTGGAGCCGTAGTACCGAAGGCGACGACCAAAACCCAGGGGCGGATGCTGCCCTTGGGGTACGGCACGGCGGCAATTCGGGAACCCAGACCAAGACCCTCGAACATCTGGTGGAAAAGAATGGCGACGAGGAGGATAATGAAACCGTCAATGGTGATGGAGACGGTCATACCAACGAACACCGAGTGGAACAGGATACCACCTTCGAGCATGGTAATATTGAGAGACATCTTACGGTACACGGCCGGGTCAACCTGTTGGCCCTCGGCATCGTAAAATGGATCTTCCTGCTTAACCTCCGTCACGGCAACCTGGGACGTTTGCTTCTCCTGGGTGGAGCGGATCATGTTCATCATCTCCATGCGCTGGCGTACGTACTGCTCGTAGAAGACGACGAACCAAGGAGGCATATCGGAGTCGGATAGGACGGTCGGGACCTGCTCGCCGTAGGGGGGGGCGCGGGACTTGTCGTCGCCGTAGGTGCGCTGTGCAACCCTCTTCTCGAAGTCGAGGCTGTCGGCCTCGGCGTCGAAGCTTTCACGAGCGAAACGTGGGGGACGCGAAGGGGCGCCTGGTGCGGGACCATGAGAGTGCATCACATCACCAGTGGGACCTCCGTGGCTATGGCCTCCAATCTTGGCGTTGATCCACATCTCGATACAGAACAGAATGAACATGGAGCCCATCATGATCGCACCGGGGAGCGGCGGGTAGTCATGGGTGAAGAGGTCTGGGAGGCATGGGTTCATGAGGTTGCCGAAGGCGGTTGGCAAAAGCTGTGGCACGTTAGTCACGGTCCCATAGAGTCCAGAGACAGAATGAAGCCGCTTACATGGACAAAAGCAGTTGCAATGAGTACACCGGTACCGAAATGCTTGCATGCGAAGAAAATCTTTGGAGGTACATTCAACCACTTGACCTTCTTGGACACAACGGGAAATCCAGCGCCAAAGATGGAAAAGGCCAAGACCAGAACTGCGCCAGGTTAGCCAATATGCTCGGTGCCACAAAACAATTGCATCTCTGGTTCCAGCTTACAGAGACCAGCAACATGCAGTCCGACGTCGTATTCGTCGCTGCCTGTTTTCCCACTGCCGCATTGCGGCTTGGGCTCCTTCATTTCGTCCATTTCGATTAAAAAGCGGTATGCGTTGTGAAAAGGGAGTTACTGCCTGATTGGTAACCCCAAATAAAAAGGGAGGAAGGACTGAGAAAGTAAACGGCAGCCAAATGATCCGGGGCCGCCTACTGACAACCACTCATTTGCGAAAGGAAGGGTGAGTGAAAACAAGGGGACACAAGAAGCTGTCCCGCAGCTTCAGGGGTAGAACAGACAAAAATGCTGATCGAGTCCCTGCTGTCGTAAGTTGAAAGCGCAAGGGGAAAGGACAGGAAGAGACAGGAAAGAAAGGAAAGAAAAACGGCAGGAAGAAACGGGGAAGAAATGAATAGAACGACAACAGACGCTCTTGTGACGAGCAGAAAGTGCTTGGTTGAAGTCTGGGCTCGACTTGCTTTAATAGGCATCGAGTATGACAGGCCGCACAATGTGTGCCCATGTACAGGCAGACGGGTAAGGCAAGATTAAACGTCGACATGGGACAGTGGGACGTGTACCGCCCGGCTAATTCAGAAATAGAAGACGTTGCCAGGGGTGGAGGAGCTGAGGGTGAGCCTGCCTGTGTGGGATGTGGCCTTAGCGTCTGCCCTGCGGGAGGCGGGAGGCGGAAGGCGGGAGGCGGGAGGACCTGAACCAAGACGAGGTTCATCGCAGACGGCGGTGCGTGTGCATTGGGGCGAGGGAGGCAGAGAACGGGATACTGATTTGCAACAGCTGCGGTGCCTGATACCCAGGTCGTCTCTGGCATCGATGGCCCCGGCCAGCATCTGGGTTCAATGTGGTTCGTTCAAGCATGGTTTGCCGGTATAGGCGAGACTGGGTGTCTGAGAGCCCGGTTCGACCTGACAGATGAGAAACTGCTGATGGGTGTAGGGGCAGTCGATCGGATGGTATGGTAGGTGGCGGCTGGTCCAACCTTTCGTCTCGAATCAACCAGCCTCACACTCGTCGCGCTTGGCGTGGAAAATCCATAGTCAAACTGATAGTGGGGTATAATTGCTGGCGATGGACGACATCCGTAACGAGACGACGGTCGATCTTCTGCAGGGTAACAGCCAAGCGAGAAGGGGGTTGTGTCGTGGGGTGCAAGGAAAATTGGGGGTCCCCCCAGTCGGCACTTGTAATATTTGGATTGTATGAAACGGCGGCCCCCAGAGGAGTGCGGCTAAGGTACGCCCGTCGGAGAATTATTAAACTCGATTTGACTTTGGGTGAGGCTCTCGTTGTGGACAGCCACAGGGAAGCGCGGGGGAGGGGGGAGGCTGAGAGGCGGAGGCCGGGGAGGACTGCCTAGGCAAGAGAGGGCGTGACCGGCTCAGTCGTCAAAAGCCAAGAGTCGAGCCAAGCACAGTGACACACTCACACACACATGACCCCTTTTCTCGAGTGAATTAGCTTTCTGTCTGTTAGCTTGGCTCGGCTGGGCTGGGCTGGCAATGTGCCACAGGCGGGCTACCGGTAGCCATCACTACGGGTGTCTTTGCACGTCCATCTGGCCAAATCTCAAAGGAACCACAGGATAAGGGGGGTGCACGTCGCGCGATCTGCTTCGGGTCCGCTTTGCCCTCTGTAGCTGTCTCGTGTGGTCTACTCCGCCAGTGTCTCGCGGGCTGCTTGCTGCATCCATCGTCTGTGTTGGGCCAGCAGTCGAGGGACGTTTTTGTCTGGCTAGGCAGCAACGGCCAATACCGCGCGACAGCGTAGGTCGGGGTGCTTGGTCGGAGTGCGGGCTTGGCGAGCATGGCTGAAGAGTCAAGAAGGCTAGACAGGTAACAGAATGAGTATGAATGGGCTCACTGTCGGGATGGGATGACAGATTGGCGCCGAGAACTCGTCAATCGTCCCGCACAAAGGGTTCCTGACCAGGGCTGATAAAACTTGGCAACTAAAAAAAAAAAGTGATGGAAAAGAGGAGCTCTCGACGTCTGGGATGACAGATAATGAATGGGCCGGCCGCGTGTTATTGCTAAACGGTCAAAAGAAAGTATTGCATCCGAGTTGATGGTCGCACTCAAACTGCATTCGGGACTACTTACTCCTTTCGGTGCTTACGTAGTAGGTAGGGCAGGCGAGTATGCATGGAAGAGAGAAGGTGCAAGCGACACTGGGTGGGGCCGATTGTGTGTTGATGTCGTTCATTCTTGCTTCAAACGAAACAAACAAGCAACTTCTTCCGAGTGCCCAGGCTGGGGACAGGCTCGAGTGGAACCTTAGCAAAACCCTGCCCGGGTTGGTCTGAGAAAGTGGTACCAAAGTCTCGTGCCATGACGGAAAGAGCGACAGCCAACGGCATGAGAAGGATTACGCTTTAGCGTCGACTTACCTAAACTCTCTAACAGCCCCAAACTCTTGGCACAATGGGACTGTCGGCTTTTGTCTCTGTATCCCCACGCGGACTGTTGGGCTGCCGTCGGTATGAAACGCTGTCCAGGCCAATCGGCGTCGTATTCGCCCGGACCCTCGTTCTGATTGTCCTCACCACATATTGACCACAAGTTCGTAGCGTCGTCACAATTCTTGCAGGGGCCACCTCTGTTGTTGTAATTGACACCACATATTGGCCACAGTTTCGTAGCATCGTCACAACTCTTACAGGGGCCATCTCTGTTGTTTGCCATGGACCTGGCCCCGATGTGACCTATTGCCCCGCTCGACTCTGCTTGCCAACTGCGGTGCACCCTCGCTTACACTTGTAACCTAACCGGCACCACCTGTCCCGACCAGGAAGACGCAAATAGATGTCTCCTGGGCTGCCAACCTCGTGCGCCATCACCACCACTCGACTGGTCAATCGGTGGAGTTACAATCACATCAATGAGCGGAAACGCGCAAACTCGAATCTTCCTGTCGCCCTCCAGGGGTTTGGTCCCCCCTCTCGAGGTCTAGCCCGTGTGATCGCATTGAAGCAAGTCTCCGACAGTGAGCTTCCTGCCATCTTGTTAATTCGAGGACCCAAGGCCCCAGACTTTGTAGCCGGTTACCTCCCCTGGACGTCACAAGGGCGAGGACGAGGGGGAAAAACATGACATGAACAGGGCGTAAGGTGCCGTCTCTGTTTATTATATCACCACCACTCTCTAATCGCATTCTCACCTTCTTTCTACATCCCCCTTCACCAAGACACAACCCAGCTCGGTATTTCCCAAAAATGTATATTCCACGCGAGTCTCAGGACGGTGGCCAACCATCACCTAGTACGTGGGTTTCGTCTCGGTCTCTTTCCCGGTCACACCCCTTCACCCCCCTCCCTCCAAGCACTCCATTGCCTCACTTGTTCCCTCCATATGCTGGTCCACCACATCCTCGCAAGCATGTGCAGAGATGCTACTCGCATCGGCTTGCCTTGCCCACTGACCACCGCTTGTCATTGCTCCATCTCATATGACAACCGACCAGCCTTCGCTGACCCTCACTTCAGTCGCCTCCCAGGGAAACTCTGCCGGTCACATGGAAACTTCATCTAGTGGTGAAGCAAACAAGGAACACAACAATCACCATCAAGGCGACACAGACACCATCTCTCCCGCCCCAACGTCTGGCACGGACAACAGAGTCGAGCCCGAGGGACCGTTCGTATCTACCTCGGACGAGGTCGTCAGAACCTCCTCCAGGGGCCCGCACTCCGATGTTGACGCCGCAGACGCATCCACCGTCGATACCTACCGGCCCGATCCCTATGACTTCGGTCGGCACCGCCGTGATAATGTTTCCAAGAAGCAAATGGGCATCGATCATCCCAAGGGCAACAAGAGGAAGCTGAAGAAGTTCTATAACCGACAGAATGAGCTCATTGACCAGTTTCTTGGTGCCGAGGACGAGGAGAGACAGCAGGTTGCTGAAGATGCGCGAGTGGCCCCCAAAATTAAATTCGCCGTCAACGCCTCCTTCACTGTCAACTTCTGCCTGTTCATCATCCAGCTTTATGCTGCCGTCTCGACCGGGTCTCTATCGGTAAACTGGCACCCAAGTCCCTGTTCTTACCGACTTTGTTGACTCGTGAAATTCAGCTTTTCGCTACTGCAGCCGACGCTTTCGTTAGTAGATCCCTTAGCTCCTACATGGTTTCTCTGCAGAGGTTGACCAAGTAACGATGACCAGATGGACCTAGTCTCCTCCTTCGTGATGCTAATCACCTCACGGATGGCGGCCAGGCCTAGTATATACAAGTACCCCGTGGTGAGTTCTCGCAACGCTTTAGCCAGGAGGGGATCATCCTCTACGTACTTTTTTGCGTCTGACAAGTGGGTCATAATAGGGACGAACCAGGATAGAGACGATTGGTATCATCTTGTTCTGTGCACTGATGACCACCGTCGCCATTCAGCTTTTGGTAAGTTGCCAAGTCATGCGTTGGCTGAGTGGTTTGAGACGCTGACATGGGGCACAGGTTGAGTCAGGCCGCGCACTTGGCGAAGGTCAACGCACCTCTGAGCAGCTGCACATCGTGCCCATCGTTATCGTCGGTGTAGCCATCTTTGCCAAGGGCTCCTTGATGGTATACTGTTTTGCTTACCGAAAATATCCCTCGGTGCACGTCTTCTTTGTACGGTCACCCCATCCACCAGTTTGGATGTCACCTGCTAAATAAAACCATAGATCGACCACCGCAACGACATTGTTGTCAACAGCTTTGGACTTATCATGTCCGTCGTCGGAGACCGATTTGTGTGGTATCTGGACCCTATCGGTGCCATTTGCATCGCACTTCTTATCCTATTCTCCTGGGTTTCGAATGCATTTGACCAGGTTTGGCTTCTGGTTGGCAAGTCAGCACCAAGGGGCTTTGTCTCCAAGCTCATTTACATGTCAATGACTCACGATACTCGCATTCTGAAGGTCGACACGGTAAGAATCTCGTTGCCCAATACAACGAAACCGTCTAACTGTGGACAGTGCCGAGCGTATCATGCCGGGCAGAATTATTATGTTGAGATTGATATTGTCATGGACGAGTCCACCCCCCTGAAAATATCCCACGACGTTGCGCAGGAATTGCAGCGAAAGGTTGAAGGTGAGTTCATTCATTAGAAGCACGGCAATGTGCACGCCTGACCTTCTTCAGGCCTGGGAGATGTCGAGAGAGCTTTCGTCCACGTCGACTACTCAGAAGCGCACGACCCTCATGAGGAGCACAAGCCATTGTAAGCAAATCTCCAACCCCTCATCTGTGATCAGTGTCTTACCATGTCATTTCCAGGTACGAACGGCAGCAAAACAAGACCAAGAGAACACTGAAAGACATCCTTTTAAGAACGAAGAAGGACACAGCTCAAGTGACTGAGACCGAGATTCGGGATGGCCAAAACTCAGGATAAATGGGAATGATAGATAGACATGGAGGAGGGGCAGCGCAGGCAATAAAAGGTAGACAAAATATAAGGGGGGTCAGGGGCAAGCCACTTGGCATTCGGGCCAATATTGTATAATCTGTTTTATCAATCTCCACGATATTGTCAAAAGAGCTACCCAGCCATTGTGAACCACCCTGTTTCGACAAGGTATATGCAACATGCAACGACGGGAACATACGGGAACAAGCGGGACAAACCTGCAACAACTGGCACCACAATAGTGTGCAGTTGCCCAGCTTCGAGAGCAGCTTTGGCGGACCATGAAACGACTATGGGGACGGCAGGTGGCGCTTCCTGCTGAGAAACGTAATAGGGGCGCTTATGAAGCACCAAAAAACGGTCTACGAGGGTTCACTATCCATGCACAAAGCCTCACGTGTGTCTGAAGTTTGCTGGCAACTTTGCCTGTCTATTCAATATGTGGCCCCGTCGTCGGAGAGGCACGGGGGAGGGAGATGTAAAGGATATCGTGACAGGCGGACAGCGCTTGGCTTTGATAGGAGTATCGCGCCAAATGCGACTCTGCTCGCCCGAACTTTTCTCTCTTACTCTGTGAGTGACCGCCAAGTGAAATGGGTGGTGTGCTTGGCGGTTGAGGCAGTATGAGAAAGTGCAGCCAAGCAGTTCAGCCAAGTCGTACGGTAGTCTTACCCCGGAGTCCAATTCTTGGCTACATGTCCTCTTATCCATCGTCCCCAGTCTTGGCTTGACGGAGGAAGGGTTCGGATCATGGGACGAGCTTACGGCGCAGATAGGAGGGAGGATGGAGGGCGGGGATAAACGATCCCGGACATGTCCCCAAACCCTGCCCGGAACTCCACCATCTACACGACGTAGATCACAGACCTCTTTGGTTGTGCACAAGGACCTGACCGTTGACCAGATTATTCCCGGTACCCTACAGGCTGTTGTCAATATGGAACATGAAAAGCCGCCCCTTGGCTGTGTCGCCATGAGTCCATCAACACGCACGTCCCTTCATCGGATTTTTTCTCCACCAGCACTGTGATTCCTTAGGTGCTTGCCCATCTAGGTACCCCATGTCTTTGTCCCTGAATTTTGCAGTCGTATTAGCCTATGTTTGGAGTGTCGAAGGAGTTTTCGATTCTTGTCGGCTCCATCTAACCAGTAGTAGCCCACGTACCCTGCTTGGCTTTGGGCTCAAGACACGCAGAGGTTGCGATGGGGAACCAGTGGGGTGCCCGACCGTGTCTGCAGTACTACGGTTCTCAATAACCGACAGAGGCAACTCAACCCGGGTTAGAGCCGAGGACGTATGATACACACACATGGGGTGGTTCTCTGGTTGACCCGGCGGGTGCTTGTATCAGGCGAAGACAGAATGCAACACTAGCTCAATTCAAGCAGGAGGATCTCCTTCAACGGAGGAGTATACCCATATGTTTATTCTATTCTTAAGAACCTAGTCCGAATCGCCCTATTAGCCTAGCCTGGAAAGGCTTGCAGCGCTTCATCGATCTCAATGGGCATTTCCTACCGAGCCAGACTCCGCACACAACATTTGAGAGAGGTTGAAGAGTTGGTATCCCGATACAACCACAGGGTCTTTGAGTCAAGGCTACTGGACTTATTACTGACTTGACTGAATATCTTACTTCAGACCTTCTCAGATGAGCTCACAAGACTTTATGTCGCTCACTCGAATGAGGTCAGTGGTTCGTTCTGTGGCTAGGCGGTAATGCCGATGAAACCATCCGGGATTCGGCGGCTGCGGATCCGGTGGTCATTGGGCTCACATCAGGCCTTGCCTGCTGGGTGTAGCTTCCGGCCGTCCACGGCTTCCCAATCCGCAACCTACCATCCACATGCCTCCAATCTAAACAAGACGCCATCTGAAGTAGAAAACCCGCTATCAAGCATATTATACACCGCCGGACTCTTGGGTCTTCATATGGCTTCGTGAGAATAACTTGGTCTTATGCACCACTGTCGGGTGGCAGCTGGATTTTGGCACTTTGACCCAGGCAAACTTTTTCGGTCATGCGGTATCTGGCGGAGAAAGCTCTTCAACATAGCTGGCGAGGCTGAAACACCGGCATTTCCTTTTGGTCGTCTATAATTTCCAGTATACATGTGTTGTCGATCTTGGTCTTCCCTGCTGTTGAACCTGACCAAATATAAACCCGTAGGGTAGCCCTATGAAGTGCCGCGGTAGCAGAATGACCGTCCCAACTCTTGCTCACGAAACCCCCGCCAAATACTTCCCACAGCCCCGTCCTCCTAGAAACGGCATACGGGTCACTCCTGGCTTTCTGTTTGGTATACAGGCATCAGAGCCTGTATCACTGATGGCAAGGAGCCTGGCTGCGGGTGTAAAGCAGTTGGCTAAACATGCAAATGAAATTATCTGGGTCGATAATATTGGAAGCTGCCAATGGTTCTCGGAAGAGACGCTCCAGCGTGATGATACTTCCAACACCACAGCAGTAACGTCATTCTTCGACAGTTTCTGGATGAGAAGATCCTGCTGTCGCAGGCGAGCGCCCTCTGAGTCGAATTCATGGATGGGAGGCGGAGGTACAGCGCTCCGACGAGACAATTGTCGTCATTTGTCGTAGGATACTATAGCCACGGAGCCTTCGGTACAGAAAAGCAATCATCGGAACGATGCTTTGATCTGGTGATATAGTGCATTAATTTGATCTCAGTGGTCCCCGGTAAATATACAGATAGGCACGTAAGCTAATGTCGATATCTTATGCATGACAACATCAATAATAACATGCATCGTGCTCATCTCAATATCAGCAGTCCAAGAGGATCTTGGCGCTGTACTTCCGATATCCAAGGTCCTCCTGGCGCTCTAACGAGACACCATCTGAGTAGTTTCTTAGACTGAAGGAATCTTCGCTATGCTGATAAGAATTAGAAAAGAACATGAAACCGCTTGATCATGCATGTTCTCCATGTTGGTATGATTTGCTACAATATAGGACTGACGTCGACAACCCAGCCTTGTCCACAAGATCTTCCTCCAGGTTTGTCTGAATGTTTGCTGAGTTGTCTAAACATTCTTATTTGTTCCACCTCTCCGCGGACATGATCCAGTATAGCTGGCAAACTTTGACATCGTCGCCCGAGAACCCCTTTGTCGACATGTTGGCACGTATGCCCTGCTGGCCGGTCTTCTCCATTCGAATCCATTTCTCTTTAGTACTAGATAGTAGGTTATGACCAGGCCGCAATTCTTCAAGAGCGATTTTGCTCCTTCAAGCATACTACTTTCCCTTCTTTTAATGTCTCTGGAAGCTAACAGGTACAGCGCAAGATAAGAACTCGTCAATTCCAGAAATCCTCGTCACCTTTCCATGATAAACCGGCCTACCCCGGCCGTTCAACATTTTACACGAACTGCCATCCAAGCCTTACCTTTCACGACCTGCAAAACGTATCGACGGCTTCATTTGGCTATTGGAAAGCAATGGAAAATCTTTAGAGATGAGTCTTTATGCTCTGTCAATCGATAGAAACAGTTCCAATACTTCCTAGCTTATACTGGCGGGAGAGGCCAAACTAGGTGTTGGTCCTGTGCAGCGTGTGACGCAAGTAGGGCTGCTGTGTCCAAGACAACTGGTCGAACAAGAAAGCAGGAACTCAGCTCGATGCCACATAAGCTACCAGCTTAGTGGGGTATTTTTGGCTGTTCATTTGGTTTCCTGCAGCCCATACTAGCGTACTTTTCGGGGTGTTGGAGACGAGGTTACTCACTTCGAGAAGACACCGCATACAACAGCTCCAGCCATCTTGAACCACGAGCAGCCTACCAGTCTGTGGAAATAAGGGGAGAGAAGAGCTTTATCCTGAGTACTTGTAACATTCCCTACTGATAGCGTGTTACTTTACATGTCTTTCCTCCGAGCATGACGTTGCCGAATGTCTTCCTTTCATATCATAGAAAGATAGGAGACTCAAAGCCAACCAACGTTGTTCACGCTCATAATTTCTCACAGATCAGTATTGCGGCATCTGGAATTTCATAGTTGGCAACGTCATATCAATCGGTCTTGGTAAAAGCGCCGTTTAGGGAAAATTTTGGTATTTTCGACCTTCGTGTCTCACCAGGTTAATTGTCTTGCTTTTTGTTCGAAACACCTCTGTGCCATATTTGGAGATGCTGCCAAATCTCAGAGCGGGACTGAACTCCATAATGCCGGCAATGCTGTGGGAAAGATACTTTCAAGCCCGTTCTTCAGGCCACGAGGAACGCATCAAGCGATTTAGATAGGTCCAAGATGCGGAGCGATGACCTTTCCCAGTACATGCGGAAGCATACCGACCGGTTGAGTCGTCAAAGTATTGAATGATTACTTCGACCATTGGATCTCCGTCAACATGCTGTTTAATACAATAAGCACTATTTATACACCTCCATGAAGAGGGACTCTCAGGAGAGTACCGGTAATGGAATGCTATTGATCATCGTCAGAAGGATTTCGGTACCTTCGGACCCAGTCCGGTACATTCCGGCGCCGAATCCCCACTGTGGACAACCGATCTCGGGTGTCTAACATGCACATACCCACATTTACCGGCGGACCGTGGGTTGTTTGACAGGGATACGCCTCGGCAAAGGACCAACTCTTAATCCGGCGCAATCGCGCAGCGCCAAAATTTCTGGGTAAGCTACCCAAACCATCACGTAACCCCAAGCCTCCGAGGAAGGCGACGACGACGACGGCGACGACGAACCCGAACGCAACCCGCGGAGCTTATCGTACCTATTAACGACGACCGGTCGATTGGCCGCATTCCCATCTCGTTCCCATTGCCCAAGCCGCAAATCATCATCCTAATCGAACCGCCGCCGGGCCGCGACCCCGACAAGACCGCCCATCATGAGGCCGTCCCCCATCCTGCAGGTGCTCAAGTACAAGCACCTGCGCCTGACGACAAAGGACGTCAATAAGGGCTTCTACAAGGGAAACCGCACGGGGGCCATGGGTCGGCACACCAAGTTTGGTGGATACGTCATCGAGTGGCACAAGGTGCGGACGTACGTCGTGCCAGAGGGCTTGAACAGCACCAAGGTCGGTTCTTTTGTTTTATTCCATCAAGTGAATTCCCCGGCCTGCTCAGTCCTCGTACTAGACTACAGGGCTCGCAAGAACATAGAAGTCAGGTGGAAGAGATTTACTGATATTTCCCGATATTTCAGCTCACGCCCTTCGTCTCCGAAGCCATCCGCCCCGTGAAGGGAACGTACTCCACGAAAGGGGGTCCTCGCGACCCCCAACTCTACCTCGACACCTGGAAGCTGCAGAACGGCGTCGACTAAGGGGTGATCGGAAAAAGATCCAGTGGCATAGAAAAGACAGGAGAGAGACTCCTCTCGGCAACGAGCATCGGTTGGCGCTGGGACAGCATAACGTTGGGAGATAAAAAAGAGGGAGTATGCGAGACCCGAACGGAGTGTACCAGAGCTGCATATACCCTCGGCACTGTAACAACATGTGTTTAACATTAAAAACCCACTATCACAAGATGGAGAGCATTCGAGAGTTTGCAACAGTCGGGTTAAACCAGACTGGTGGGCTAAGCCAAGAAAACAGAAATCTATCACTATGAAACATAGATACGGAATACAGGGGTATTGGTATCTCTGTACACAACTACGCGGTCTGCCCAAAATCCCCACTGGCAATCTCCTTCTCCTTGCCCTTGCCCTTCGCAAGGGGGAGGTCCTCCGCCGCCGTGACGAAGTTGTCAAGCTGGGGCCGAGTGTGCTCAGCCTCGGTGACCTGAGTGGTGGCCTCGGAGACTGATATCTCGTTGAGGTCGGAGTCATCCGCTGGGCCGACAGACGGCATGGGGCTGATCGGTCGACTGCCATCTCCAGACATGAGCGTCATCATGCTCGCCGTGTCTGCGTCCTTCTTGCCCAGGCTGAAAGGTAAGGCGATGCCATCGAGAAAAGGCCGCTTGCCGGCGACACCAGTCCCAGGCACGAAGTCGGGAGTCAGGCGACCGGCAGCACTGGCAGCTTCTTCGTTTTTCTTTTCTTGCTCTTTTCTCATCTCGATGAGAGCAGCCACCGGAGTGTCATCTATCGCCGTGATCCGAGACTCTTGAACCTGGGAGCCGGATACTTGCGATGCATGTTTTTCGTCCACGACATTTTGCCTCTTTCCTCCAACCGATGCAGCCGGCACCGGCTCCTGGTTCTCAACGTCTTGGAACGATCTCGCTCCCTCACCACCTCTTGGCAAAACCTCTGGAGCGGACGTCTTTGCATTGGAGTCTGCCTTCTTCTCCCTTCCCATTGTCGTCTCGTCATGCTTTGAACCCCAAAGTGACCACAATGACAAGCCGATGCTCTTCGTCTTCTTCCTGTCCACCAACTCTTCCGATGCTTTCCTCCGCCCCGCCAGAGCAGTGGGTGGCGGCTTTTCGCCATCACCAAAGTCTACGTAGCCATCCGCGAGTTCTTTAATAATGGCTTTGTGCACCTTTGCTTTGGCAGTCGAAAATTTCTTATCGAACTGAGCCTTGGTGTCAAGCCACCTCCTCACCGGTGTTCCCTTAACAACACCGACCTCTTCTGGCTTCATGACACAGCCCGGCAGTTCCGACTCAGGAGCAAGGTCATGGATGACGCCATGAGTGGTAATCCTTTGTCGGATCATATGCTTTTTGAACGGCGGCAGTGGCATGCCAGCTTTGCCTACCTTATTGACCTGTTTTGGAGTAGATTCTTCTGTCTGTTCCGGCTGAGCATTATCCGCATCAGAGGCTGAACTTGAAATATCGGATATATCATCATTGCTATCCGTGGCCTCAATTTCTGTCTGTTGAGCCCTTGCAAGGGCCCAGGCGCCAAACTGTGCAGCCGCTCGATACATGTGTTTGGCGGGTCGGGTGAAACTGAGAGTCGGAGCTACGTGACAAAGGTCATCCCAAACCTGAAGCTGTACATCTGTGGGCTTGTACTGCTGTAACTGTGCCAGGCCTGCTTCGTCCATACTGGGAGGTGGATATTTGGCCGGGTTGGCGCATTTGTGGGCAAGGTAGATCTGTTCGTCGCGGAGGATTTCGCCACCTCCTACCATGATCAATAATGGCGGAAGACCACCAAGCGTTGGCTGCATAATAGGGCTAACCAGCGGGTGCGATAGCAGCGCATTTGTCGTGTACAACTGAAGCTGTTAGAGTCTGCAAGTAGTCAGGGCCAAAGAACCCACTTGAATCTGATCCTTGACAGTGATGAGGTCGCCATTGATAGTCACAGAGATCTGCAATGCTGTCTTACGGGGATCTGCCGCGTCCGAAGGTTCAGGGTTATCCTCTGCGGTTCCACCGCCTCCGTTCAGCGTAATTGGTGCAGCCTGCTTATTCTCCAGGGTGTTGAGTTTCGTGGCACTCTTCTCTTTACCCGCTCGTACTTTGATAGCTTGTACTCTCATCATCTCCATATCGTCCTCGTTCGGAGGCGGCCAAGCTCTGGATGGCTTGTGATGGAAGCCAGAAGACGAAATGTAGTCGAGCTCGTTGTTGCCAGAGACACTTGGAAACGAGTGGGTGAGATCTACCCATGGGCTGATGAGTACTGCTCCGGCCGGAAGCGGGATGCCCTGATCTCTTAAGAGGCACAGAATTGACAAGACCATCCCACCACCCGCTGAGTCACCGGCCAGCACGATAGTGGTAGGATCTTGAACAGTAAGCAGGTAGAGATAAGCCGCCAAACAGTCTTGCAAGCCGCAGGGAAAGGGGAACTGCGGCGCCAGTCGATAACGCGGTGCAAACACTCTAGCCTTCAGTTTGCGGGCATGCCGCTGCATCTGGTATCGGTGCTCATCGACGCTGCCAAAGAAGTATGCCCCTCCATGAACGTAGAGCATCACCCTCCTGGTTGCGCCGCCGTTCTTCTTCCGTTCGTTGTAGTCGGCTCGCATCTCGATCCACTCGGCCTTAAGCGGGCTCTGCGTCTTCCGCCATCTCCACCATTTCCGTCCTCCGACCGCCCTCACGCCTGTGGGCCCCAATTGTCCCTCGATCAGTTCGGAGGATCTCTCAATCTGGTCTTCGGGGATCGTAACGTCCTCGACCTTGACCCATTGAGGGTGAGGAACCCATTGTGCCGTGAACGCTTGCAGTTCCTCGACGGTATGCTGGGATGCGAATTCGAGGAAAGTTCGGACGAGGTGCAGGCCCTCGTCATAGGACAAATGAGCGTCGGGTCGCTGCTTTGATGTTTTGCGGTTGAGGAACTGATCGAGAGGTCAGTTAACCCGTACGTTACGCAGCAGCTTGACTGAGTTGCATCGCGCTTCCAACGACGACATATCTGGGGAAAACTGGAGAAAGGGCCGCAGAATAGGGGACTCACATGCGAGAAGAGGGTGGATACGACGGTTGGTGTGACGGCCAATGACACCGAAGTGGTGTTGAGCTTCAACGGATTCATGGTCGTCTGGGTGAAGCTAGCGACTGAGATTGCAGCGCTCCCCGTTGACGGCGGACGGTGGGCAAACGAGGCTTTTTGAAGCTCCCGGCAACGATGGGCGATCCTCGTGAGAGGTAAGTTGTGGACAGACCATCGCGTCGTTGAGGAGCACAGAGGAAAATTGACCTTGAAACCCACCGAGAGCGCTCGGAATAGGGGACTGATGACATCACTGCAGCGCCCAAGTGGATGGTAATGCCCGGCAGGCGTGACCAGCGCCTAAGGGCATATCTGAGGGCGTACAGCTTCCAAAGGTACCGACATGAGCATCGAATTGCATCGAATCTCCAGGGGAAGCTTCCGAGGTAATCAAACAAGCCCCAGAGTAACGCTTGGCGAACCAACTTGGCATTTGCTCTAGTTGAAGCTTACTTTTACCGACCTTGTTCGAATTTGGCAGCCCAATCTCATAGGACCCTTGTCCAGGCCAAATTGCGGGATCACCAGGAAGCCCCGCACAGCGCTTTGTACAGTGCTACACGTCGCACGCACCGTCCCCCTCCCCACTCTAAAAAAATTATGATTTTCGATTTTGGCAGCACCGTCACTGACGAGGGGGAAAAATAACTGCCCCTCCAAGTACCCCGCGAGACAGCAAATCAGTCAACATGGCAACCACGGGATCTTCCAGCCCCATCACGGCAGGCAAGTCTACGTGCCCGAGGCTCGAACTATGCATACATGGCACGATACTAACATAAACCTCCCCCTTCCCCAGAGGCCTGCCAGTCAACCTTCGAGCAGGCCGTGGCCTTATCGCTACACATGTGGCCGGCGCTGTCCCTTGCCGTCCAGAACAACTGGGGCGGCCCGGACTCGACCGACAAGAGGGACTGGTTTGCCGGCGCCGTCGCCGAGGCCTTCCCCGAGTTCTCCAAGATCACAAATGGCCAGGCCGTCCCCGCCGCCAACGCCCCCGAAGAGCCCGACACCGAGTACGTCGAGACCATGCTGCTGCAGATCATGCTGGACGAGTTCGAGGTCAACGTCGATGACGAGACCGGCTTTGATGTCGCCGAGCAGATCATCAAACTGAGGGGTGACATCGCCAAGGGCAACTTCGAGGCGGTCGACAGCCTCCGCAACAAGTGGGAGAGTCGCAAGGGCGCAAAGGTCGAGGGGCTGTACAAGAAGGTTGAGGGCGGCGACCAGGAGACCGACTGGGAGGACGACAGTGAGGACGATGAGGATGAGGACGTGGACATGGACGACGCCCCGCAGCTCGTGCGTGCACCCAAGGAGAAGCCGGAGCCAGAGGTCGACGAGGACGGATTCACCACGGTCACGAGGAAGAAGAAATAAATAACTCGCGCGAAAAAGGGAAAAAAGGACAAAAAAAAAGGATTCGACTTGGTCCCAAAGGAAACGGTGCACTACGAGCCGTGGCTGATGTACAAATATCCACAAATTATGAGCTGCCATTCGAGCCGGAAACGTTCAAAACCAACCAACGCCAGCCAGCAAAATAAGCAAAATAGGGACCAAGCTCACTCCCAATCGTCGTCGCTGTCGTCGACCTTGCGAGAGTCCTTGGGGCTGTTGGGGGCTTGGCTAGGCACACCGGACGTGGCACCCACGACGTCGTAGCTTGTGTCGCTGTCGGCCTGGGACTTCTCGTCGTTCGACTTACGGGACTCGGCGGCAGGCTTGAGACCAGAGCTTTGAGCAGGGGGTTGGATGGTGGTGGAGGACTCGGCCGACGGTGGGCGGACTTGTTTTTGTTCGACCTTCGGAGTGGGAGTAGGAGCAGGAGCAGGGACTGGGGCCGAGGCAGCCTCGTCTTCAGAGTCATCGTCCCAGCCGACTTCATCTTCGGCAGATGCAGCTGTATATTCATTAGCAGAGTCGTTATATCTCAAGGCTCTGGCACTCACCCTTGAGCAAGTCACGTCGTCGGGTCTCAGCAGCCTCGAGACCATGTCTAAGGAAGTAATATCTCTTCCAGAACTCAGCATAAGGAACCTGGTCAGGCACAAGCTTCTCCATCGTCGTTCGCAGCTCGGGGTATTTGTTCAAGTCGTCGCTAATATCCGCCGTCTTCTTCTCGACGTCAAACGTCTTGGCCCATGTAGCAAACTCGTCCGTTGCAGGGTCCTTTGCGAAACTCTCGGTGCTCGTGTGGATGACGTGAAGCTGGGCGTCCTGCCTCGAGGCATGAATGACCCGTTTGCCCTGCGCATCCTTGCTCTCGAACAGAACAGTGCTCCCCTGGTTGTTGGAATCGGAAGGCGGGGCGATGCTGACCGCCTCTTTGAGGAAATTGCTGATATTGGTGCCGAAACGGAGGAGAGCCTCATCGGCGGCGTCCTCAGCCTTTTGCAAATCCTTGAGCCGCTTGGCTGCCTCGGAGCGAAGCCTCGCTAGGTAGTTCTCTGAACTGCTGCTCATCGCTTCATCCGAGGCCTGGTCTCTTGTCTTGGTCGGTGTCGTTTGGCCGTCGGCCTCCTTGTTCCTATCCCCCGACGGTTCCCCTTGGCCCGCGTTGACGGTCAGCGATCGGGTTCGGCTGATTATGGACGTAAAGCCCTTGGCAGCATCTTCGCCAAGCTCGGTGACTTCCTTGGAGGCTTCTTTGTAGACTTCTTGTCCCTGGCATCGGATTAGCCGCCCTGCCCGTTGGAGAACCACGCCGCGTCTTCTTACCTGCTTCACAGCGTTTCCCAAAAAACCGCCGATACGTATGCCCCAGGCGCTAGACGAAATGGCCTTGTATGCCTCCTGGAGGTCATCATTGAGCGAGTGCTGCGGCTGGTCCGACGTGGGGTTCTTGGTGTCGCCCGACTTCTTGTCGGCATCCTTAGGGAGGGAGCTCTCCTGGATATGATCGTAGGCCAAATCCATCGCAAGGTTACCGAGTGCGCGCTCGAGTAGTCGCTGACGTTATACGGTATTATTCGAAGGGTCTTCGCGAGGCTAGGCCGACGGGCGTGGATCAAGGTTGAAGCGAATCTTGCGAGGTGTCGAAGCTGGCGGACGAATGATGTCTGGCTTCTGACATGAGGCTGCCTTTCCCCCTGACGGGCGGGGGTGGGCGGCTGCACGTTGGTCAATGCGGGGCATAATATGCTGTAATGTACGGCTACGTAGGCACCTACCTACCTAAGTAAGGTACCTACCTACCTACCTAGGTAGTGAACAATAGGTGGAGACCCGGAGCGGCCACTGCCGGAAGAATGGACCATTCCGAATCGTCACAGTCAGGCAGCAGATAACCCCCTCGAAATTCCGGACAAATGTTGATTACAGGGGCAGGTCACAAGTGAGTCGTTTCCTGTTCCTGCACGAAGTGACCTGCGAACGAGCTCACCATGCCCGCTTCCAATAACTAAAGACGTCGAGGCAGATGGCCTCGGCGCTTCGCTCACCGACAGCTGGTTAGGCGACGTACCTCCCAACTATCTTGATACAACAAAACGACGGCTATGACCCCCCCCCCCCCCAAGTGGCAAGTTTCAATAGATAGTTCAGTGGCTTAGTCCAAGTTGCGTGCTCTCCTTATCGGATGGTCTAAGCCTGTAAAGCTGTCTGTTGGCTCATCAACTGCCTTTACTGGTCCGTTAGTTGCAACCATTTGACGATTCGCCTTCTCCGTATGCGGGTTAGCTCTCTGTATTCGCTTGGGTCAGTCCAAGTGATCCCTCGGAAACAGGAATGCTCTGCAACAGGCTATTTCTTTGTACCTTGGTACCTGGTCAAGCCTCTCTGTTATGCTCCCAGGCTAAGGGTGCAGAGTATGTAAGTTTTCGGACGGAATAGCTCGGGTCTAAACGCCTTGGGTTGTGTCGACTTATGCAAGGAAGACAGCAAAGCGGGCAGATCATGTATGGCCCCTCAACAATACCCTACTAGGCAGTTGGTAGGGCAGGGGAGTCGAGAACTTCAGTCCTGTGCTGCAAACATAGACTGGTAAGTAATGTGAAATCCGTGTCATGTCCCACGCCTTTCGAGATGTTTGCGTGCTGCGAGCGTCGCAAACCGGTGATAGAGACAGGTTTGCTGTGTCATTTGCCATCTTCGACTGGACATAGCAACACATTCCTCGGGGGAGTAACACGTTCCCCACGCATGGGATGTGTGTCTGGACGGTTGCTCTGATGCACACGTGTAGCCCTATTTCCAAACAGCGCCCCTCTTATCTGCTATCTCGCGTTGGCAGTCGAACAAGGTCTGGGCGGTCTTGAAGGGCATTCCTGATGATTAAAAGCCTCGGCCATTGGCCGGACTTTGACGTCTCTCCGGGCGAAAAAGCGAGTGTGAACATGGAGATGCCTGCTGTGTAAATACGCTCTCGGGCCTTGGCCGGCATTAACGCATCGGTGCGAGGTATTCAGTGGGTACAGGAGGGCTGGCGGAGGTACTTTCGGCGGATGTGGCACTCCGAAAGTTGTAAAGCACCTGCACGGGCTGTATAAGGCAGTACACTACCGGTACTGCTGCTGTTGTGTGGAGGATGACCCTGGGATCGGCCACGCCGTTTGAAGAATTGGCAGCCCTCCTCAACAGCCAGCCTGGACTGACCAAAAAGTGTTCGACCTTGTTTCTTGGATCCTACCTAGTGTAGACCCGCCACTAGCAGTGTTAGGCAATGAGTAAGCCCATCTCCACATCATGCGACACACTAGGCACTGAGCCACCAGCCAATGCTGACAGGTTGTGGCCACCGGCCTGATGCCGGGTGAGCCTAGGCCCAGGAGCGAAGTCGTAATGATCCGATACTCTAGGTAGAGAAGACGGGACGGAAACCGCTGGACAATATTTGGTATCCTTGATTCGTCCGCCGAAGTATCCGCTCCCAAGGGTGCGTCTCTGCACCCTCGCGGTGATTGCGTCTCGCCGATGTCCTGTACTCCCCAAAGTCGCAAATGCAAGACGCGGAGACGGCAGAAAAGATGCGTGGCGAATGAGGCCTTCTTCTACCTAGAAGAAAGAGGGATGAAGACAGGGATACAAATCTCTGGGCTAAAAAGGGTCCTTTTTCAAGGCGAGATGGGCAGGTTCTAATTGTACTCGGACACTAGGAACTAGGTATCTCACCTTATGTAAGAAAATGCCCTAAGAAGAGGGGGCGGCGGGCGCGGATGAGCAGGAGGGGAAAACATGGACAATTGTACCACTAGGCAGTCATATCGATGACTGGATGATGCGCAATCGACAGCTGCGCCCTTTGGGTCTAAAGGCGATAACCATCCCTTCGACCAATAGATAAGCCTCAATGGCCCCAGCACGGGTCCCATGCGCCTTGGACTCCCCCGGCTCCATTAGCCGACCCCTCCATTTTCTCCTTCCCTTCCGCTGACAAATTGACACTGAAGGGCGCTGCAGTTCTTCCTCCTCACCGTCTGCAGCCATCCATTCAGTTCGATTCTCTCCACTTCCCACCACAAGCCAACATCTTTTCCCCCCCTTTCGAACTCTTACGCATCACCGCACACCCTCTCCAAATCACGCCTCCTCTCCCGAATCCCGTGGATTCTGGTTCCTACGAAAGCCGTCCATAGAGAAATACGGTGGCCTTGGAGACCGGCCAGGCATCAACTGTAAGACGCAAAGGCATCAACTCTACCACCTCCATCCTACCCCAGACTTGGTCCATTTCGTCACTTTAACACTCGGGCCATTTGCACTGAATCTCGTACGGTTCTCCTACCTTTGTCGACGGCAACTTCAACGCCCAAGGGCGACCAAGGTCACAAAGTGTCTCGTGATAGTCGACCCTTCCTCTCCCAACACCACTAAGACATCGCCGTCTGCCTGGAACCCCGAGTCATCTCAACCCCGGCATCCCGAGCCGCAATCGGCCTCTCGAGTCTGCCTCCTCTCACAGCCATCCTATCCGAATTGACTCCTGTTTCCCTACGTCTCCTCGTCCTGCTGCATATTTTTCGCAATGGCCTCGGCAACGAATAGTGGTTTCCCAACCAATTTTATCTTGACCCCGCAGCAGCAAAGCCTGCTGTTCGCCGCTCTCAACTCGAACAAGCAGCAGCTCGCGAACCAGTCACCCGCCACCACCACAAAGGACACTTCCATGTCACCTTCCTCTTACCAAACCTCGCCGGCGCAGGGTGCCGCCCATGGATTCCAGGAGAGCCCTTACCTTGACAACTACGACTACGACTTCGGCGACTCCAGTTTTGACTTCGATGTCAGCACCGTCGGCCAAGGTAAGATGATCGGCGACATCCCCGGAGGTGCCCAGTCGGCCCAGTCAACCAAGTCGGACTCGACTGAGAACGATGGTACCGACAAGAGAGCTCATCCCGACGATGAGGAAGACGAGGACTCGCCTGGAAATGGTGCAAAGAGGCGCGAGGGTAGCGAAAAGGTTCCGAAGAAGCCCGGGCGTAAGCCGCTTACCTCCGAGCCAAGCTCAGTATGGTTGGACCCGTTACCCCCTATCCCCAAAGTCACACTAACAACGACACAGAAACGCAAGGCCCAGAACCGCGCTGCCCAGCGGGCGTTTCGCGAGCGCAAGGAGAAGCACCTGAAGGATCTCGAGACCAAGGTGGAAGAACTCGAGAAAGCGTCAAAAGACGCTAATAGCGAGAACAGCCAGCTCCGTGCCCAAATCGAACGGATGACGGCGGAGCTGAACGAGTACAAGACCAAGATGGCAGCCATGAGCACCCGGTCCGTACCCCATACCAAGTCGCCCATGGGATTTGGGGCATCCGCCATCGGCAACCTGAGCGATGTCAACTTCCAGTTTGAGTTTCCCAAGTTTGGCGTCCTGCCAGGCTCCCAGATGCCCAACAAGCCTGCCCAGAGTACGAGGTCGTCCTCGTCGCCTAACGCCAACGAGAGCAACCCTGTCAGCCCTCTGGACAAGAACAACAGCTCCGGCGCCTTTGCTGGGCTTGACTTTGGCACCAAGGACGACTTGACCAACTTCACTTCCCTTTTCAGCCCATCTCTCGCCACTGGCTCTACAGGCACCGGCACATCGCGCACCAGTGTGGACTCTGGCTTGTATGGTATTAACAACGGTACATCGACCAGCTCACCGTCAGCGTCGTCGCAGTCCAACGGGGGAGGCCCAAGCTCATCTTGCGGCACCTCTCCTGAGCCGTTCACTCAGTCGCCCATGGGTTTCAAGCCTGTTGACACCATGACGACCATTGGCGAAGAGTCTGCCAACCAGCAGTCTTTGTTCGCAGGCATCGACACTGGCAACTTTGATTGGCTTGCGCAGCAGAACGGCGGACAGTTCGACCCCCAGCTCTTCGGTGACTATCGCGAACCGCAAGACAACGTCCTTGCGGGCACCACCTTTGACGACAGCTTCTTCAACGATGCCATCGACGCCGACTTCATTACGCCGTATAACATGGCCCTCAGCCCTGCTGTGCCCAAGAAGAACCTCATTGACCAGATTGATGCTGCCAAGAACGCAGACGATGATTTGATTAAGGAGGCCGTCAAGGCCGATAACTACAACTGCAACAAAATTTGGTACGATCCAGCCCAATCGAAGGCCATTGCTTCAATTACTCACCAAGTCCACAGGGAGAAGCTTCAGAGCTGTCCTAGTGTGCAGGCCGGCGAATTCGACCTTGATAACTTGTGCTCCGAACTCCAGAAGAAAGCAAAGTGCTCCGGCCAAGGTCCGGTTGTTTCTGAGACGGACTTCCAAACCGTTGTCAACAAGTGGATGGGCAAGGATGCGGCAGCCTGCTTTAACGGCCAGGAAAAGAACAAGACGAAAGCCTAAGCCGCCATTTCGACATTCAAATGTACATTGGCATAGGTACCCTGGGTAACGGGTCAGGCGGTCAGGTCAGAAGGCATATCTGAGGAATCGGTTGGTAACATTGGAGAAGACAGGCGTTATATCACGGACCAAAACAGGGCGAACTCGAGGTTTGTTTCGACCCCAACGGCAAGGCGAATGGTTGTTTCTTTCCGTTTCGGAAATCTAGGTACGGATAAGGGGATCTCGTTAGACGAAATACAGGTACGGCTATGTACTTGGCGAGAGACTCCTTCCGAGAGTTTGAGTGTGGTTCAAGGAGGTTATGATTATGGCTTCTAAGGTGGCCAGACGGCCGCTTTCTGAGTGGAGGGATCTTGGTGCTTACAGATGTAATCTTTTTCCCCCAATGTTACAATAAGCATGTATTTTTGACGAAGGAATCGCAATCTCCACATTGGACTACATGTTTTCTTTTCTTTGAGGCGACTTCAAATCGGCATGTGTTTGTCGTATCGAAGGAAACAGATGTTTGCCGCTTGCCAACCAACATGCTCGTCTTACTCCCGAAGCCGCTTCGGCAATCAAGGTTCAACCATATGCCTGGAGCCATTGAGTTCCTCAGGGGTTTGTGCTTGGGGCTTCGGCAAGTTGGGAGGAGGGAAGGCGGCAGGCGGCGTTGATCTCCACAGAATGTGTGTCAGGGAGGGCGAAGTATCAAAACGAGACATAACCCGGCCTAGCCTTGCGAGAGCCGGATAGAGCTGCCGGCGTCGTAGATCCGGGCTTGGTACTACGCAGGCCGTCCGTCCGTCCGTCCGTATGTCTGAACGACATTTCCGGCCCTTTCGCCATGTGTCTTTCCTCAACGGCAGCCGCACATCCCATCCCGGACCCCTTCCCCTCCCTTCCTCTGCCCCCTCTACTAGGTACGGTGGCCGTTGACTTTTCTTCTTTTCCTGCCTGGGCGAGACATCCCAGACCGGTCTGGGAGAACATGACATGACATTTCAAGTCAGGCCATGACGAGAGTTGCGACCAACCTTGTAGCCGCAATTCACCTGCCTGCCATTCATCCATCTTTCCGGCTGGCATTGGGCCTGTGCCTGTGTCTTTGCCCGCCAGCCTATCTGCCGAGCTACCTATTCAGGTAGCTCTCTGTCTGCCAAACTACTTCCGCAGCCGCCTGCAGCCGCACTCGTCCTCACACCCCCTCTTGAAAATAAAATAAAAATAAAAATAAAAATAAACACCCAAAAATCATCAGCGCGCGCAAGCCGACGGGCGTGACAGCCTTCATCAGCAACCGGGACATGAGCCGTGAAAAGCAGTCACAGCCGGCACCAGTAGGCCGAGGCACTGCAATACGGTAGACGTGCCGTCGCGTCTCTAATGCAACGAGGGTCGGTGCCAGGGGTCTGTTGTTGGGGGTTGAAAGGGTGACGAGTAAATACGCTTTACTCTCCATCTCGCTTCCTCTGCTGTGGGTGTACGACCTCCGACGTCTCGTCGGACCCCACGTCTCTCTCCCCTGCCTTGCCTAGTTCAAGGTTTGGGTCTGTGGGGGGGTGTACCATGAAAAGGACAGCCTAACGGTCAATATGGTGTGATATGTGCCTGAGGAGAGAAGAAACGACCAAAAAGCTAAAAAAGAAGCGGAAAAGACAAGAATATACTTGAAGAAAACCAGAGAGAGAGAGAGAGAGATGGTACAGCCATGCATGAACAGGCGGGTGGAGGGAATGGACAGCACACGCACGCGACTCGGCGGGATGAAAGTTGAAGACGATTGGATCAGAAGAGGTGAGGTGAGATGCGGCCCACGATAAGCAACCCGCCTCCGCCGTCATAGGTCGTAGGGACGGAAACGCTAGCCAACGCCTATTTGCTCGGGGGGAGGCCGGCATCCGATCACTTTCCTCCCTCTCCGGTCGTGTACTCTCTCCATCTAACCCTTTCTGTCTCTCCCTATACTGCCAAGTCGGCATACAGTCGGCACTTGAGAAAGAAGAAGCAGGACCCCCCTCTCTAACTCTCCCCATCACATCTTGGGGCACAACGTGCAGGTTCCCGGTGCTTGGGTCCGTCCCCTTTGCCTGCCGCGTACCCCTCACTCGCTCACCCGATCGAGATACCTACCTACCTTGGGACTTTAGGACCGGAGGACCACCTTAGTGTACGTACCTTGACTGGCACGCTGGAACCTTGCAGTAAGGTTGGGTGGGGGCCCGGCGGGCGAGCGCCTCCTCCTCCCCTTCAGAGAGTGACCGCCGGTTGCAGCACAGCGGGTGCAGTCAACGACGAAGTTGGAGACTGGGACCGTGCTTGCTTGAATAGTCCAAACGTCATCCAACCCCTCCGTCCTGAGGCAGACGATAAACTCAACGAACCTGCTATCTCATCCTCAAATTGGGCGTGACGGGAGGTGATTGGACAATGGTGCAGTCATTCGGGATAAGCAGTCTTTGATCTCCCGGCTCGAGCTTCATGAACCCTAAACCTCCGGAGACAAATTGGACTTGCATTAGCTAGCGCGAGGCTACAGACACACTCAAATCAGCTATGTGGTGTATATGCGATATGCAAAGCAGATTGATATTACAAAGGGTATATTTCTCCATGGGTCGACCTTATTTATGCCTCTCTGCTGCTCCACAGTCCGTCCCATCCGATGCTCTGCCGCCATGAATCGGTTGCCCTCATCGGGCCTATCACGGCATGCTCTTAGATCCTGTGACTTGACAGGTTGTGATGCTAGCTATGATTCCCGGCCTGCCAAGGGCGGTAGCCGCAATAGTTGACTCCGGCCCGGCGTTGTAGGGACAAACCACCATCATCTCGCCGGCGGGCGAGACACCTCCGCCTGCTGACAACAACACATTCTGAGTAGGCCCCCTCCCCCTCTCTCGCACGATGTCTACTGTCTCGGCGTCGTGGCCTCTCCCCTGGAAATCCCCCATAGCACAAGTCCCATGAGGCGCCAAGGCGCATGGACTCCGATATTGGGCGCTGGCGTGCCACGATCTGGCCGTCCTTGGGCAATCCGCACCCTGGGTTCTGCGGTGCTTTGGTAAGTAGCCCTCTGATGCATTCTTTAGTTCCTCGGGTATCGATCCTGCTCTCCCTGCGTATCTATCCGACTCTTGAGACAGACTGCCATTGTCCTCTAGCCAATGACTTGCCTTGCGCCTTCTTTACCCAATACTCCTCTTTCCTTCGGCTTCGGGCTATGCCCTCTCCCCTTCTTTCCTCTGAGGAAGCCGAACACGCCGCCAGAGCTTTCGGATTTGCCTTCGCTAATAGCATTGGCGTCCGTTGGTAGCGTGGCGTCCTGCCGGGCGAGGTCAGACCAGCTGCCGCCACCATCCAGTGTGACCTGCATGCCGCCAGTCGGGCTAGTGACCCTCTGTCCTGCTCCCGGCGGCACCGACCTCTGATTGGAATACTGGCTGGGGTAGTGTGGTATCGGGGGTGGTTTGGAGATTGGTCGACGAGGCACGCCGGCTTGACCGCTCCCCGGCGCCTTTTCCAAGCTTGAGCTTTTTCGTAACGGGCCTAGAGGCTGCGCGGCTTTGGACGACCCCCCATTCGTAGCCATTACCACAGGCGTGGCCTCATCAGTCGTCAAAGCCTGCGGCTGGTTCATCATCACCATGTCGCCATTGACGTATCCACTTTCGTCGACTTGGCCAGTGATTCTAAGAGTGTCAGTACGAAAAGCGGAGGGAAAAGAAGGAGCGGATCCCTACTTCTTGTATGCAGCCAACGTGTAGTCGAATGGACGAAACTCATTTTCAATCATGCGGTACAGTTCATCCTCTCTGATTTCCTTGTCAGATGCGTCCTCTTTTAGCCGCTCACGGGGCTTTTGTCGTCTGGCTCTCGCTTCGAGGGGAGCCTCCTCCAACAACAACTCCTCGAGGTCGTACGTGGCATCGAAGTTGGTCTTGTCGGCAGCCGGAACGAAGACAGGCTCGATTTCTTTCCGCTCGAGCGCCTCGAAGTCGATCATCATGAAGAATTCGTGCTTGGTAAAACTCTCCCACGTGGAGCCCATTCGCTTGTCGCGGTTGACGTCCAAGGCATCTCGGATGGCGTATAAACAGGGTAAGCTAACGGGCGGTGAAGTGATGGGGTATTTGGGATTGGCGAGCTGGATTTGTTGGCTCAAGGTGTTTTCCGAATTGCCGTCAAACGGCCTCTGCAAGATAGTGTCAGTGAAAACGGCCGCCAAGCGTTAGTTGATGGTGCTTGCCCCACCTTGTTATATATGCATTCATAGAAGAGGACGCCCAGTGACCACCAGTCTGCACGCACGTCGTAGCCCTTGCCGGCATACACTTCGGGGGCGAGGTATGCCAGCGTGCCCGACTTGCTCGACAAAACCTTTCCAGGAATGATATCGGAGGCGACATTCTGACCCAATCAGCAAACATGGGCGTACAGAGCTGCTGCGAGACAACTTACAAAGTCGGTCAAATGCACATGGCCGTCGGCGTCGAGGAGAACATTGTCGGGTTTCACGTCGCGATGGATGATGTTTTGACTGTGAATGTAACGAAGAGCGCATCCCAGTTCGGCAATCCAAAAGCGCACTGCGTCCTCGGTAAAGGTCTTTCTCGAAATATGGAATCGTAGGTCACCGCCGCTCATCAAATCGACAACTAGGTACCTGAGTGAACAGATTGTCAGCAACGGGAGGCTTATGGTGTCGAAAGAGCTATGCCTCCTACATGTATTCGATATCTTGGAAACTGTATCGCAAGTTGCAGATAAAAGGATGGTTCACGTGCTCGAGCATTCGACGCTCTCGTATGATGTTCCGCACACTCTCGGATCGTACAACTATTGCGAGGACCAGCCGTCAGTATCAAAGGGTTACAATGCGCCAGGCCTCACGTCTCGGCGGTGGGAGAGGGCAAGAGGCAGCCAGACAAGACGGCAGGGGAAGAGGTGATATGCACCTTCATCTTTCCGGATGTACTTGAGGGCGAAGGAGAGATTTGTGTCTTTTCTTTCGACGATCCGCACCTTTCCAAAGGCACCTCTGCCAACAACTCGTAGCAGGCGGAAATGGTTGAGGTTGACTGGACAGAGAGAGACGAGATGGATTAGCTTGGCGGCACAAGATATCGAGGTGGCAGCAATAAGCGGCGGGAGAGAGGAGCAGGAAGGGCCGGTATGGGGATACGCAGTGCAGTGCCACAGGAGCAGCAATTGCACGACAGCTCGGGGCGGCGGTAATTGTCTTTTCCACCACCCGCTTAGTGGCGGTCAAGGTGGTGTAGGATTACGGTGGTGGTGGTGGTGTTGGTGGTGGTGGTGGTGGTGGTTGGCGGTGTTGTGCTGTGCTGTGCATTCGGGGAGAGGATGGACTGCGAAACACATACCTTCACCATCCAAGTCGATGGGCTTGCCCTGGCTATTGCCCATTGCGACGTGCAGCAGTCGTCTTTCTCAAGAAGCGTCTCGCGTCTGCACTTGTTCTGATCTAAGGAAAAAGATGTCGAGTCGAGTGCACCATGATCCAGACGGGGGGGACAGTAGTTTGTTTGGTTTTCGGGTTTCGGTATATTTGTTGGTGATTTTTTTTTTTGGAGGGGGGGGGGACGAAGGCGGCGAGTGAATGGGAATGGAAACAATAATGGGATTTTTTTTTTTCAATGGCGAAGAGGGTGGAAAGCAAAGTAAGGCAAGGCAAGAAGGAGAGACGAGGACAAGAAGAGTGTGAGTGTACTGGCAACACAAATGGAGCACAGGTAGGATAGATAGGAGTGGGGCCTTATTGCAGTCAGCTGGCACGGGGTGACAGGGGTGACGGGGAGGGGTATTGTGCTGCGCAAGTTGCCTCGAATGACGGTGTCAAACCGGAGACTTGGTGAGGAATGGGGAGCAAAGGGTGGATGGACGAAGAGCAGAGAGAGAGGAAGTAAAGAAAAAATGGGGCTTGGGAGATGGGGGGGAGTGGCCAGTCTAGCTGCAACAACAGGGGAGAGGAGGGCGAGAGAGTGCGAAAGAGAGGGGACATGAGGAGGGAGAGGTGATGGGACGAGAGGGATAAAAGAAAAGGATCAGGGGCTTCACGGGCCCAAGTACACACTCCCTACCTACAGAAAGTAAGCAAGGCAGGTATCGATAGATAGGCCAACGATATACGGATACATAGTAGAAGGCGTCTAGGGGGGTCGTCAATTACCTACATGTGACTTGAGTTTGAAGCCGGTGCTAGGTAGTGTTGATGCCAGGGGCTACACTACCTACATCGTACCTACCTACCTACCTACCTACTGTACGGAGTAAGCAAGTGACTATCCACCCTCAGACTGACGGTCCAGCACTGACACAGGCGTGATAAGAGACGGCCAGCAAACTCCTGACAGGGTGGATCAGGCGAATGCGAGAGACAGATTACACAATAAGATAACATCTCGCCTCCTTCTCCCACATGGTAATGAGCGAATAGTAGCAGCAGCCAAGTGTGAACTGTTCTGATCCATCTTGTTTTCTTCTCGTGTATGGACTTTCTCTCCTCCTGGTTTACTTGCAGGGCAATCCAGCTTCAAGGCCAGACCAGACTAGACCAGCCCGGGCCGAGCGAGGAAAGCAAAACCTGCCAAGAGTGAATATGAACCGATAGACAACTTCGGTCCTTCAATGTGTGAGCACATCAGCCGCTCTGCTCAATTCATCCTTTCAAGGCGGCGCAGCTATCAAATGTCGGCATAGGAGAATGTGCCGTAGACTACGGTACCTATCATGGTATCTACCTACTACTACGTTGAAGCCGAGGACCCAGGCGCTTGAATGCCCCCCAAAAAGGGCACTGTATCCGTACATTACTAGTTGATGTACGCTACTTAATATGCGGGAGTTCGGCTTCGGTGGCCAGGACCACGTCGTTTCTCCCTTCACTCAGTCAGGCTCGCTAAGGTTTTCTTCTACGGACGCCAAGTCCGCCTGCCGTTGCCGTTGCTAGGTACACTATAACATTGTGCAACTGTGCTTCTTTGGGATGCTTTCCACGGCCCCCAAGGTTGACTTCTTCACCCATAAGCCCAGAGAAACCCGTAAACGCCGTCGCGATCGGTAATGTACGTAGGTCAAGCTAGGCCAGGATGCATCTACACACTACATAGCAGGAACCCCGTCTGTCCCACGTTGCGTTGCCTACCTAACTAGGTATCCGCATCTACCTTTTGGAATTACAAAGTGGGTGTCCACGCTTCTTGCTCCTAACAGGGGGGGTGGGCTCAACATGATGTGAATGGCAGCGAGGGTGGGAACCGGCAGGCTTGTGCAACGGGGCAAGGATCATGGTCCGAGAGAGGGAGAGAGAGAGAGAGAGAGAGAGAGAGAGAGAGAGAGAGAGTACTTGTATCCTCCCTCCTCGGCGAGAGTTGAGGGCAAGGGTGGTGGGGTCGAAGAGGGTTTGCCGAATGATTATACGATGCATCATGCCGGTAATCGACAAAGCAAGACGACCTGCAGCAGTCTGAGATGCCCTGATCCTGCTGTTGCTTTTTTCTGCGCTCTCGTTTCCCATTGCTGCAGGCTGACGGATGACCCATGGTGAGGATTGGCCCTGTTCCCCAAATTAAAGAGTCCGAGGCTCTCGAAAAGAAAGAAAAGGCGACGACATGGAATCCACCCACAATCAAACCCGATCACTTGCAAGCCGACTGCTTCTCGCATGATGCAACTGTGAAAGATGAGGGAGGATCCTTCCAGATCCGAACACGCCGCCAAAGACAAACCAATTTACCATGTAAGGCGCCTAGGCGCAGGTAACATGACCTCTCGTGGCTGCATGTTAGATGGGTAGGTGGGAAACGCCATCTCGCCAAGCCGCACTTGGCGGCAGAGCACACAACCAAAGCCCCCGTAGGCAACCGTTTGTTTCCTTTCCTTGTTTTCCTCGTCAGATGGGTCCGGTTCATTTCTAATTTTCTCTGTGTCGGTGACGCGGTAGTGTGATGGTCGTGAAGAGCACGGATCCTGCTCCGGAATACCCGTGGTGAGGGTAAATTATATGACTTTACCCAGTACTCTCAGACAGGAGTTTACCATACATCCATCCACTGGTTGGGAAAAGCATCGCCAGCTGCGACGTCCGCCAAGTTTATACCATACCTACCTACTTACCTACCTTGCCTACCTACACATGTAGCGAGGTGCTGTGCCCAAACTCCAGGTAACCACACGCTCCCATCCGAGTCAACGGAAAGGTATCATTCTATTTTTATTATTCCATTGTTGTAGTTGTTATTTTACTGACACCCACTAAAAGGTCCGAAACGTGCACTTATCCAACATCTGAGGAAACACGAATAGGTTTCTCCCCCGAAGCTGGAGCCGACTGCCCAACACCGTTGCCGGATGGATGTCCACCACATGTCGCGTGCGGCGTGCGCCATATGCCACCCCTGTGCCATCCAGCCAGTACCTAGGTACCGGTAGTGTGGCAGTTTGCGGCAACAAGCTCCTGCTTGGATCGAGATGGTTGAGAAACGAAGTCACAGCCAAACCTCTCTACCTACCCGAAGCTCTCGCACCACCTACCTACCTACTCTTACTCCCTCCCTTGGCGTAATCGTCCTACATCACCTTCGGCAACGAGTTGGACAGGGGACGCTACGCATCAAGTAACACGCCGCTTCTGGAAAAGTATCCATGGCACAACCAATCTCGCTCGACTCGACCAAACCTGACCGTGCTTCATTGCGCAGCTCCTCTCCATGTACCTACCTACCTACCTACCTACGTACCTAGGTAGGCATTCGCATCATATCTCCTCTTTCCGTCTAAGTCAAGAGCCGTCGCCCGTGCCACCGCAGCCAATCGATCCTGGGTACAACGAACAGCCCCATCAAGCAACTGACATTGATTAGCGTCGACCGTGGCCATGACTTGACTCAACCCAAACCTAACACATCGGCGGCCTTCGATGAGCCAGCCCGCATCTGGACTGTCGACTATCGAACGCTTACGCTTGGTTACTGGACGGATTCGAGGGGCAGGCCATAGGCATTCCCTTGAAGACAAGGTCCGATGCAGTACCTTGGGAACTCGAGAAGGTTTTGTACGCGAAGTTAAACCAAGTCCGCCAATCACCGACGAGTCCATGGCCGACCAGCTATCATTGCAATGGTCATGGATGGCAGCAGATAACAAGGAGACACCCAGGCCTATATCGCGCCGTGCTAAGTCAGGTGCCCCTAGATCTGTCTTGGCCACGAGGCCAACCGCCGACAAACCGACCCGGGCCTTCACCCTAGTTGCCGGCCGGCCATCCGTTGTCCAACTTCCCCCTCTCTTCTATCGCAATTCGCCGCCAGGGCTTACAAGACTTTCCGTCGGTACAGACAGAGCCATGTTTCGCCTCCGATATTGAGAAAATCCCAGACACTCAGGCTACCAAAATAGGTACTTAGGCTCTCTGCTCAAACACCGGTACCATGGATCTTGACCGCATGTCAAGATCCACTACGGGACGTGAGAGCCCAGCGCCGGGAATCACGAACCTGAAAGGCATGTAGGTAACCAACCCAGTGTCAAACTAGACCACTTCTCCTTCGTCTTTGCAAACTGCATGACAACAAGACGGATGCCAGGGACGCCACCACGGCTCCGTTATGTCCTGCCCCGCAAACGGGCGCGGTACTTTTGCTTTTGCCGGATTCGGGGAAGTCAATGCACTATGTACTGTATCAACAGGGCAGTAGCGAGTCGATTCGGCATCCCTGCCGCCCCCCACGTGTGGAGAATGCTACGGTGCCCTTTCGTCCCTTTCGAGTTTCCTTAGCTCGCCTCTCCCTTCCTCTCTGCATATGCCTTTCTGCCACAGGATTGACAAACCGGACTACCTAACACCAACCATCACAAGGGAAATTGGGCGAGCCTACCTACATCCTGCATCGGCTGGCGGTCGACGTCTTCGCAACCCGGACTTCCTGCTAGCCAGGTTTTGGGCAGCATTGAGACCTGGGGCCCCATCGTCTCCGCAGTGAGCCAAGAAACATATTCGTCGGCGCGAATGGCTGTCGAGGCCCCGTCAGCATCAGGTGTTCCCTAAACCTGGTCTGTTCCACTTTTTCTCGAAGAACTGATGACCGAGGCTTGCGCATCAGCTTCACCGCCAAAGGCAAAAGAAGTAGTAGTAAGGGAAAACATCTCGAAACTGTGTATCCGTACAGGCGTGCTGTTCGGTACCCAACGACTATGACGACGCTTCATAAGTACGTGTACCGCTGCTTGCCCCGCTCTTGACAGATACCTAGGTACCTACCGGTAGTGTGATTGACCCCGCCTGACAACGAATCGCAGGCACGCCTGGCCCAATCCGAGACACGAAGAACATATGGAACATGTGGAACGCGAAGAACTTGTGGAGCACGAAGAACATTTTGCAGTCTTCTGGAAAGATTCCGCCCCTTAGATTTCCTGCTGCTGGCCCAGATTAGCGACTCATCTTATTCTCGTCCGCACTCGCTCTACCAACCTTGCCACGCGGTCAGCTGAACTCGAGACAATGTTACAATGGAAACCGCTGTCGGCGGAAAGAAACAAATCACAGACTGGCTTTCCACTAAGAGTCCCACTCGAGACATATGCTTTCCCATCGGCCAACCCAAAAATAGAAGACGTCTCTTGATAAATTCGAGTTTCGACAAGGCCCATCTCAATAAAAAAAACCGAGTCTACATAGTACGAGTACATCCAAATGAACAAGCACCGACCGTGGCATGGGATTCTCGACCAATGCCATGCTCACACGAAAAGCTCATCCCAAAAATCTTGCAGGTTCGTTTCAGAAGCTCCGACTGGAGGAGCATGCCCGAACGTGGGAACATCCATCACCGGTCATCTCCGTGTCAAACGCATGACACAATCCCCCCCCCCCCCCCTTTTTTTTCTTCTTCTCTTCTTTTTCCTTCCAGCATTTGATGGTCGATGGTGTCTGCCGCTAATAGTCTCCAGATAGTCCAAGTTGTGGCTTACCTGACCACTCCGCCTGCGGTGGGCTGCAAACACAAACTTCACTGTTCAAGACTGCTGATCGTGCAAATCGTAACCAAAACCCCAATAATACGGCCGCGGAGGTCGGTCTTTTCGCCCAGTCTGGCAACCGTCATTTTCAGGGGTCAGTAGTGGCTCCTGGGATTTCTAGGATATCACTGACGACTTTTATTACGTCTTGATGCATCATCCACAATCCCAAGCTCTCCTATTGATGTGTCAATCTATGGGTCTGCGTCTCTTCCACATTTGAAACAGAGGTGCTTCATTGACTAGCATAAGCCTCAATACACGTGGCGAGGGAGCAATGAGTCCTGTGGCTGCCCTGTATAGGCATGTATGCCTACATTGTGTACGGATACATACCTGTGCGACCTTAAGAGAAACCGCATTGGCAACGTACGTCAGTATAGGCATTGCATGCGAGGGGCGCGCAAGCTCTGGCAATTGCATCAATGAGTTAGCAGGTTGTGGGTTATCGCGACCGCCGGCCGGTCAATATGCCCTTCGAGGTAGTACATACAAGAGTGGCATGTCGATTCCCCTGGCCATGCCAGTCGGAAGACGGCGTATTCGATCGAGATGCTTGTTCTAGATTTCTAATTAAAATTCCAATCATCCGGCCGACCAACCCCAAGATCACTTCGGCTTGCTTCAAGGCCCCGTGCATGACAAAATAGATTTGGCTCTCGCCGGCGAGCTGGAAGGTACAGAACCAACTGTACCAACGGGGCGGGAAGCATTGCATGCTGCAAGAGGACAGGACTGCAGGAGATTTGGTTTCAAGAAATGACCAGTTGCGCGCGACGACGATGGGCCTTGATTGAAAAGGTTGCCAGGGCCCCTAAATAAGAATCCCACTCTCATTTGAAATACTAATGCCAGAGAGTCAACAAGCGTTGCTCATGGCCGAGAGATGATCGGTAGAACGGCCTCGTTGTGTGCGACCTCAGTCTGCCGCCGGGCGATAGCATCGCCGATGTGCCCTTCCTGTTTCCGCCGAACCAGGATTGCACACTAGCTGTTGGTTCTCTAGCAAGGCCTCTCGAGTAACGAAGCTGTCGTGGGCCATGGCCATGTCTTGGGATAAATGCCAGATTCGCTAACGAGAGAAGTGCGGACGTTTGTGGCGTGCCCCTTTCGACTAGATGCAGACGCGAGAACTCAACAGACGCGCCCAACAGCCCGAGATTCCTGGCCCTCATACAACCCAACCTTCAAAGGCACCCGGATATGCTGGCCAACTGTCTCGGGGGCCGGTATACGGCCACTCCGCGCCACGCGAGTGATTTGGCGAATCACGGACAGCTAGCCTGGTTGGTTTCGGCCGAGATCTACGATCTTTGGTGCAGAACCGAGACTTCGCTCCGGCTCTGTAGAGCCAGCTTGCCAGCCTATGAGCAGCGTCGGAACTGCAGTGTGGCATTCTAACAATTTGATCATTACCAGTACAGTATGTGGCTTTTTAGAGCCATCGGATCTCTTGGGGTGATCAAATGCTGGGGGGCGCACCAGTATAACCATCAAGCTCATTCACTCGACTCATCAAAGACGAGAGCAGAATGTGCCAAGTAGCTCTTGTTACATTGAGAGGATTGGCATGCCTGACCTCATGTGCACTCCACGCCCGGCATCGTATCTCGGCCGTGAGTGCTCGGTCAACCGTCCGCACGACTGACGAACACAGCCGGAAGGGTATAATACCCTGTCCATTCTCTGTTCTTTTCCTTACTACCCTGAGAGGGAGTAAGCTGGCCAACAGAGGACGCGATGTGAACAAGGGCGGAAAACAGAACGGAGGATGATAATAACCACGGATGGAGAGAGAAGAACGATGAAGGCATGATTGGACCCTGACTTGTCCAGGTTGCTTTCTAGTTGGAAGGCCGCCGTGGGTGTCTTGAACATTTCGTGAAAGGGACGGGGTCGAACTTTGGACTTGCAAGTAGCCTAGGTAGTCCAATCCAGTCGCACCGGTGGTCTTACTTGGCCAAGTTGTACGGCCAATGAGGTTGAGACATTGAGACAATTGCAACCCTATTCTTGGCTCCTTGGGGCGTCCGATAAATGACCGGATGCATCCTTTCCGGAAACTGGCATGAGCAAACGGGGCCGAGATCTCAAAGGAATGAGGGAAGGAAGGCTCAATGGCTTTGGCAAACCGCTATGTTTCTGAGCGAGGGACTGATCGGAAGCCACCCGGATGTAATCATTGATTCGCAAGAAACCCACGGCCACCACAATCAAGCTCTTGGTAGGCTGGTAAGGTCGCAAAAGGTAGACGAGGTCCGGCCTACATAGTCGATGGGGGGAGAGAGGGACAGCAGAGCACCATAACGATCGCCGAAAAGAGCCGAGCGAATTTTGCTGCATACGGTTTATGAGTCGGAAAGGACTTGGTTTTTCAACTGTTCTTTGATTTACCGTGGTGGAAATAGAAATGACGAATTGATGACAATCTGGGATAAGTGTACGCCGGACGCCACAAGCCGCGGCTGGTCTGGTCCTGTCCGTCATTGCACGTACGGATGACGTCACGAGCCTGGAGAGCTCTCCCTCATCACCACTCTACAACTCTTCCCTTCCCCATAAGTCAATCAAAATTCTATAACCGATCATCAACTTTCAATTGAACGGAGTCGAGCTGAGCTGAGTATACCGTTCGGAAATAGAAGAAACAAAAGGGAGCAAACCCGTCTGCAGCCGAACTTACATCATACGACAACGTCGACAACGACAACAAAAAGAGGAAAGAACAAAACGAAAAAAAAAGAAAAAAAAAAGGAACGACACAACACCGCCACAGAAAGATGGCTTCCCGAGTCCTTCGCAACCTCAACTTCCGCGCCGCCGCCGTCCGGCCGCGCTTCACCGCACCCGCGGCGGCGACTAGAAGCCGGGCGTTCGCGGGCGGCGCGGCGCGGCGGCACGCCTACAAGGACACGCAGGACCGCGAGTCGTTGAACCCGAGCGGGACCGAGGGAACAAAGACGGGGCGGGACTCGGACGTGGCGCACGAGGACGGGGCGTTCGACCCGTCGACGACGTGGCCGGGGACGGAGAAGGACGAGGCCGGCGGCGGCTCCCTCGACGTGTCGGGCGCGAACCAGGCTGTGTCCAAGCCGCAGGGCGACAAGGCTGGCGGCGATGGCGGGCCTGGCAAGGAGACGAGGAAGGGGGGCAAGAGCGGTGGGAAGAGCGCGGCCAAGGCCGGTGACGCTTGAGCACGTTTGCACGATGCTCCTGTACGGGTTAAGGGGGGGAGGATGATGGTGTATAATTGGACAGAGAGGAGGGTACGGAGCGGTGGACCGATGGAAGGTGGTGGGCATATACTAAAATCATCAGCATCAACTACGCAGGGAGGAAGGAGAGAGAGAGAGGGAATGGCGTTGTTGTCGTCTTAAAAATCAAATGCATGGCCATTGAGCATACATGTAATTGGGCCCGTCTCTGTTTGTTCTTTTTACATCCGCCGTGAAATAAAACCAAAGGGGGTATCAATTGCGGCCCCCTCAACTCCAATCAAACTTCGGGCCCCTTCCACGTCTTTTGTCCATCCCTCGTTCGCCTGTTCGTCGAACCCATGTTTGCCACTCATCTCATGCTGGCCTCCTCCACAAACTTACCATGTTCACGTCTCACGCTCCCCCCGATCTACGCGTACAATCCATCAGGGTCATCGTTCTCCTCGTCGTCATCTGGCACGACGACCTGCTCCTTCTTCTTAGTCAGGTCCTTGCGGCACATGGGACAGCTGCCCTTGCTGCGTAGCCAGGGGCTCACACACTCAAGGTCGAAGCGGTGGCTGCTGTGGCACGGCAGCTCGACGACGAGGGGGTACTGGTCGTCGAGGAACTTTTCCGCGCAAATCGGACACGCCTCGTCCTTGCCGAGGGCCTTCTTGGGGACGCGGTCAAGGGAGTCGAGGTGCTCCTGCGAGACGCCGGGTATCTCGGTAGGCGGGCTGGCGATGTCGCGCTCGAGGGCCTCGACGAGACCGGAGAGGAAGCGGGCGTTGTCGGCGTTGGGGGCCGTGGAGAAGAGCGTCTGGAACTGCTGCTGGAGGAGGTGGTAGAGGGCGGCGGCGTCGACGGGGGTTGGCGTTGCGTGCGGGTTCGTGTGGCGGGTCGTGGAGGGGGCGTCGTTGGTGGTAAGGTTTTGGAGGAAGGAGGTGAAGGAGGACATGTCAATGCGACGGGTCCCTTCTTGGGTCGAGGGCCCAGACTTGATGTTGTGCTCGACTGGGAGGGATGGTTGTTAGTCAGAGAACGCATGACGGAGGAAGTTTGGGTTTGTAGGATACGAGGCGAGCAGAGGGGATTATGCTCACTTTCGTATTGTGTAGCCATTTTGGGCAGCTGTTCGACTGCTAGGGCTTGTTGAGGGCGACACGAGGGGTTAAATTAGAAGCAAAGCTCTTTCGAGGATCGAAGTTGAGATCGAGATGTGGTGTAATCCTTTTCCTTTTCCTTTTCTAAGACTTTCTTGGGGAAACCGGGACGAGGCTGCGACGATGATGTGGCTAGGCAGTCATTGGTTGTCGCAAGTTCGGACTGAGGAGGGAGGGGCTAGCAGAAAGGAGGGGGAGCTCCCAGTGCAGGTGCGCCGCAAAATAGAAAGCAAGGATCAGTACCCCGCGCTGGTGTGGCTGTCCACCGCATCTTGCACCTTACACCTTCTTCTACCAGTGGCTGCTGACCTAGCCACCAATGCCCAAGGGGAAAGTTTCCCGCACTGGTTCCTGCGGAATCTCTCCTGCAAGTTGATGGGTTCCTCACCGTCGGATTTCCGAGTATTCGGGAGACCCAGCAACTGGTAAAACTCCGCCATGGGTTCCGCGGCGGCGGAGTTTTGGACACAGGCAGAGTGTATGTATGCACGTCACCTTTTCACCAGAAAGAAGCACGAGTGGATCAAGTTGGCCATGATCAGCCTAAGCTGGGAGGCGACATTATATATCGTTATGCGGAACTGGCATGGCCATGGCTCGAAGACGTAGAATGTACCATTATGTAGGTGCTAGAGAGTTCGCACTTCCAAACCTAGCTGGTAATGCTTTAACCAACCGGAACGAAAAATCCCGGGCAATTGAGTGCGCCAAAGTATCAACTGTTGCGGCGACGGAAGCAGGATCCCGGCGATAAGGTAGCGAATCCCCCCCCCCCCCCCCCCCCCCAACCGCCAAAATCCGCATGAGTAAGGTGGGTGCTGCTAGGTAGACCTAGGAAATAGCTATGGTGCCTTGGCAACATTCACCTTGCGATGGATGCTCGTCGTTCTGCAACGCATGTCGTTGATCGCGCCATTGTACCTCAGTGTTCCGAGAGGTGTTCCGATACCATGACAGTCGGATGAAAAGCCCCGGAAACGAGGCCAACGGTGCTGGCCATGGCTGAATGTGCGTAGAATCCTCTATTCATGCAAGGTTGTCCGTCTGGCCGGACTGGTCGGTTTCGGTGTAAGTGCGTCCTGGTGAGACGGTGAGGCAGAGCCGCCGAGGCAGATGAGGCTGGCGAACCTAGATGCGAACGGAGAGTGCAATTTGGATAAAGAGGCTCCCGCAACGATCATCCGCAGACTGTCCAGTTGCCAAAAGAGAAGGACAGTTGTGGAGCAGGCGCGAACATGACTGGGTAGGCAACATGGCTATTGAGGCCGTCATGTACAGTCCCCAGTACATCCTACCTATCTACTACTATCTACCTACCCACTTTGTACTTACTACGGAGTATATGTATATGAACTAGAGAAACCCGCTCCGACCTCCCCTGGCCGAGGTTTAAAAATCACGCCGTTCCAACTTTCCCAATCGTCCCTTCTGCAACGCAGTGCTTTTCTCAGCCACTCTGCCTCATCCATCCAGTCCCATCCCGGTCCACCCGTCGTCTCTAGTGTAGGTGCAGGTGCCAACATCAAGTTACCATAGACAGCCTTTAGTCATCACCCAGGAGCACTGCTCGACAACCATCCTCTTTTCCTTAGCTGGAGCCCCGTCAACAAGCAAGCATCCCATCCATTCGCATTATCCAGCTCGCTCCTCTTCTTGCCTCGCCGCACCCCCCCTACTACTCCCCCCTCACGGCCTTGTCTCACCAAAGGCACACAGACAGCGTAGCGGTCAGGTCCTTGAACCGGAAGGAGAAGCAAGCAACAAGCTTCCATAAAGCCCGCATCAACATATCTCACGGACTTCCTGCACCTCGCTCCCGCGCCTCTTTTCTTCTTTCTTTCTCTTCTTTCTTGTCCCGCACACAGACAGGAGCAGAACGCCGACACCTGCAGCATCGTAGACAGTCCCAGGCCGTCTACGCCAGATACCACGCCGCCGGGTCGGTCGTCGACTCGATCATCTTATTCTTCCCTTTTGCCATTGAAACTCTGGTACCTGCTTCTTTAAAGCCACCGTCGCCCCGAAAGCTCTCCCCTCACCATCTAAACTGCCATGGCGCACTCGGCCGCAGTCATTGGGTCTACCGGCCTCGTCGGATCCCACATCCTTACCAACCTCATTACCTCGGAGGCCTTCGCCACCGTCAACACCATCTCGCGCCGCCCGCCCAAGGCCGGCGGCCTAACCCTCAAGCCCATCATCGAGAAGGACACCTCGGCCTGGCCACCCAAGCTGGCCGCCCTGCAACCGCTCCCCACCGTTGTCATCTCCGCTCTCGGAACTACGCGCGCCGCCGCCGGCAGCATCGCTGAGCAGTGGAAGATTGACCATGACCTCAACGTCGAGCTCGTCAAGGCCGCCAAGGCTGCCGATATCAAGGCCTTCATCTTCATTTCCAGCGCTGGCACCCGCAGCGCCCTCTCGAGCCAAGCGCCCTACAGCAGGATGAAGAATGGTGTCGAGGACGCCATCAAGGAGGCCGGCTTAGACCACGGCATCATTCTCAAGCCCGGCTTGATCCTCGGTCAGCGTGAGGAGGGCCGTGCCGCCGAGGGCATCTTCCAGAGTGTCATAAAGGCTCTCGGCATGGTTAGCACCAACATTCAGGACAGCATTGGTCAGGAGGCCGAGGTCATTGCTCGCGCCGCCGTGCACGCGGCCGTCCTCGTGGAGCAGGGGAAGGCCCCAGCCGGTGTTTGGGAGATTGACAGCTCCGAGATCGTGAGACTTGGACGAACGGAGTGGAAACACGGCCCGTGGCCCCGCTCTTAGGTCCTGCGCGGATGCCAAGTGAGTCGATGGAACGGTGCGGTGGAACGGGGGCGTAAAGATTGGGCGAGGGGACGGTCGCCGTCACTCCCCGGGTACGACACGTCCGTGTGAACCGTCGGAAGTGTTCGATCTTGTTGATCAGCCGTGGGTGTCTCGTCTTGCACAGCGTTTCCCGCCATGACACGGCGCCGGCAAGGGCTTCTCTGAGCCAGTCTCATCTACAACTCTGGAGAGTCTTGGTTCGTGCAGTGGCGCAACGTTGCCCCTCGTCAGTGAATGGGTGCTGCTTCATAGTTGGTCGCGGAAGTTGCCTTAGGTGTTAGCGGGAAGTCAGCCTCCCGCTTCTCCCTGCAGTTGGATTTTCATGTTTTTGTTGGACTTTGTTGATATCCCCTCTTGTATGAAATACCACCCACTGTTTGGACTGGTGATGGTTTATTTTGCATCTCCTAGCATATTATGCAGAAGAGAAGACTGTCGTTTGTCAAAAACTGATGTCAAGGTCTCCGCACTTGAAAATCTTACATGGGACGGATATGCAATAAATAGTATTGGCCAAGACCGACCAGGCACCAATATTGTGATGCATTGTAATACGGGCAGCCTCCGACCTGCCGGCTCCTTCCCCAAGAGCCCCCACCATACTCGTCCGGGCCGAGCAAACAGGTGCACCTTCCTGCGCCCCCTCCCGCTCCTTCGGTTTGATAACGACGGCCAAAGCCTTATCAACCCCTCCATCCAACCGTCCAGCCCCACCACATCTCATCCACCGGCGACGACTCACCACTCACTTCATGTCGCACTTCCCCAGTTCTCGCAAACCTTCCACAGCCTTTCTCTGGCCTTGAACCTATCCTACGAACCTATCCTACCTAAAGAAGACCTCTTTTCCTTCCGAGATCAGTCACACGAAAGAAAACCGGTCCTCTGACTTGGAATTATAGCGTTTGTGAGCCCATTCCTCGTTGCGCGAAAAGGCATCCACCCACGAGACTGCGAAGCTCACCCAGGCGTGAATTAATCAGCACCACCGAATTGCCTCAGCACAGCAGAGGGGCACAAAACGCTGAGACAGCGACACTTACTCACTCACACACTCACACGACAAGGACAAAATGGCGGATGAGACAGCACGCCCTCTCATTGTCGGCCCGGACTCTGGTCCCGAGGCCCCCTTCCCGCTCAAGATGGAGGGCAAGGTGATATCTGGCTTCGGCCGGGGGTCCAAAGAGGTTAGTCAATGTCGCGTCTCTCACCAATGTCTCTCACGGCATGCACGCACGCCTCGTTCTTCGCACCCCACATACTCTACATTTGCGTAGTACCCTCGCTCTCCCTCACTCACACTCATACTTGGACCGTACCAAAACTCGTCTCACACGAGAAGCCTCACAAAAGACCAAGCCGCTGACCAAGACCCCCACCACCACCACAGCTCGGGATCCCGACCGCAAACCTCCCCGTGGATGCCTCTCAGACTCCCTGGATAGACACCGCCAAGTCCGGCGTCTACTTCGGCTGGGCCTCCCTCTCCCTGCCCGCCTCGCACCCGGACCGCGTCGCCCCGCCGCCCTCCTCCGGCTCCGGCCCAGCCCAGCCTCACCTCGAGTTCCAGTTGTACCCCATGGTCATGTCCATCGGCTATAACCCCTTCTACAAGAACACGGTCCGCTCCGCCGAGGTACACGTGTTGCACAAGTTCGCGGCCGATTTCTACGACGCCCACATGCGCCTCCTGATCCTCGGCTTCGTCCGCGAGGAGAAGGACTACAAGAGCCTCGAGGCCCTGGTCGCCGACATCAACACCGACTGCGACGTCGCGCGAGCCTCGCTCGACCGCGACGCCTGGGCGCCGCCCAAGGCTCTGAGGCCCGGGGCCAACAAGGACGGCGCGTTGGATGCCAAGTGGCTCGTCGAGCCGCTGCCCAAGGCCTGAACGGCCCCGATGGCCCGGCCACCTCCTTCCCCTTACAATGATCATGAAGATTTCAACAGAGCACGGGTGGATAAAAGCGTAGAATTTCCATATAAGAAATAATCATTTGAAGAAGAAGAATAACAAAAGTTCCGACTCTGTCCGTAATAGTAAGGGGGAGCACTCTAGGATTCGTTCGATGTCCTCTCCCTCCCTCCCCCCTTCCCTCTTCAAAGGGTATGGTCGAAGCGAAAAGTTTGTAGGAAACCGATGAATATGAATGAATCATGATCCAGAGATGCGCCCTTCCCCCGGCTGCCCTGCCAAACGGAGGGGGAAACCATGCCTCGAGTGATGACGGGAATAACCGGAAACCGAAAGAACAAAACCACGTCGGGACACTGTCCTGATTCAAACCCCAAAAGCTAGAACAAAAACGCCGCCCATGCCCCCTCCTTCATATATGCCCTGATCACTCCTTTTTCTCCCCATTCTTCTCCTTCTCCTTCATCTTCATCTCCGGCTTACACTGCCAGGCCATGCGGTTCTTTGTTCGGGTAATAGCACGGAAGGAACTGTCTTCTGTTAGTCGTCGACGGCTTCGGTGGCAAGGGAGGCCAGTACTCACGTTCATCACAATCAACATGGGGATATCGAATACGTCTCGTTTAATCATCCAGCAATACCGGCAGTCCACCTTGCCGTCCTTCTCGATCTTGGAGATGCCGTGCTCGCCGTCGATGCGGGTGACGCGATTGCTGAGCATGCTCTTGCGCGGGTCCTGTTGAGGCGCCATGTCCGTTGACACCGCAGCCTCGGCCTGCTCCTTGGTGCGGTACTTGAGGATCCGACAGGTGCGGTTGACACTGCCGCGGCTGTCGCCGAACGCGAGGTGCGAAAAGTCGTCGTAGAACTCGACGACGCTATCGTCGTCGAGGATCTCGGCGATGAAGACGGGCTGCTTGCGTGATCCGCCCTCGCCCCTGAGATGGTCGAGCGTCGAGGAGGGCGGCTTGGGCGTCGAGATGCCGGCGCGGCCCGTGTTGCGGCCGCTGTTGGTGGTCGATCCCGCCCCGCCCGTGTTGACATTCAGGTTCGGCTCGTTCCCCAGGAGGACGTCCTTGGTCCACCCGGTCAGCGCAATAAACTCCTTGTTGACGGCGGCGATCTCGCCCGTGCGGCGCAGAACGATGGTCGGCGCGGAGCAGTGGTGCATAAACTCCTCGTACTCGAACAGGGTCCGTTGGAAGCACTTCTCCATGAAGATGAGGTCCTGCCGGCTGAGCGTTTTGGTGCAGGCGATGAATGATGGGCGAATGCTGGCGAGTGCCTTGGCGATGCGTAACGTCCGGTTAGCGGAGAAGCGTTTTGGCAGGTAGTCGATGAGGGCGTGGAAGCCGGCCAGGTACGGATACGGCTCCTTGACGGTATCGTAGATGGATGACGGGTCGCGCTGCCGCTTGCCCAGGAGTGTGTGCGGTCCGCTCTTCTGAGCTTGTCCAGGCTTGGATTTGGGGCGACTAGGGGCGGTTATGGTCTGAGAGTTTCCAACAGTGCCAAAGTTCCCCCTCGGAGATCCTTCAAAACCAAAGTTAGTAGGTTGCGGGCTGGCTGTCTGGTCTGTGCCGGGACTATGTAGGCTTGTTGGGCCAGCAGCAATGGCGTAGGCATGTGGGAGGCCATGTTGCAAATTGCCTTGTTGGTACATGCCGTTGGAAGACTGGTCTACACCGATGAAATCGTTGATCATACCGCTATCGTAAACTTGACCAAACTGGTTGTTGCCGTTGCTAAAGACGTTTGTGGACCCGAAGTTGACTTCACCGCCCGGTCCGGATAAGGACCCGTCGCGCGGCGGTGTCTCGGCCGCGCCGGACGACATGTGGCCAAGCATGCCAAATTCCATGGCGCCGTATTGGCTGCCGAAGTTGAGCCCTTCCAGATCAAAGTTGAAGATTGCCGGGTTGCTGGGGTCAAACAACGTATTAAAGGGGTCACTGGCAACCTGGGGCGAGATCATGCCGCCGAGGGACCGCGCCGTGTTGCTCGGTTGTGGGAACGACGGTGATATCGGTGACGGTTGCGCTTGGAACGGTAGGCTCTCGGGAATCCCTACAGATGTTTGCTGCGCGGAGTAGACGGGGAAGGATGCCGTCGAGGTTTGGCCAAAATACGTACTACCTGCGGTTGAGGCCGTGTCCGAGGTGCCGCTGTGATGACGCTGGCCGTTGGGACGGGTCGGCGCGGCCGTTGGGTTGAAATTGGGTCCTAATACGGGCCGGAGTGCCTCTGGCGGAGCATCGTGAAGATACTTTGCCTTCTTGCGGACGCCGTCCTGACAAGCGTCTGCGAGTCCACGTTTAATGCATCGCTGACATGGTCGTTCATCTCCTGTAGCCATCACATCAGCAAGATCGCATTGCAAATAGCCACGAGGGTGGAGCAGGGCAGTCATGGCCCGTGTCCGAGTGATATAGAAAAACGAAGGGAGGAAAAAATAAGGCGAAACATGACTTCACAAGCATTTCACTTGACCAGAGACTATCACGAGCCGAACCCTGAGAAATCGGGCGTAGCTTACCACAAGTCAGATGGGCTCTTTGACAGGCGAAACACGCCCGGCGAGCCTTCTTCCTCCTCGGCCGTGAAGGGTCCTTGGGATCATACTTCTTCTTGACCTCGCCATTGGTGTCGGCGCCGCTCTCGTGGGATTCAGCCATCTTGTCGTCGTCGTCGTCTTTTACAGGCGTGTCGTCGTCGTACTCGTGGTCATTATCTGACATGGCATCCGAGGCCTCTGCCCCGGTGTCTTCGGGGCCGTCCGGCATGGCGTCTTAGGTTTATATACAGGCCTCCCCGGGGCAAAAAGAGACAACAAAGCAATTGCTGACGCAGTGACGGCAGCGTACTGCAGAGCCCGATCCAGGAAACTTCTTGGTGCTATGCTTGCGAAACCACACGGCTTACCCTCAAACGTAGGTATGCGGGCCTAGCTTGGCCTGGCCTGGCCTGGCGTCGCGCTGGGCAGGCGTTGCAGAATAGGAAATGTATTGGGAAAATCTCCCTGCGGTCAGAGTTGAGTGGCACACGCCGGGGGGTCTGGCTGGATTGGCGAGGCACAGAGTCTATAGTGCGGCACCGGCGTGGGCTTGTTGTCCCCAGAGCCTGGGTGCGCAAGGGCAGCTTCGAGTTTGCGAATGAGATCCGCGCCAGATATTGTTACCCGCGCCGTTGTGGTATGGCAGAAGCAAGACCTGAATCAGGCGCTGTGCGCTCCCGCAGTGCGGACGGGAGGGTCCTGTTGTCTCCCTTCCCTCCAGATGCGCCGTACGCAGGCAGACGAGCGGCTTACAAGCAAGGCGACGCAGGTGAAATTGGGAGAGGGAGCCTTGGGTTTTCGTATCCTCAGCAGTCAGGCGTCTCCAATGGTGGGTAGGCGGAGAGAAGGAGGCGTTCCTTGTGCGACGTACTCGTCACGGCAGGACTAGGACTCGATAGTTGGCGCAGCCGTCTAGAGACCGGAGGTTGCGTCGCGGACCACATGAGGTCACGGGGACGAGGACGGGGGACAGGGTGTTGGGAGCTGACCGAGGACTGGCGGCGACGGCTTCGAGCCGGAGTAGATGTGACAGAGGTTCTAAGAGGTCGACAACAAGCGTGATGTCTGCAGGTAGCCGTAGCCCTGGTGCTTGTTGCAGACAGGCACAGGCCAGCAGGCAAGCGAAAGTCGACAACTACTTTTAGGGCAAGCAATGGTTGTGGAGGGGATCGCATTCGCAGTTCGAAGCCGAAGTCGAAGTCGCGGCGGCGCAATTGAGCGGAAGACGTCTTCGTCGTCGGGGTCGGGGTCGGGATCGGGGTTGGAGTTGGAACCTGTGATTTTTGGAGTCACGATATTTATCCTCGGTTGGGTGGAAGAGGAGCACGCGAGGAGGTTTCGTCTCTGGAGCTGACGGTAACCGAGAAAGAGAGACCGACACCCACCCACACATGCACTCACACTCACAAGCGCAGACAGACAGACACATTGGGCAGCCAGTGAGGATGAACGCCATCCCCCCAGCCTCACTGTCGTTGGTCAAAGATTTACTTGCTGGGCTGCGGGGTTTTTCTTGGAGAGAATGCCAGGCCCGCCATTGGCCGAGAGAAGAGGTATGTGGGTGGCGCATGTGGGTACGGTACCTGCCCAACGACCCACCCTGTATCGGCTACTTCAGAATGACGACAACTGGTGCGGCACACAGGCGCCATAGACGCCCAGAGCTAGAGTATCTGATACTCTCTCTCTCTCTCTCTCTCTGTTCGAGTCCGTTATTGCCCAGCTTTTGCGCAGTCGGCCAAGTCCCTTGAAGAGCCTTTCGATCAGGTACGTGCCGGAGTCCTATATCGGGCCATGAGCGAAAGATCGTGTGCTTCAACAGCAACAGAAAAAAATCAAATCAGAAGGACCTTGCTTACTTTCCATTGTTCCTCGGGACCTCTTCAAGGTTTCGCTGGTCTCTTGGTAGGGTACGTATCTGTTCGTAGGTATCCGTACCTAGTGTAGGTAGGCTTGTCCTGCAGAAGCTGCACCTGTGCATATGCCGCCGCTCGGACCCAGGCTCAATCCGAACAGGAAACGGCAACCCTCTCGCACAAGCCAAACATATGCATGGGCCAGGCTGGTTGACCTGACCACACCTTGTTGGGTCCAGTTCACGGTCCAATTCACCTCACCCACGGCCTACTCTTATGTCAACCTCTCGAAATCGTATCAAAATCTCATCAAATTCGATACCCCAAAGCTTCTTAACATTAACAACAACAACCTACCCGCCTTTGTCCATACCTAAATCCCCATGACCCAGAGTCCCTCGGTCCCTCGGACAACCCTCAATTTTCTTACCGATATGACCCATCCTTGTTGCACAGCATCGTGTTAACGACGCAACTGCAAGCCACACTATTGGCCATCTGGTATTTCCACTGTTCCCGTGCTGCACGTGAGATCCAATACGATCTATCTACGCGTCCACCAGGGC